AAAGTTTATTGATTCGAAATTCTCAAATTATCCTAATATTTATAAATTAGAATCTTTAATGAATAGCTTTGACCATTCAAATTTATTAAAACTTGCATTATTCTGCAAAATTATTATTTCAAAATTTAAATAACTCATTCTCCCGTAAGTCATGAATTTTTCAACTTTATGAATGTATTTACATAGAAACAATTTAAATAACTTCTGTATAAGACAAATCATGTCCAAAAAGTAGAGTCTAGTCATATGTTATATGTTAGTCAAATTGATTTCCTTATTATATAATTTTATGTTTACATGTTTTGTTAATTACTTTTGAATAACTGTTCATTATATTGTTGATATATCATAACCTTATGCATATTATATGCCTTGGTTTTGAATAAATCTTGAATCTTGAATCTTGACGAGTATGTAAATTTCTTTCTTTCTTTCTTTCTTTTTACATTATTTGTGTATCTTTCATATCCTTTATGGAAAGAAAAAAAGTCTTTGATTTCAATTATATAATTATTGTAGGTATTTATTTGCTAAATTATTCCAAATTTATAGCAAATATGATACCAGATATTTTCAAAGTTTAATAAAATAAAAACTACTATAAAAGTTTTTTTTTTTGATTTTAAAAGATCAACCAATATACTTTTAAAACAATTAAGGCAAATTTTGAAAACAGCCCCTCATTGTGATAAATTTTAGGGATATTTTGAATAAGGATTTTTACATTGGGAATTGCTGATTCATGATGACGATGATGATGTATCATTGATGATGATGATGATAATGATGATGATGATGTTGTTGTTGTTGATGATGATGATGGTGGTGGTGATGGTGGTGGTGATGATGATGATGATGATGATGATGATGATGACGACGACGACGACGATGATGATGATGATGATGATGTATCAATAACGTTAATGAAGATAGGTTAAAACGGCGATGATAATGTTAGTTTACTGTGTAAAATGTGTGACATATACGGTCAGGCATTTACTACCAAATTGCAGAAACGTATAGCACATAAAGACATCTGTGTTTAATTCGGCTTACTATGTCCCACAAGTATGACATATACGTTCCGTGACATATACGGACGGTCCGGCAGTGCTTCTATACGCTAACATACTTCTTTTCTGTTCAGGCACAATAAAAACGTTAAATCACCTTAAATCGGGTACATTTACACAAAAGACCAGCAAGGTGAAATTTTACATTTCTCAAGTGTTTCGTTATTAGTAAAACGCATATATACATTGAAAAGATTTAGTAGATTTTTTTTTCGCTTGAAGTCTTTTGAATATCTTTCAAAATATCCAGGGACATTGTCCATCAAAATTCAATGTATGATTCGGAGTAGACACACTAATCCGATATTCAAATACACTATAATTTTCCTTGTTTTAAAAGGTCAAACAGTTTCCAAAATTAAATATAGACTAGATTTTTAAGTATATCCCCAAATGCTTGTGACATATACGGTCCAGGCTTCAGAAATTTTTTCACTGATAAAATTACCCAAATCGTACACCTGCAAAACGTATAGCACATAAAGACATCTGTGTTTAATTCGGCTTAACCAGTGGTTAGTCATCATCATTAAAACAGTAAAAATCATTAAAACTTGTTTAAAACAAGATTTTTGTTGCAAATATATGTTTATTTTTCTTAACTAGAACATTTCATATAAACTGCATAGGATTAAATTGAAACATTTCTGAAAAAGTGCTTTTAGAACCCTTTTTCAATCTAAATTTGTTGTTGTTGTAGTTCAGAAAATTCAGTTAAACAGTCATAACTTTCTTATTCTTTAATAAAACATACAAGTGTCAGTACTCATTTTCTTAGTTAGACCATTACTCATCTAATGGAAGTAATTTCAATTCAAAATTTGAAAAAAAGTTGTTTTTGATTTTTTTCTTATGTGTGTCTAAGGGAAAAATAAATCTATCAATACTTTAAGGCCTCTTATATACTTTTTGTTTAATTCCAAAAACAAGAAAGCACAAAACATGCAAAATTATTTTTTCGGAGCTTTTTGATTCTAATAAATTTATTATTCATCAAAAAATCAGCCATTTTGTTTCCAGAATCACTAACCAACCCTGTTGCATTGTGGTACTTAACCAGTGGATAAATACGCTATCCACTGGTTAGGTAGCCAGTGTACTATCCAACTATTGAACAATGAAATTTTATCCACTGGATAGCTGGCCACTGGTTAAGGATTTAGCCAGTGGATAAGCTATCCATTGGTTAATTTTAACCAATGTTTTGAACAACCCGGTCCAGATTGGTTAGTTAACCGAAGTTGGTTAAATTTAACCCATGGTTAGCGTTTAACCCAGGGTAAATTAACCAATTCTTATACAATTGGGTGCAGAAGAAGTATTTCTATAAAAAGAATATTCTAATAATGTTTTTTGAAGGTCCTGAAAGGATCAGGGTATTATAGAATGCACACTACCAATATACTTTGGAGAAGCTTTCGGCTTGACCTTTGTATTCTTAGGCCTTGCTCTCGCGTTTAATAACAGATCGTACAAAAACAAGCCTTGGAATAATATTACTGAAAATATATGTTCGATAAAATACAAAGTTAAATGTTTTCGTAAATTTCATGTGTCATGTTGATTCATATAAAATTGTAAGGGAGACAAACGTGCATGTCATTACTTAAGAGCTATAGAGTTTTTACCCTTTTCCAAACAGTTGCTTTGTTCATTTAATTTTTTATAACTAAAAGACTTCTTCTACAAGTAAGATATAAAAATAGCATTTGCAGAAATATTTTCCCCTGCGTATGGTAAGTATTTCTCGAAGTTTAGATAGATGTAGATGCTTTACATACAAAATGCATATTATTTCGACGAAATGCTGAAGTTACAATCTCTTAAATAGAGTAAAATGTAAAATATAGAAATTTGGTTCCCGTTCTGAACAGTGAAAGATATAGTTACAAAGTAGCACTTAGAAGGGATTGCAAAAAGATATTCATGACGTCAAATTTAAACCATATAATCTAGCGGGATTTTTTACATTCTTCTTTTCACTCGTGCCACGCATTCTTGATAATATTTAAATCGTTCCACTCTTTATGGAGATACATTCGTATTCGCTCAAAACAAATAAATGTCCAAAATATATTTTGTAGTGTGCAATAAACCTATTTTGGCATTCGTTGTTGTTTTATATTAGGAAATTTATTATTTCTGGTCCAGCTCAAAAGTTTTATCAAATTCTTGCTAAATTCCAATGTTCCTGAACAAAATTTCATAAATATTTCTATAAAATATCTACTCCTGGATGATGTATGTAATAATGGCAATTGCAATAAAATTGCCAATTCGTTTAGCTTTTCCTAGGAAATAATGACTTCTGAATAATATATAGACTTGATGATATCTGGAAAATTATATGTTATTTTGATAAATAAAATGCTTATACAATAAAATACAATTGCGCAATTACTTGTTTCCATATCAAGAATGTTTCATTTAGTACTTGACTCAAGATGCAAATTCTGATTATTATACAATGAATTGGACAGTTATTGACTCTTTTTAGTGATATATGTATCGCAGACGAAAATTATAAGATTTAGATCTGAGTAGAATAAATTCTTGTTTGATAAGTAAAAATTATTTGTTCCACTGAATTCATAAATATATACTTGCAATTGAATAAAAAAGATATTTCTTTGTTTTCAAAGATCTGTCCAAGATATTGGAAAATATGGCATCATTATAAAAGAGATGACGTCATAGAAAATGTTGTTAAGCACATAATTGGAAAAGAATAAATCCCTTTGTCTACTTGATAATATTTTATTGGAATCGAGTACTCAAGTTCACATATATTTATCATTTTCATTAATGCGTCATGAAAACAATTCCCCATGAAAAGGGTAAACAGTTTACATATTCCTACAGAAAAAATGCCAACAACATTTAGGTGGTCATTTTGCCTTGTTAAGATATGAAGGAAGTACTGGTAATATAAATGTGGAACAGGGGTTGAACATTTTGAATATAATAGAAGTCGCGTTTAAATTAAAAAAAAAAAAACAAGCAATTGTAATGCAACAGTTAGTTGTAAACCATGCCCACACTCTTCCCGAACTCAACCAAATTTTTTTTTGAAAAGGGCGGGAATAGCGAGACATTTACACAGCATGAAACTCCAACAATAGATGATGATTTATGCAATAAGTTCGTGCATAAGCATGAGCAAAAACTTAAGGGCGCATTTAATAAGTCCGGTGGGGCTTCTGCAGATGCTGGCGCATTAAGCGCTAAGAAACCGCATTTTCCTTAGAAGTCATTTAACAGTGAAACTACCGTGATTGCAATAAGTTATTTCCGTCGCGTGCAACAATGACACGTGCTTGCGTGATTTTATCCGTTCATGCATCTTTTTTTTTTTTTAATGTATATCTGCATACGCAGTTCTTATCCTAGAATAGATTACAATTCCTGCGTCAGTAGAATAATTTGCTGTTATACCTTGAATAGATCTTTTTACAGATTGTTATTATTTTCATCAATTTTCCACATATTAAAGTAAAAGGTATAACATATTATTATGTTTCTCAGATGTACACATTGTAGTCATGTTCGAAAAGCATGAAAGACACGAGATTTATGAGCTAAGATTTGGAACAAGGTACATAACTATTATTTGAATAGGTCTTTTAAATAGATAATGGTCGAAAGATAATCAAGGATTAAAACCAGTGACACAATATAGAAAATACCTGATTAACTTTGTCATTTCATGAAATGTTATATCAACAGAGTCAAGGAAAGCGATATAAAACGGTTCTGTGGCAAATGTTGCGATATTATCTGTAAAGACTCAAATGTAAGTCGAAATGAAATGCAAACAAAACAACCTTGTGAACACCAAAAGTTCATATTTCAAATATACCTTTTGGTGCTCACTCGGTGAAATATATTCCGATCTTACACTGAACTAAACAAATATCCTCTATATAAAACGGTTCTGTGGCAAATGTTTCGATATTATCTGTAAAGACTCAAATGTAAGTCGAAATGAAATGCAAACAAAACAAAATTGATTAGTTTTCATTAATATTGCTATATATAAAAAATGTCGAACACCTCTACATAGAAAACACTCTTGAAAATATTTATTTTCATACCACACGATGAAAATAAATCCTGTATTTATAGAAAAAAAACCCTGAATTTCCTCTATATATTCAGAAATTTCATAGTCGTTCAGTACAGGTATCTTGTGATAAGGTTCACCATTTACAATTACTGTTGTCTAAATATTTTGTTTCGAGATAATAGACGGCTTCTTCTGTTTCGTCTTGGAACATTATTTTCGGTAGAATATCGTCTTTCTTAAATACACTTTTCGGAAAAGACGTATCTGTCGCTAAATTAGAAACTGATCGAGAATTATCAAAAATTGGTAGAGACATATTAAGATGATTGACAGTACGGATTGAACTTTGAAAGTATTCGCGATCTGGAATAGTAGCGCATTTTCTAACTGGAGAAACATATACTAAACTGCGTCGGACATTGTGTGGCGTAGGTTGTCCACGGGCAAATGAGCGAGTGCGACATAAAGGTGAAAGTCCGTGAACAAACCTATTTCCCGACGGTAATGAAAACGAATCTGAGTGTGAATGTGTCTTCCTTATTGGTGAGTCTTTCTCTTTAGGATCCGGGGTTGAAGTTCTGAATTGACTTTTAGCTAGGTAGTCGATATCATGTTGAAATTCTGCAATACACGAATTAGAATCGTCACTTCGGAAATCACTAAATTCACGTTTTGAAGAAGATAGTTCCGTGCCAAAAGGAGATTCTATTTCATCCATTTCACTTGTACATGAAGACTGTTCGGAATACGATCTGAATCGGGAATCGGATCTGTTCAGGTGTCTGAAAAATGATGACGTGTTTTGAAGAGATGATGATGATAATGATGACGTTGATGTGGAAGAATCGTATCGTATTTTCACCGGTCCGTGGTCGCTCTCTTCACTACAACAACTGAGATTTGAAGAATTAAACGATAGAATACTTTCACTGTCACACATCATACGAACTATTTCCGGATTACTCAAAGACATAGACACGTCTCGTGAGTGAGTTGTCGCGCATGACGAATTATTTGTCGAATTTAACGGATGTGACGTCGAAAAAGAATGATTTGCATTGGGGTAGTAATTAAAATAATGATTAAGAAAACTACCCTTTAGTCCAAGATCTTCTTCCAACTCGTTCGGTCTAAATTTGTTCAACAGATACAATTGAAAGTTCGTAGACAAATCTGATGATTCAAGTCTTACATCTGAATGTTGTAATTCGTTCAATGTCTTGCTTATCAAGTTGCTCTTTGGATAATTTAGATGGCTGGTTCTTGATGTTATTCTCTTGCAGGAAATATCGTCATACCTGGTATCATTGTCTATCTGACTTTCTATAATTGTTTCTAAGTTTGATTTGTTTTCAAATCTGAACCCTTCTCCACCAAAGTCAACTTCGGATACATGCCCATTGCACAATTCATTGACCCTTTCTTTACCTTCAATTATGACTGCATCTTTATTAAACTCCAAGGCAATTTCTTCCTCTCTTGAGTTCTCGTCCCGTCTTGTCTTTATTGACAATCTTTCAAAGTCCGCCATAACGTTTCCTGTGCGGTCATCTTTGTCTTAAACAATATATGAGACCAAATGGATATGTTTACATAATTTAAAACATAAACTATTAACTATCTTAATATTCAAAGTAAATAATCCTCTGGTAACCATGATTCGTTACCCTTAACAATATAGTTTAACTAATTCGAACTTTTATTGTGACGAAAATATACTGAACTATACAATTTAGAACTGAACAAATAGAGATTTACCACGGTCTGCTAGAGTAACGGACACGTCATGAGACGTTAGGGTATAGTAAAATTGTATCAAATCAAAATCAAGACGGAATTGGGGCACCCGACGATAAAATTTGTTGTACGTCAAATGCTACATATTTAGCCATAAGGTGTCATACAAATACAATTACTTTATAGTAATTACTAGCACTGATATTAGAGTCTTGATAATTCGTAAATGCAACTCAGTTACCTTCCATGCTCGAAATTTAATCCATTCTTTATTTCTTCTATAAAAAATTGGTCGAATTATTATGATTATTATGGTTACGCTATGTAAAATGTCCAATGACGTCATGACGTCGAGCAGACGGATTCCCGCCATTATCATTAAATAATAAAATTTAATAATATCTTTATTTAAAGAATGTAACATGTAGATAAAGCACCATACAAAATTACATGCTCACGCTCAAAACATAATATGCCTACATGTGCATTGCATCACTGTTTAATCGAACTTCAAATCTTTAAAACTAAAAATCTGAACTTGATACAACTTAAAATATGAATTTGAGGTTGTCATTAGAAGTTTAAGAAAAAAGTACTTTAATATTTTATCGTAATTGTCCTAGTTTTCTAAGAAGCACGCAACTTACGTTCCATTCCTTTAATTTAATTACATTTTCTTTGGATCTATTTACAGGGAAAAACGACATGTCCTTCATGTATATGGCATTTTCTTTCTGAAATAAGTTTTGAATGCATAACAAAATAATTAGAGTTTCTTCATAACAATGCGTCTCAGCAACTGATAGCCGAGTGTTTTAACACAAGACATGCTGTTCTTTTAATCAAAGAGTTCTAAATTGGAAAACTGAGACAAGATATCTGCCTCAAAACTTTTAACTGTGACGTTTGACGTGTGGATTCTACGCATCGTCCCAAATGAAATAAACGGTTGACCAAAGTAATCATGATTATTCAGGTTGTTTTTTTTTAACCGGAAATGAAAATCTTGTACATGGACTCTGCATGTCGTTCAATTAAAACTACGTTACCTTGTACGAGTACATGGACTCGGCATGTCGTCCCAATGACAACTATATAACCTTGTACATGGGTTCGGCATGTCGTCCCAATGACAACTATGTAACCTTGTTCACGAACTCGGCATTTTGTCCCAATAACAACTACGTTCCCTTGTGCATGGACTCGGCATGTTGTCCCAATGACAACTACGTAACATTGTACATGGACTCTGCATGTCGTCCCAATGACATCTTCGTTACATTGCACATGGACTCGGCATGTCGTCCCAATGACAACTATATAACCTTGTACATGGCCCTTTCATGTCATCCCAATGACAACTCTATAACCTTGTACATGGACTCTACATGATGTCCTAATGACAACTACGTTACCTTGTACATGGACTCTGCATGTCGTCCCAATTGGGACATGTAGTCCCAATGACAGCTATATAACCTTGTACATGGACTCTGCATGTCGTCCCAATGATAACTACGTAACCTTGTACATGGACTCGGCATGTTGTCCAATAACAACTACGTTACCTTGTGCATGGACTCGGCATGTTGTCCCAATGACAACTTCGTTACATTGTACATGGACTCTGCATTTCGTTCCAATGAAAACTACGTAACCTTGCACATGGACTCTACATGTCGTTCAAATGATAACTATAACCTTGTACATGGACTTTGCATGTCGTCCCAATGACAACTCTATAACCTTGTACATGGCCCTTTCATGTCGTTCCAATGACAACTCTGTAACCTTGAACATGGACTCTGCATATTGTCCCAATGATAACTATGTAACCTTGTACATGGACTCTGCATGTCGTGCCAATGACAACTTCGTAACCTTGAACATGGACTTTGCATGTCGTCCCAATGATAACTTCGTAACCTTGTACATGTACTTTGCATGTCGTCCCAATGACAACTATGTAACCTTGTACATGGAATCGGCATATGTCGTCCCAATGAAAACTTCGAAACCTTGTACATGGACTCAGCATGTCGTCTCAATGACAACTACGTTACCTTGTACATGGACTTGGCATGTCGTCCCATAACAACTATATAACCTTGTACATGGACTCTGCATGTCTTCCCAATGACAACTATATAACGTTGTACATAGACTCGGCATGTTGTCCCTTTGACAACTATATAACCTTGTACATGGACTCTACATGTCGTCCCTATTACAACTATCTATCCTTATACATGGACACTGAATGTCGTGCCAATGATAACTATGTAACTTTGTACATGGACTCTGCATGTCGTCCCAATAACAACTATGCAACCTTGTACATTGACTCTGCATGTCGACCCAATGACAACTACGTTAACTCGTACATGGACACTGCATGTCGTCCCAAAGACAACTATGAAACCTTGTACATGGACTCGGCATGTTGTCCCTATGACAACTATATAACCTTGTACATGGACTCTAAATGTTGTCCTTATTACAACTATGTATCCTTGTACATGGACACTGCATGTCGTGCCAATGATAACTATGTAACCTTGTATATGGACTCTGCATGTCGTCCCAATAACAACTATGCAACTTTGTACATGGACTCTGCATGTCGTCCCAATGACAACTTTATAACCTTGTACATGGACCCCGCATGTCGTGCCAATGATAACTATGTAACCTTGTATATGGACTCTGCATGTCGTCCCAATAACAACTATGCAACTTTGTACATGGACTCTGCATGTCGTCCCAATGACAACTTTATAACCTTGTACATTGACCCCGCATGTCGTCCCAATGACAACAACTTAAACTTGTACAAGGACTCTAAATGTCGTCCCAAAGACAACTACGTAACCTTGTACAAGGACTCTAAATGTCGTCCCAAAGACAACTACGTAACCTTGTACATGGACTCGGCATGTCGTCCCAATGACAACTATGTGACCTTGTACATGGACTCTTCATGTCGTCCCAATGATAACTATGTAACCTTTTACAAAGACACTGCATGCCGTCCCCATGACAACTACGTTACCTTGTTCATGGACTCGGCAAATCGTCCCTATGACAACTATATAACCTTGTACATGGATTCCACATGTCGTCCCTATTACAACTATGTATCCTTGTACATGGACACTGCATGTCGTGCCAATGATAACTATGTAACCTTGTACATGGACTCTGTATGTCGTCCCATTGACAACTATGTAACCTTGTGCATGGACTTTACATGTTGTCACAATCACAACTATTTAACCTTGTACATTGCCTCTGCATGTCGTCCCAATGACAAATGGACTCTGCATGTCGTCCCAATGACAACTATATAAACCTTGTACATGGACTTTACATGTTGTCACAATGGCAACTATGTAACCTTGTATATGGACTCTACATGTCGTCCCAATGACAACTACGTAGCCTTGTACATGCACTCTTTATGTCATCCCAATGACAACCTAGTTACCATGTACATGCTGATGCACTCTGCATGTCGTCCCAATGACAAATGTATAAACCTTGTACATGGACTTTACATGTTGTCACAATGACAACTATGTTACCTTGTACATGGACTCTGCATGTCGTCCCAGTGACAACTACGTAACCTTGTACATAAACCCTGCATGTCGTCCCAATGACAACTATATAACCCTTGTACATGGACTCTGCATGTCGTCCCAATGACAACTATGTAACCTTGTACATGGACTCTGCATGACGTCCCAATGACAACCTTGTAACCTTGTACATGGACTTTACATGTCGTCACAATGACAACTATGTAACCTTTTACAAGGACTCTGCCTGTCGTCCAATTTACAATTACGTTACCTTGTACATGGACTCTGCATGTCGTCCCATTGACAACTATGTAACCTTGTACATGGATATACATGTCGTCCCAATGACAACTATGTTACTTTGTACATGGACTCTGCATGTCGTCCCATTGACAACTACGTTACCTTGTACGTGGACTCTACATGCTGTCCCAATGACAACTACATAACCTTGTACATGGACTCGGCATGTCGTCCCAATGACAACTATGTAACCTTGTACATAGACTTAACATGTCGTCACAATGACAACTATATAACCTTGTACGCTGAATCTACATGCTGTCCCAATGACAACTACGTAACCTTGTACATGGTCTCGGCATGTCGTCTCAATAACAACAACGTTACCTTGTACATGGACTCTGCATGTCGTCCCAATGACAAATATGTAACCTTGTACATGGACTTTACATGTCGTCACAATGACAACTATGTAACATTGTATATGGACTCTACATGTTGTCCCAATGACAACTGTATACCCTTGTACATGGACTTTACATGTGGTCCCAATGACAACTATATAACCTTGTACACGAACTCGGCATGTTGTCCCAATAACAACTACGTTACCTTGTGCATGGACTCGGCATGTTGTCCCAATGACAACTACGTAACATTGTACATGGACTCTGCATGTCGTCCCAATGACAACTTCGTTACATTGTACATGGACTCGGCATGTCGTCCCAATGACAACTATATAACCTTGTACATGGACTTTACATGTTGTTACAATGACAACTATATAACCTTGTACATGGCCCTTTCATGTCATCCAAATGACAACTCTATAACCTTGTACATAGACTTTACATGTTGTCCTAATGACAACTACGTTACCTTGTACATGGACTCTGCATGTCGTCCCAATTGGGACATGTAGTCTCAATGACAGCTATATAAACTTGTACATGGACTCTGCATGTCGTCCCAATGATAACTACGTAACCTTGTACATGGACTCGGCATGTTGTCCAATAACAACTACGTTACCTTGTGCATGGACTCGGCATGTTGTCCCAATGACAACTTCGTTACATTGTACATGGACTCTGCATTTCGGCCCAATGACAACTACATAACCTTGTACATGGACTCGGCATGTTGTCCCAATAACAACTATGTAACCTTGTGCATGGACTTTACATGTTGTCACAATCACAACTATGTAACCTTGTACATTGACTCTGCATGTCGTCCCAGTGACAACTAAGTTACCTTGTATATGGACTCTGCATGTCGTCCCAATGACAACTATATAAACCTTGTACATGGACTTTACATGTTGTTACAATGGCAACTATGTAACCTTGTATATTGACTCGACATGTCGTCCCAATGACAACTACGTAGCCTTGTCCATACACTCTGCATGTCATCCCAATCACAACCTAGTTAGCATGTACATGCTGATGCACTCTGCATGTCGTCCCAATGACAACTGTATAAACCTTGTTCATGGATGTAACCTTGTACATGGACTCTGCATGTCGTCCCAGTGACAACTACTTTACCTTGTACATGGACCCAGCATGTTGTCCCAATGACAACTATGTAACCTTGTACATGGACTCTGCATGTTGTCCAATAAAAACTACATGTATATAACCTTGTTCATGGACTCTGCATGTCGTCCAAATGACAACTACGTAGCCTTGTACATGCGCTCTTCATGTCATCCCAATCACAACCTAGTTAGCATGTACATGCTGATGCACTCTGCATGTCGTCCCAATGACAACTGTATAAACCTTGTACATGGCTGTAACCTTGTACATGGACTCTGCATGTCGTCCCAGTGACAACTACGTAACCTTGTACATGGACCCTGCATGTCGTTCCTATGACAACTAAGTATCCTTGTACATGGACTCTGAATGTCGTCCCAATGACAACTACGTTACCTTGTTCATGGACTCGGCAAATCGTCTCTTTGACAACTATATAACCTTGTACATGGATTCCACATGTCGTCCCTATTACAACTATGTATCCTTGTACGTGGACACTGCATGTCATGCAAATGATAACTATGTAACCTTGTACATGGACTTTACATGTTGTCACAATCACAACTATTTAATTTTGTACATTGACTTTGCATGTCGTCCCAATGACAAATGGACTCTGCATGTCGTCCCAAAGACAACTATATAAACCTTGTACATGGACTTTACATGTTGTCACAATGGCAACTATGTAACCTTGTATATGGACTCTACATGTCGTCCCAATGACAACTACGTAGCCTTGTACATGCACTCTGCATGTCATCCCAATGACAACCTAGTTACCATGTACATGCTGATGCACTCTGCATGTCGTCCCAATGACAACTGTATAAACCTTGTACATGGACTTTACATGTTGTCACAATGACAACTATGTTACCTTGTACATGGACTCTGCATGTCGTCCCAGTGACAACTACGTAACCTTGTACATAAACCCTGCATGTCGTCCCAATGACAACTATATAAACCTTGTACATGGACTCTGCATGTCGTCCAAATGACAACTATGTAACCTTGTACATGGACTCTGCATGTCGTCCCAATGACAACTATGTAACCTTGTACATGGACTTTACATGTCGTCACAATGACAACTATGTAACCTTTACAAAGACTCTGCATGTCGTCCCATTGACAATTACGTTACCTTGTACATGGACTCTGCATGTCCCATTGACAACTATGTAACCTTGTACATGGATTAACATGTCGTCCAATGACAACTATGTTACCTTGTACATGGACTCTGCATGTCGTCCATTGACAACTACGTTACCTTGTACGTGGACTCTACATGCTGTCCCAATGACAACTACATAACCTTGTACATGGACTCGGCATGTCGTCCCGATGACAACTATGTAACCTTGTACATGGACTTAACATGTCGTCACAATGACAACTATATAACCTTGTAAGCTGACTCTACATGCTGTCCCAATGACAACTACGTAACCTTGTACATGGTCTCGGCATGTCGTCTCAATAACAACTACGTTACCTTGTACATGGACTCTGCATGTCGTCCCAATGACAACTATGTAACCTTGTACATGGACTTTACATGTCGTCACAATGACAACTATGTAACCTTGTATATGGACTCTACATGTTGTCCCAATGACAACTATATAACCTTTTACATGGACTTTACATGTCGTCCCAATGACAACTATATAACCTTGTACACGAACTCGGCATGTTGTCCCAATAACAACTACGTAACATTGTACATGGACTCTGCATGTCGTCCCAATGACAACTTCGTTACATTGTATATGGACTCGGCATGTCGTCCCAATGACAACTATATAACCTTGTACATGGACTTTACATGTTGTTACAATGACAACTATATAACCTTGTACATGGCCCTTTCATGTCATCCAAATGACAACTCTATAACCTTGTACATGGACTTTACATGTTGTCCTAATGACAACTACGTTACCTTGTACATGGACTCTGCATGTTGTCCCAATTGGGACATGTAGTCTCAATGACAGCTATATAAACTTGTACATGGACTCTGCATGTCGTCCCAATGATAACTACGTGACCTTGTACATGGACTCGGCATGTTGTCCAATAACAACTACTTACCTTGTGCATGGACTCGGCATGTTGTCCCAATGACAACTTCGTTACATTGTACATGGACTCTGCATTTCGTCCCAATGACAACTACATAACCTTGTACATGGACTCGGCATGTTGTCCCAATAACAACTATGTAACCTTGTGCATGGACTTTACATGTTGTCACAATCACAACTACGTAACCTTGTACATGGACTCGGCATGTTGTCCAATAACAACTACGTTACCTTGTGCATGGACTCGGCATGTTGTCCCAATGACAACTATGTTACCTTGTGCATGGACTTTACATGTTGTCACAATCACAACTATGTAACCTTGTATATGGACTCGACATGTCGTCCCAATGACAACTACGTAGCCTTGTACATGCAATCTGCATGTCATCCCAATCACAACCTAGTTAGCATGTACATGCTGATGCACTCTGCATGTCGTCCCAATGACAACTGTATAAACCTTGTACATGGATGTAACCTTGTACATGGACTCTGCATGCCGTCCCAGTGACAACTACGTAACCTTGTACATGGACCCTGCATGTCATCCCAATGACAACTATATAAACCTTGTACATGGACTTTACATGTTGTCCAATAACAACTACATGTATATAACCTTGTTCATGGACTCTGCATGTCGTCCAAATGACAACAATGTAATCTTGTACATGGACTCGGCATGTTGTCCCAATGACAACTACGTTACCTTGTACGTGGACTCTTCATGCTGTCCCAATGACAACTAGGTAACCTTGTTCATGGACTCGGCATGACGTCTCAATGACAACTATGTAACCTTGTACATGGACTCTCCATGTCCTCCCAATGACAACTATGTAACCTTGTACATGGACTCTGCATGTCCTCCTTATGACAACTATGTAACCTTGTACATGGACTTTACATGTTGTCACAATGACAATTATGTGACATTGTATGTGAACTCAGCATATCATTCCAATGACATCAGTTGAACTATCATAAATTTTCTCTATACATTGCAATAGAAAAAGAGCCGACATGCCATTGCTTTTAGACAGACGAACGATGAAATGCATCAAAGGGTCATCGGGTATAAAAAGATAAATGGATTAAATGAAAAGAAAACACAGTGATGTTTTGGCCTTTGTTTATTTTGTTGCATGTTGAAAAAGTGTTTCACTTGCAAAGTTTCAATGCACAATATTTCTATGTTAACATAAATATAGATCTATCATGTTTACTTGTTTACAACTTAAGTTCAGTTAATATATATACTCTAACATGTGCTTTATACATGATAATATTAAGATCTTTCTTATTATTATTAAGTACAGATATATAATTAACTTTCACGTGCATTTAGTGAAAACTGTGTAATTTACATTTCAAAACCTCTGAAATAATTTTTGGAGCTAGATTTTACCTCACAATGACACTGCCAAGGTCATATGCTGACTTTTTCAACATTAACAGGTGGGCGAAGACATACCTCATGCTTGTTTTATACTCATCTTTTATCCAAACATAAGGTGTCCTCCCCCACTTTGAACACAATATATCATGATGTACCACTTTCATTGTTATCATAAACAGTACTGAATTTCATATATATAAAGTATATGAGCCGCGTCACGACAAAACCAACATAGTGCTTTTGCGACCAGCATGGATCCAGACCAGACTGCGCATACGCGCAGTCTGATCAGGATCCATGCTGTTCACTTACAAAGTCTATAACAAGTAGTGAAACTAATAGCGAACTGCATGGATCCTGATTAGACTGCGTGGATGCGCAGGCTGGTCTGGATCCATGCTGGTCGCAAAGCCACTCTGTTGGTTTTGTCATGACACGGCTCATATTTTTTCATTTGACTGCTTACCTGTACTGGTACTGAAAATACTTATAATTACATCAAAATGCAAGCATAGTATCAGTTTTCAACAAAAATCAGATCTGAAGGTTCATCAGTAAAATGAATTTATCATTCACCATTCACTCACAAAAAAATATTCTTTCACTCTCACATTCTAGTTCAGCAATCACACCACGATTTTATTTTTTTATTTTTTCAAATACTTTTTTTTACTGTATTTTTTTTTAGCACTTTTTTCACTTTTTTTACTTATTTCATTATTTTTTTCAGATTTTTTAGGACAATTTTTTTCTATGTAATAATAACAATAAATACAACATATTTGTGAATCAGTTTTTCAGATATATAGTTTTAATATCAAAACTGATCGTACTTACAAGTCAGGGTTGACAGGTTTAAAATTTACCAGATTTAATGCCATTTTAACAAGACTGTTGTTTGTTTTACACGTTTTGACAATATGGATTTCTTCAAATTTGTGAAAACAAATCTGTCTTCTTATAATGTCTCTAATTAACAAGAAAGAATAGTTTCTAAGTCTTGTACAAATATATATCAGTAACTGAGTAATGATTATTTATCAAAATCACATAAAGATTTCAATCAGCTCTTAACTGCATGGGATTCTTATGTAACTTTTTGTATTTTTCAAATTAGATGATTAATTTTGATGAACAAAAAAAATGTAAAAAACATGAATAATAATTCAATGGTTTGTAGTTAAATTGTTATATCTCCTATATAATTCCATACAAGTTACAACTGTTTAACACCAAACCCCTTGATTTGTTCAACTTTTGTAAAACATGTGATGAAAACATACTTGAAAGACTTGCTAAAGATTACCAACCAATGAGGAAAAAAAAAAAAAAAACCTAAGGGAACTTATTGGTTCTCGCACTATTATGTGCTTGGTAGATAGCTTATAGGGACTATACATGAATAAAACAGACCTCCTGCTTTTTGCATCACAGCTTTTTTACAAGCTCACACACAGTAAACAACCTGCATCAAGTCATAAAATAGTCACAAAAGTTTATCTCTCACTATTGCACTAGCTTAAAGGCATTCTATGCCTCAGAAATCCATATATTTTTTATTCTTTAGATATGTCAAACACGAGTTTAACAATGTTTTAATAATGCATGGGTGCAACTTGTAACGATGATAATGGATTTAGAGCAAGTTAAATGTTAAACAGATGAGGAAAGTAGCGTTAAATGTGCAATAAAGGTAACAAAATGTAAACATAGTTGTATTTTGACTTCCAAAATAATCATTTCTATAATCATACCCATCGCAAATAGATCTAAAAGAGCAAAAGACAATTAATGTTTATGACAAGTTAATATTATTTTGAAATTGTAATAAGGTACCAAAAATAAAAAGTTTTTGAGAAACAAAAATGATAGCGTTTCTGAGGCATAATGGGCTTTTAAATGAAAACATTTCAAATTCTTCGTAAAACAAGTTTAAAATCTTTAGCACATTTAAGTCAAGCAACTTTTCGAGGTAAGTAACAAAGAGCTATACTCTTCAATCAAATAACAGAAAAAATACTTAATTTCAAAGCGTTGAAGCAAAGTTCAAAATATTAGAAATATTTTTTTTTACATCAATGCAAAAAATGACATCTAATACTCGATATTCAACAAACATTGGGTTCAAGATTACAAAACTTGAGAACGTCAACCAGTCTAAGTCTCTAGCATCTGATTGGCTGAATTAGAAAACAAATTTGAAATCAACCAATGAGAAAGTTCAAATACCTAGCCTTGGACCCAAAGTTAGAAAACCTGTTTAAGTAATTTTCAGCATGATGAGATCACATAAAGTTGAGATTCCGTTCCAGTTTAACCCATATATTGTATATTGTTGAACTCGAAAGAAAGTCACATATTTAAATTTGAACTATCATTAAAGAACAGTTCAGATATTAATAAATAAAAATCTACCAGTAGCATCATAAATAATATCATAAACTGGTCTCCACTAAAGATGTATAATTTATACTTAAAATCGGAGAAAGAGCCACAATTCAACTAGCATGTGATAGTTTTTACTTTTGTAGAGTTGCTGCCCTTAGTACAGGACTTTTTTTTTTGCAACAGTAGTACTTTAGATTGATATGACAAAAGAGAAATTTTGAAAAAGCAATTACAGGGTTCTTTTCACATGTTACATTGAAGACTAAACTCATTATTTGTCGTGAAATGTGAATGTCAGGCAAGTATTGTGTGAAAAGTTGGTGATTTATAAGCAGCATTTATTAAAAGAATCACACCTTTAACCTGTAACCTGCTTTCCCACCAGAATAAAGCCATGCCATCCTGCACATTGTAGCAGTCTGACCAGGCTCTTTACTGTTGGTATCTCATTTCTTTTTCACTTTGGGCAATAATTTGGTTGTGTTATGGCAAGGCGCTTGTTTTATTTCATCATGGAAATCCTTCAAACTTTAAATGGACTGTTCCAAATTCAAAGCAAGTCCAAGCCATTACACAAATTCAGCGGGTTTACAGTTAAACTGCTAGTTAAGAAAATTACAAAACAAAAAGTACTATATGCTACAAAAAAAAAAAAATTCCTTGACATATGTTTATGACTAGATAACATGTTGTAATTCTAAAAAAGGGATATTCATAGAACAGCACAAAAAAGCCAAATTACAGCCCACATAAAAAACTTTATACTGGATTTTGCCAATCATAGATACTTTATATCAGGTTACAAAAACACCATCAGGATTTATTGGGGGAGGGGGAAACTGCATTTTAAGAAAAGTAGACTAAATAAATAATAAATTGCACAGCATTAACAAAAAAGTTTAAAGTATAAATATAGTTTCTGTAAAACTAAATATTTCTGGTTTTGAAGAAAAATGTATACAAGGCATCGTATAAGTTTGGCATACCACGTAACATTATAAAAAGAAAAATCTGAAATTAAATATTACTACTACCTCGTACATGTACATACAATATCAACAATGTACAACTCAGGATTATTATTTGTTTTTATCTTAATTCAGAAAAACTTAAAAAACTTTTGATTCTGCTACAATGGTTGCATATGTAACCAATAAGTTAAAAAGAAAAACCCACCAAAAAACGTGAAAAAGAAAAATCTGAATCTGAATCTAAAAATAGAACAACCCTTATGATCTCAATGTGAAAGGCTTTATGTATGACATTGAATAAACCAATCGCTGTCCTGTTTGACTAAGTTATCACAGTGAAGAAAAGTTCTGATTTTTTTGTTATATCTGTTAATCAAACTACTGGCGTCCATGGCACCCTTGGTTGTGAAAATCCTTTTGTTCCATCAGGTCCTTTTGGTGGGCGTGTTACGACGACACGTGGACCAACCATCTCCTCATTCATGCTCTTCAACCGGCTCAACAATCTTTCTGGTCGACGTTTTTCACTGTAACAATTATAGATAATTTTACACATAGAAATAATTCTACAAATCAGAAGTAAGATTTTCAACACTGTGATATTGTAATAACACTGTGATACAGAAATCATATTATCTTAACTGATATTTTTAAATGGGAACTTTTCAAATATTGATGGGCATCACTGTTTTTACAAAGCAAATGTAAATGGGTGAAATGAAAATAATCTTACAAAATTCAAACAAACTACTGGACACAAAATTTCCATGCATACAGTCTGGTTATTTTTTATTCATTCAACAAAGTCAAACTTACACATATAAAGGACACAGTCTGACATATGGTCTTAGATTTATAGCAAATGTGCTATTCTCTTCAATTTTATCTTATATTTAAAGTAACATTAAATAAATATGTAAAAATATTTTGCTATCGGCCTAAAAACCAGGCATTTTACAGTTTCATAAATCTTTTTAACAGCAGTGTTGTAAATCTCATCAAATATTGTTCATAAATTACAATTTTTAACGGATAACTCCACGGTAACACTGCATATGAATTTTGTATATGAATTTTAACATGCAAATGAAGACTGTTATCAACTTGTGTATGTGCTATGTCACAGTGTTAAAGCTGCTATACGGACACAGCAAATATGAGATTTTCTTGTGCAAACACACTTTAACCGTTTTAGCTTCACGATGCACTAAGTCTGGCGTTCAGAAAAAAGGAATCATCTCATTTAAAAGATTAAATTTGTATGAAAACATCCGTTACAATGAGGAAATATACCGTTAAATCAGGACTGCTACTTATAGTCATGTTTGTTGATTTAATATTGATGTACGGATGATCCGATGGCGGGGTTTCCCAGGCAAATAGAAATTGTACTTCCGATTTTGACACAATGAGGCTTACAAAACTCATTTTGTTTGGACACCAAAATAAGATCAGGAGTCGATGTGAAACCCAATTTATTAAAGAAATGTCGCTATTTCTGTTTTTATGAAATTTATTAAATGTAACTTTAACACTTCATGTACAAAACGCATAACATAAATCCTCCATCAATACATTAAGATTCAATTTTATAATGAGCCGAATACCATATTATTTTTCTAAATAAATCTTCTTACGTTATTTTCCTCAGACTACAGGCAGAGTATTTTCCATTACGTTGATTCTGAACAACGACAAATTCTACTTCATCCCCCGGTCCGACCTCAATACCTCCGTGCACCTCTGTCATATGGAAAAATAACTTCTTCCCTTCTTCCACCTCGTATGTGAGGAAACCATACTGCAAATAAATAACATACCATTGATTATGTCAACTATCAGGAGCTGTTGTTTATGTATTTGTCATTTTTATGTCAGTTCGACACAAATTTAGTCTTATCATGCTAGTTGGTACACATAAATCGTTTTATCACACACCCGTGCCGATTTTGCGACTCGGTAAATATGGTATTGCACGGCCGTGCATATATTTTGACGTGACGTCATGAGCGTTATACAAACATAGTGTAAAGACGCGCTAAATGTTAACGTTATACTATAGGCGCGTCAATGTGAAATTACTCTTATTTCACTTTAAACGGTCTTTATTTTTGGTATGTGATAAATAACAACAAATTCTTAAGTTCATTCCCCCCTGACTAATATTGCACTCGTTATGAAAATATTCCTCTTCACCCAGAGGCTCTGCATAAATAAAAATTTTATTCAACTTTGGGCTTAATATTCAGTATTGAATTTTACAGTTCCAATTTCAATATCATCTATTGTTCTTGGATAACTGACCAGTCATTACCAATTTCTCTCCAAGTGACTGACTACTAATCTACATTTCTGAATCGGCAGAAAGTGGTAAGAGACAAATGAACATTAGACTCAATGTCTCAGACCAATTGTCATATATCAGGAGCCATTTGCCTCCACTCAATATTACTTTTTTAAAAACATATTTCAAGAGAAATTGAAGAAAAACACAAAAGAACTTTTCCTCAGTTTTAAGTAGTAGGTACCGCGTCCTTGCCCATTCCGGTGCAATCAGAAAATGTGTTTCTTTACGCACTGAACGCGACCAATCGAATGTTTCCACCATTAAAGTGAAAGTGGATGTGCTGCTTTTTTGAATTTGGATAAAAAATGTTCGAAACATTTTCATTTTAAATAAATTTCTGTCATTGATAGGAAAATCCAAAGCTGCCCGAGTGTGTTGGAAATACTTTTTTTATTTTATCCCATATTTACCGGTTAAACTGAAAATTTCATGTTCTGACAAATAAAGGTCGTCTGCTGAAACTGCAGTGATGTCATATTCTGTTGAAAAAATTCTACTGAAGCCAAAATGGGCCATCAATTTACATACCACGGTACCATAGTGCTCTCCGTTTAAGCTCCCATTCAAAACATGACTAAATGACCATAGATGTTTCTAATTTAAATAATTGAATTATTCTATGAATGACATGTGTATTGCCACAGTTAAACATAATTTAATAAAATAGTAAATACAAGTTCTTTTTATGTGTAAAATTTGCTGGAAATAATAAGATTAGAACAGTGGTACCATAGGGGACCATCCTATGCCTCTAGATTTGTTAAATATAGTGTAGTTTGTTAGCTTGACTTTTGGAAAAGTTTCCAGTCCATTTCCTAGAAATAACAACAATCCTGTTGTCATATGATATAACAAGGTTGTGACAAGACTTATCTTTGAACCAACAATCTCTAGCCTTAGAAGCATAATCTCACAATAAAGTCGCAGCTCCTGTTAACCATTTAGCGTTAAAAATAACCTTTTAGGAAGGATATAACAATAAATATCACCATAAATACCTTATCTTTTACAGACTCCACTTTAGCTCTAATGAACTGTCTCACTGCTGCAACATGTATAGCTCTTCTCTCATGAGAGATTGAGTTTTCAGCTACCCGGAACTTTACAGCATCTCCTTTCTGCAGGAAGTCACGTTTGTCTGCTAGACTGGTAATACTGTATGGGTATGTCTGATTCTCCGGGTCATCTGTAAATGTAAGACTGTTTTTTGTTAAATATTTAAACCTTACTTTGCTAAATCTATTTCATAGAGAAGCCCTGCCTTGAATTCTAAACTGCCAATTGTATACATTAAGAAATTCCAGCTTTATTTTTACCTAAAGGCTTATAATTATTTTGTTTTTTTCTTAATGCATTATCCTACCTAAGGATTAAAAAGAGGGCCATGATGGCCCTGAGGTCGCTCACCTGTATAAAGGCACCCGGAGCGGGGCCAGTTTGAACCCCAGGGCTTTTTATTTGAACAAACTTGGAAGATACCCATAAGAAGATTGTTTCACGATGTTTAAAGTTTTTACTACACACATATAATGAAAAACAACGATCAACCCCCCCCCCCACCCGCAGGCCAATTTTAACCAAGGGCTTTTATTTGAACAACTTGGTAGACACGCATAAGAAAGATGTTTCAATGCTAAATATCTAAGCTCTAGCTCATTGGGATTTTTTAAAAGAAGATTTTTTAACTTTTTACTATACACATATAGTTAAAACCAATGACACCCCTGGGGCGGGGCCAATTTTGACTCCAGGGCTTTTATTTGAACAAACTTTGTAGACACTCACTAGAAGATGTTTTATGCTAAATATCTAAACACCAGCTATTTGGGTTTTTTCAAAGAACATTTTATAAGTTTTTGCTATATACATATAAGAAAAATCAATGACCCCCGGGGCGGGGCCAATTTTGACCCAAGGGTATTTATTTGAACAAACTTGGTAGACACCAATTATAACATGTTTCATGCTAAAGATCTTAGCTCAAGCTCTTTGAGTTCTTTAAAAGAAGATTTTTTAAGTTTTTACTATATGCATATCCAGGGAAAATCAATGACCTCCTGGGGGGCCAATTTTGACCCCAGGGCTTTTATTTGAACAAACTTGGTAGACACTCATTAGAAGATGTTTCATGCTAAATATCTAAGCTCTAGCTCTTAGGGTTTTTTAAAAGAAGATATTTAAAGTTTTTTCTTTCGGTTGCCATGGCAACCAGAGTTCTGCATGGAATTAAATTCTTTGAACAAATTTTAAAGGTGACCACCAAAGGAACATTCATGTGAAGTTTGGATGAAATTGGCTTAGTGGTTTATGAGGAGATATCATTTAAAGTAAAAGTTTACGGACGGATGCCGGACGGACGCCGGACGAAAAGCGATCACAAAAGCTCACCCTGTCACTTTGTGACAGGTGAGCTAAAAAACCCAATAAATACCAATAATATTATAAAATATATAGAAATAGACCTTAGTCTGATAGTAACCTTATAGAAATATGGATATAATTTTTTAAAATTCTGTCATATTTGTATAAGGTGTGCAAATTATAACTTTGATTATAGACATTTATACCATTGCATTTCTCTAAATTTGTTTCTTTTAAAAATTTGAGCAATTAAACTAAAAATTTTGACAACTCAACTTTGCATCTTAAAATGTTGAGCCAATTAGATAAGAAGGTGGACATCTAACCATGAAGCAAAGAGACTTGGATTCTGTGTATATTTAGCATTCTATACAACAAAAGAAAATATCAGAAGAAAAGCCCTTTAGACTTGGAATTGAGAATATTTTGTATTTTCCCAGCTTTTCCGGGGTATTAACAAACTTTAACAGTTACAACTTCCAAACAACCCACATCTGCTGATCCAGATAACATCTATTTCAGTCATGTGCCAATTTTTTTATTTGAGACATTTATAAATGTCAACTTTACTTACCGTCAGCACCAATTTGAATGAGGCCACAATATTCCTCCTGTTCCGGATTAACAATCCTCATAGGTCTTACAATCTTTCCCTGTAGTATTCCAATATCATCTACCAATTCCTGGGTAATTGAGAAAAAACAAAGAGTATAAAGAATGTAAATAGACTGTATGTTTAATACTGAATTTATCGAACAAGTTGAATAAAATCTTTGTATGCAAGCCTCTGACGAGTATTGAATCTACAAAAATATAATATTCTATTCATTACATATTCAAAATAAGAACAGTTTACAACTAAAAATTTTACCTGCATATAGTGTAATGCCAACATTAGCACCCTTTAACACAATATTTTTATATAATGCAAATGATGTCATGCCAGTGTTATCTCACTTGTGTAATATCGTTTTTATTAAAAGGCTGTATAACACACCTGCACAATTGTCTATGTGATCAATATAATTCATTATACATCTGATTTTATTTTTTGTAAATGTTTTTTTAAAGCATGCATGGCTGAAGATTCATACAAATTTCATGAGATTTTTAGAATGTGTTCAAGGAAGTTTTAATATTGTGTTAAAGTAATTAATTAAACCCAAAGAGCCAGTTATCCACAGGATATGTATTTTACAGTTAATACCTCGTTTATTGGGACAGTTCCAGAAGGTAGTTTCTTGATGTTTTCAGCACTAAGTTTGGCACTTTTCCTGGTTAACATATACTCTACCTCATCCCCAAGTTCAAGGTCATTGGTAGAGCCCTCAAATGCACTGAAATGAAGGGAAAATCAAAGTCATTGTTACAGACTTTTAACATGTGGACACATCAAGAAATAGCAATACTGTTTAACAAACAATTTGGTATCAGTTCCATAGAATTTGATGTAACTTTGTAAAATAATCAAAAGAACATTTTAAGTAATGACATCAAATATGGATGAAGTTCAAATTTTTGAAAATTGTTAAAAATACTATTCCAATGAAAATATTGCACAAACAAAACTAATTGAGCATTATTAAATAATTATTGAGGCTTTTTGAGTTTTTGAAACCAGTATCAAATCGAGCCATCCTAAATTTTTGTGTAGTCTGACAAAGCTCGATCTTGTTGGCTGCTAAATTAAAAAATTTTATACTAAAAACTCTCAGTGTCTAAGGCTGCTGTTGACAACAGATTCTATCTCTTTAACCAGTGCAGACCAAAATCAGCGGTCTGCAGTGTTCGCTATTAAGCAAGTACATAATTTTTGAAGTTTTCCCTATAAATCATGAATGGTTCTGTCCAGATTGAAAGACTGTCAGGTCCATTTATGATATTAAGCATAGTTAGGGTTAAACTACCAATGGACTGCTCCAAATTCAAAATTAGGGCAAGTTCATTATATAAATCTAGCAAGAAAAGTATAAAATATATTAATGATAAATGATATTACCTAAAGTGGAAGAAGACTTCTTTGTCATGATCTACATTCTCAATAAAACCATAATTGTCCTTTAACGTTGCTATAAAACCTTGACATCGACCAGTCAGATTACGTAGCACCAAACGTACATTCACAGCCATACGCACAGGACCACCAGGCCTTCTCTGCTCCCCGATGTTAAAATCTACCTTATCACCAAACCTGAAGGAACAAAAATATATGTATGAAACAGATATGATTTTTGATTGTATTGTTATATGATATTGTACCAAGTTCTGATTTGCAGTAACATTATCACAAACACCATTGTCCTTTGCATGGCTGAGTGGTTAATTCAATGAACAAGTAATCTAAGGATACTCGAATGTGGTTTCAAACCCCTCCATTGGCAAGACACTGTCTCCTTGAGCAAATAATTTAACACTAAGTACTGGTTGGTTTCAGTAACAAAATGGCCAATGTGTCTGTAAGCTTATAGCTTCTTACAAAATAAAGCTGAAATAAATTCTCTACAAACTAAACAAATAGAACAATATACTGTGCAATACTATTGGATATTATAAGAAAGATTAGTGATAATGTATTTTCAAATGTCAGTGATTATGTATTTTCTTTTTAGAATGCTCATAAAATAGCATCAATGGAAATTTGTTGAAGTTGATATCATGCATCAAGTTCCTTTCTAATTTCTATATATCTTATACAATAGCTTAGTCATTGTTGATAACCAAACCTATCATGCAGAATGAAATATTTTGCTTGATAACAAAAAGTTAAAACCACTAGCTTTATATTCTTAAGTCAACACACATATATGATATTACCTTGGTATACTCCTGAGATCAGTGACATCTTTGATATAGTAGAGAATTTTATGTATAGCACCGTCCATGTCAAATATAATGCTACCTGTATCTTCCTTACCATTCTTATCTGAAATATACAAGTTGTTTATATGTTTATATAGTGTTTATGTATATTTGTTTGTATACTATTTATAAAAATTTTAACATTTTTTTGGTCATATCTCAGTGGCCAGTCCATTTTACCGGCTTTCCTGGGTAACTAACTAATTAGTACCAATTTCTTCGCAAGTAACATACCACTTATCCCCATTGATTTCTGAATCAGCAGTACTAGACAAATGGCCATTAGACTCAACAGAGATGGAAAATTTCACTCGTCTGCTTGTAATTACAAGTAGAATTTAAGAGAACTCGAGGCAGGACGAGTAGTAAAATTTTATCTGCACATTGGATTTAGAAGCTACTTGTCCTGCAGGATGAGTGACTCTGAAAATATTTTTCAATGCTTGCTTAATAAAAATCAACTGTCATGCAGAAAATTTCTAGTCACACAAGGACTGAACTAGTGACCCCTGAATTACATTACTACTTTGCTTTCCCTATTAAGCTAAGCAGGAAATACACAATTTTGTTATTCATCACACTTTTATGTTTTTTGAAGATTGACTTACTTGGGCTTTTGGAGTTACAAGGTTCCTTCTCTATTGTACCAATATATTTCTCTGGTTTGACTACAACCGAACCAATAGAACCCTTAGGAATACCTCTAATTCTACATGCTACTTGTCGGCTAGGAGTTGTGGGGTCCTGAAATCAGTTTAAAAATGTAATTTTACTGGTCACATCATTTATTTTGTTGGTTTTACCAGTTAAGGTTATATCTTGTATTTTTTAACTTTAGTGGTAGGAAATAGCAAATACAGTCAATTTTTCAGCTTCTCAGGAATCAGACAACTCTAGGAACTCATCTGTGCATTATTTCAGGCACAAGTCTGTGCATCTCTAGAATCATTGACCAAATGTTAGCCGGCAACTTCCTTTTCTAATCTTGAAAATATTTATTCATCTAGAAATCATACAAAACTTAACTCCTCAATTTCTTATAAATTCATGTCTTCCATATATAACACACTTATAAATTACTGGTATTTGAAATGGATTATCATTTTTATATTTCAAAACGTTTAATTTGCTACTACTTTTCAGGTTATTCACCATATTTTAACACTAGTAAGTAACCTACTTGGGTAACAGTAAATTCTACTTCGTCCTGACATTTTGGCTCTGATTTAGGATCAAGGATTTCACTGAAGTGGAAGAACATGCGAGCATCACGCTCTGCACACTGTATAAATCCATATCCCTCCTTCAAACTTACAATTGTTCCCTGAAGTAAATAACAATTCATATACATGTATTAATCATTACTTCTAATGCTTTTAATAACATTTTATTTTTCATTGACATGCAGAAAAGCAAGCACAGCTTAATTTTTTATTTCAGCAAGCACAGATAAAATGACTATCTGTTTGCAACCAACTACTTTTTCCAATTCAACCCTTTAAAAAGCATTCCTTTTAATGTTTTCTCAAAGTAATCTAGATATTTTCCTTTTAATCACTTAGAAAAATATAAAATTTTGAATCGAGACATGCAGACATGGTGAAATCAATCTCTCTGTTTCTATGTGTCCATGCATGTAAAAGATATGCTCTGGATAAAAATGAATGTAATCATCTCTGTTGACCTTAATTTGCATAAATTAAACCTTGATTACGCTGGCAAGACTCAAGTCTCATGATTGTAAACATTTTGGATATAATTTCTAAATTCAATACTACAAAATTGTCCGCACACCTTTTTTGGTATTTTTATCCAACTTTTGACCTTTAAATGTGATCTTGACCCTTGTTCAAGGGACCTGAATTTTGTCCATGACACATAATTGTAAACATTTGTGCCAAGTTACATTAAAATCTCTCAATGCATGTACAAATTTTGCCTTTGATAAGCATTTTATCACCTTGACCTTTAACAAATAAATGTATCAGCGCTGAAATTTCACTGTAGCCTAATAACAAAAAAAGCTGAAAGTAAAAATCTTACAGTTTCTCTTCTCTCTGTTGTTTTTTCGAAAGTTTCATCGAGCATTTTAATTCTGGTAGCTCTCTGTAGTTTGTCTCTACGATCTGTGGCCACACTAAACTCTACAATATCTCCTTGCAACAATGTATACTCCCCATCCTGATCCTTGTCACCATATGGTATATCTGTATGTCTGTAAAAATATATGTATATGGTTTGAATACCTAATGATTATTTCAAAAAAAATTTTACCAATCCATGACTTTTAAATTGGGATATCTTATTTTTACTCTTGACATAAACTTTACATTTTTTTACTTTACACCTTTTGTGACCTTGACCTTAAAAATATTGACCTGCACTATGCTGACTACACTCAGTTTTATGATTGTAACCATTTGTGAAACAATCCCTCAATTCAAGACTACAAAATTGTCTATACATACATTTTTCTCTAACCTTTGACCTGTATGTCTGACATTAATCTTTGTGACAAGGGCCTGCATTTTGTTTGAGACACCCTGGCTCACACTGCAAAAACATTTGTACCAAGTTACAGTCTAACTTGTTGATGGTGGTCAGCAGAGGAATTGAACTAAAATGTCTATTAAAGATAGGTGACCACATTATCCACATACTTGCCATCTGATCATGGTCTGCATTGTATATTATTCAGTCAGTTTATATTTTGATATTTACCCTAAAAATGATAAATAGCTTTGTCCAGATTAAATGGTAGGCAAGTTTATTTAAAGTGTTTAGCATGGTAAAGGATAAACACATTAATATCTGCTTGCAGATTTCAACACATACCCTTTAGGTGTTTCATACTGGATCCTACCACCTAGTGGATCACTTGCTCTTTTGTTTGATTTCAATGTTTTCACAATCTTTCCTCGTTTGGTTTCAATGGATATATCTTCAAATATCACAGTTCCTGAAGGCAGTGGTATAATATTCACTGCTACCTCTTTACCCTGGAAGTAATATGTCAACAAATGAAAAACATATCTCATTACAAAGAAGTCTTCACCATAGTGCATTAATGAGTTAACTTCTATTTAATTTCAATGGGAGTTTAACTGTACTGTACAGTGGAGATGAGATAGATAAAATTTCAGTCTTACAGTTCAGAGAACAATTTATTTCAGTCTGAAACTTCAAATAGGAATCTGTTGTAGATGTCTTGGAAACATTAATAATTTTTCAAATTAATGTAACAAAGAATAGAGTTATTGCACTACTCTAGGCTTTAAGCCTTACTTTATTTGACAAAGACTGCTTTACACTAGTTACAATCATTAAGTTCGGATCCAGGACTTTTTACCGAAGAGGTGGTCAAAGTTTCAACAATGGGTAATGCATATTCCAAAGGAGAGTTAGTTTTCCGGTAGGAGTCACGAGTAAAAATTTTGCAGATTTTCACTAGCTTTTGCATGATTTTGCTAAAAAATCTCAAATTGATATCTAAATATAAAGGGGTTCAATATACCAAATCACATGTGCAGTCATGACCTCTTAAACCCAACCCACCTGCAGATATGCCAATGATTATCAAACTAAACCAGTATAGTAAACAATGATCTTTACTTAAAAGGTCAAGGTTGTACTTACATTTCTTGTCTGTATCTCAAACTCTATATCATCACCTAGCAACAGTTCATTAATGTTGCCCATGTATTCACTGTAGTGAAAGAAGATCTCCTTCACAACGTCTGCACGCTCAATGAAACCAAATGAGTCTTTCATAGAACATACTACACCCTGGTACTTCTTTAGCTTTTGTTCAACTAGTTCCAACTTGCGTGCATGCAAGTTACCATTTCTACAATACAAATTTATCAGTCTTTAGATGACATTCTATCTTTTATATATAAAACTAATTCAGATTGATCAATAGTTTTATATAGTAATATAATATAGTTCAACGGAAATATGATATACATGTAGTTCTACAGACAGTAATGAATATATATATACAAGAGCTGTCACAAGACAGCCTACTCGACTATTCTCAGTGAGGAACAGAAAGAAAAGGGCCATAACTCTGTAAAAAAGTAACTCATGAGTAATAGTACCTGTGCAACAAGTGTGTGAAGTTTCAACCCATCCTCTTAATGAGTTTTGGAGATACCAAGTTGCATGCAAAAACTGAACTTAACCAAAGTGTGACTGCAATGCTGAGAAAGTACATAAGCTCTCCCTATTTCTAAAATAGACCAGTTTGAAATAGTTTTCCAGTCACAAATATACAAGAAGGCAATCATCTTAAGATTTGCATATAATCATTATGATATATCATACCTTTTATCTGTTGCAATGAAGAAGGTCACTTGATCGCCGGGCTTTATCTGCGTACTTCCAGTGCTATCAACAATGTCATCCAATCCATAAGGCAGGAAAAACCATTCCCCATTGTGTTCATAAGTTACACGGCCTAGGCCATCAGTTGAGCCTACTGTCGATCCCTGAATATACAGAAACAAAGAAATCTACAAACAGCTGCCTTAGCCTGGTTGCTTAGGTGTTTAGGAGCAGATTTGAAAAAGATTAATTTAAATTGCAAGAACATGCTAATATAAATATGTTAAAACTAATAGTTCTTTGTTTATTGGTATTTTAATAGCTTTATTATCTATAACTATTCTAATATTATCTTTTTAACTTAAGTTCAAATATATATGTATTTATCAAAGCTTTTTTTATTGTTGCAAAGGTCATATTGAGACTTTCCAGCTTTACTGGTTGAGGAAGACCGCTGTGCATTATTTCAGAGGCAAATGGGCACCTAAATAACACCAACAACAGCCTATAAGCTAGCTTTCTCACAAAGAAATATCCAAATTCTCTTTCGGGATTCAAACCCACAATAATGAGAAGCAAGTTGATTGAAAAGGAATTTTTTTTTTTATTACTGCATTCTCTACATTACAATCCAGAGTTTTCTAAACTGTGTCCATAATGTAAGGTTTGTAATATCATAAATAATAATGTTGAAAGTATATAATATCATATATGACAACAAGCCATGAAAGTACATACACTCACATTTTTTGGCTTTGCTGGTTTGGCTTCCTGTACAACACTTCCAATGTATCGCTCTTGACTGAATACTTCACACGAAACAAGACTTGGATCAACTTTCACCATGTGACATGCTACTGGACGTCCACTACGACGATCATATGACATCTGAAACTCTACTGCATCTGAAACATTATAATTATCCTTTCATATCACAACAACTTTTTTATTATCAATGATGTTAATGACAGAGTCAAACTTAAGGTAAAATGTTGAACCATCGCTTGATAAAGATCAAGTCTTTTTTATTGTGTTCTAAAACACTGACAAGGTCATATGACAACTTTCAAACTTTTCTAGTGGGAGAAGACTCTTATGTGTCATTCTATGCATTATTTCAGGTATGCACCAGCATCGAAAAAAATAATCTGACTTCCTGTTGTAAACTAGCTGTATAGCTTCCTCACTTCAAATACTCCAAAGCCCATGGAGGCCTCCACAAGGCAAATTTAAAAACAAAATTGTCCTTCAAGATTTGAAAATTAACTATATACATGTACATGTATAATGATGGTGAGCTTAAGAGTTTACAAGTCAAAATAGATAAAAATCAAGGATAAGTAAAATGCTTATAAATATTAATGCAACCACCAAATATAGGTGTATAAAACTAGTCAAAACATTACCTCCAATTTTCAAGGTATCAACATCTCCCTGGAATTCACTGTAGTGAAAAAACAGCCTTGCTTCTCTATCACAACACTGCACAAACCCGTACGAGTGCTGTAATATAAACAGTGTAAAGTATAATCTTTTTAAATTTTTTGCATTATATTTGACTCAGTATAGAAATAATATATGTAAGATCAGTTCAAAATACAGAATCATAGGAAAGACACAGCTTGATACACAATTACAAGTTACAACTTATAAAAATAATTCATGATTGATGAGGATTCTAGAAATTACATATAATGCTAGTAATTTGCTGCAAAAAGGAAAAAAAGTTATAATAACTAGAAATGTGTCCATAGGACACGGATGCCCCCACAAGCCACTGTTCTGTCAATCTTATGACTCTAGGTCAAATATTTTTTGGACTACATGTGCCACAAGTTGAAAACTAAAAATCAACAAAGGGCCATAATTCTGTTAAATTTGGTCGCAGCAAAAATTCCTTCCTTTACTACCATCTACACCTTAAGGTTGTTCATCCCTGTAAGTTTAAGCAAAATCTGCCATCCGGTTTAAGAGGAGTTGCGTTCACAAAATTTCTACATAGTATATAGTGAAAAAATCAACAAAGGGCCATAATTCTATTAAATTTGGTTGCAGCAAAAATTCCTTCCTTTCCTACCATCTACACATTAAGGTTGTTCATCCCTGTAAGTTTAAGCAAAATCTGCCATCCGGTTTAAGAGGAGTTGCGTTCACAAAATTTCTACATAGTATCTAGTGAAAAAATCAACAAAGGGCCATAATTCACAAAATTTCTACATAGTATATAGTGAAAAAATCAACAAAGGGCCATAATTCTGTTAAATTTGGTCGCAGCGAAAATTCCTTCCTTTACTACCATCTACATATTAAGGTTGTTCATCCCTATAAGCAAAATCTGCCATCCGGTTTAAGAGGAGTTGCGTTCACAAGATTTCGGGACAGACGGACTGACTGACGGACATACCAACTTTTGATGTTTATGAGGCAAATCAGCTCATAAACACCACCTGGACCAACGTCCATAAGCAAAATAAGCTCATAACAACAAAAAAAATAGCTCTTAATTTGAATTTTATGAGTACTGTTTTTGTTCTTTATTTAACTACAGAATGAAGCTCATAATAATTAAATGTTTGCTCGGACTGACGGACGGACGGACAAGTGCAACGCTATATGCTCCCACATTGTGGGGGCATAATAAACGAATGTTTCTTAACATCTTAAAATTAGAAATATGAGTCTGAAAACAGGAATCAAAGATCCTGATGCCAAACAAAATTTTTTAAAATGAAAGAAAAAACTACAAATGTGTCAGATAGGACACAGATACCCCCAATGTGACACAGATGGACAACATTAAATCTATATGCCGCTTCATAAGTAGTTGGGGCATAAAAATGAACTATTTACTTCAATTTAAATTAATTTCTTTCGTTCAGTTTATATAAGACATTTCCTTACCAGGAGTTTCTCTATCAGACCAGTTTCCCTGGCAACCTGGTTGTTGTTGTTCTGTGAAGTTGGTGACGAAGACAACACAGAGTTGATCAGGTTTGGTCCACGCTGATACGATACAATGGCCGGATCTTGTACAGCTGGCGGCTGGAAATTCTGCAGAGAAAAATAAAGATATACGGTAATAAATAATGCTATTAAAAACACAACATGAGCTGTCAGTGTCAGTAGGACAGCATGCTTTACTTTTATCAGTATTTGATTGTAAAACTAACAAGGAGAATTGTCTAAGTTTAAAGTGCCAAAATTCCATATCAGACAACAAGAAACCATGAAATAATTAAATATGGTTGTTGATGGCAAGTGTGAAGTATATGATCCCATGTAATATGAGCCGCCTTATGACAAAACCATCATAATGGGTTTGCAACCAGCATGGATCCAGACCCAGGGCTTGAGCTAGGTCAAAATTTTAGGGAGAAGTCTTCACTTCCAGCTGATTTAGGGAGAAGTGAGGAGACTTTAGGGAGAAGTTGGGGACAAATTAGGCGTCATGTGGAGAATTATAAGCTAGGAAACTTTACACACCAATAAAGAAATAAGAAACACTTCTCAAATAAACAATTCTACTATAAATCTACTTTACATAAATGTATACCAATAGCAAACACAATATTACATGAGTGAAAGTTGAAAATTTGGAAAAGCCTGAAAACCTTTATTCATGATCATTTTCCTACATTATCTAATAGTCATGCCTGAAAACTTGCACCCATGCATATCCTGTATACATGTTGTGAGTATGTTTAGTTGGTAACAATATTCAGGGCAGAGCAGTGCCACTTGCCATTGGCAATGAGTCAGACTGGTCATCATCTACTTAATTGATTTGCCCACAAGCCAGAATGTTAGAGACATTTAATTTTGTATAATCAGCGTATTAACTTCACGGAGTTCAGTGTACTAATAAAATATTAGATACAAATCTTCACATAATTTCAACAGATTAGTGCTCCGAAAAGTTTTTAACAATCGAGTTTTCGAACATATTCTCACCTTTAAGATGTTGAGCAGTGTTTATCTTTACTCGTCAAAACACCGCAACAATTATCAACAATTATGTATATGCAGGTGTCTTTAATCATGCAATCGGCGAAAATTGATTGAATCTGTCACCATTTTGTGTAAATGTCAACAATTAGCCGAGGTATGTAATTGTTTGTGTGTCGCTGATTGGTCAATGCAAACTGTCTCAGATACAACGCGCGTTCTAATTCGTGAACTCTTGCCTTGCGGCGTGTATTAGACTTTGTTGATGTTGACACGCGTTTTTAACTAGCGGATTAAAGGTAATTGGTTGTAATTGAGAAGTAAATAAATTGTTAACAGATCTAGCATCGTAAAAAAGTATGACAGATCACAAAAAAATCGGGCGACTTCAAAATCGCTTTGAAGTTTGTTTTAGGCGACTTCTTCGCCCAAGTCCCCCCTAGCTCAAGCCCTGCTGAGACCAGCCTGTGCATCCGCGCAGTCTGATCAGGATCCATGCTGTTCGCTTACAAACCCTATTACAAGTAGAGAAACTGATAGCGAACATCATGGATCCTGATCAGATTGCGCAAATGCGCAGGCTGGTCTGCATCCATGCTGGTCGCAAAACCACTATGTTGGTTTTGTCATGACACGGCTCATATATCTTTATATACATGTAGCAGATAATAAAATATTCTAGAACAAAATATTACTCATGTTACATATGTTCATTCTAAATGATAATCACTTAGAACTTCATCAACATTTTTTTTATAAGAATATCCAAATGATAAATTTCAATTATTTTATATTTGAAGTTCTTACTGAAAAATGCCCATTGTAGACAGATCCAGTTTAAGCATAGTTTAAAGATTTCATCACAATCAAGCTGAAATAATTTAATAAATATATTCAAACTAAAACTTTAAAATGAAAACAAATTTCACATTCCTATTGAGGATTTAGAAAAATAGCCATGATACTGAAATGACCACTTACCTTCCACTGAGGACTGCTCACTTTGCGGCTAACAGTTGACATCGCTTTATTTATTGTTTGTGTGCATTCGCTTATGTATTTATAGTTTGTCTTGTCCTCAGATGCTGAAAGTGTGCACTGGGTTGATGAGGGCGCTCCTGTAATGTTTTGTATCTTCAGTTCCTTATAAGATTTGTTGTTCTTGTATGAAGTTCCGTGTGTAACAGGTTTGTTGCTTATTTCAAACCATACGCTGAAAATGGATAAACATCAAATTTGATTAATTTTACTAGCTTTTAAGTAACAAAAAATACAGAATAGGGTTTGTAACAATGTACTAATATTCATAGAGACGATCAAGAAAGTAAAACATTATCAAGGATGATTAAGTATAGGGGCTTGTCATTACGATTTCTCCGAGATTATTTTGTTTGTTTTGAATTTGAAACAGTCAGTCAGGGCTCCCATTAAGTCCTAAAATTTCAAAGTCAGAGACTGCAAAATGTTGGACTGTAGAAGTCACATTATATAGGTAAAGAAGGAAAAGCTTTACATATTTGATAAACTATATACCTTTAAAATCCTGTTAATTTAAAGTGACATTATGCACCTTTTGTGTTAATTTCATTGTCAAATTGACTGTAAATTTCAATAAACTGGTTGTTATAATGGTGACTGACCAACACATGATATTTAGAAATGTTTAGGGTAAAAAGTAAATCTACTTAAATATATAAAATGACTGCCCCACTCTTTTTATAAATTGAAAGTTACAGATACATTCCGACAAATAATAACACACATTTCACAGGGTTTAGTGAGTTATTTATCGTCATGTGAAGTAAATTAATATGAAATTAGGAAAAGCCTATGAACGGGGAAGTTGTTAAAAATTCCTTTCATTTTTCCATTTTAAAGGTGTCATACAGTGTAACATACACCGCTTCCGTTTTCACTTGGAACACTCGACGATAATTATAAATCTGAAAAGTTGAGATTTGTTCCGTTATCAGAATACACCTTTTATCATTGAGTTACATTGTAAATGGCGGCGCCTAACTAGAACTGAGTCAACTGACACTGAAAATTTCATTGATAGGTATAGAATTCTATATATTTTTTTTTTATTTTTTTCATTTGATTTTCTTTTAAATATACACATGTAGTCTATAGCCGGCAAGCCAAAGCCCTGGCCTGCGATGTGGGCTTGGAATTTAACTTCCCTGTATAAAATTGAAAGGAATTATGAGAAAATGTTAACTTATTTTGACTTTCACCTGGTCCACTCTATATCTACCCATGGATAGGCATAATGTCACTTTAAATATCTTTGGTATTATGTTATAATAATTATACGCGGAAAGTCCAACGGGTCGAAGGCCCCGCGAGGGCTGTAGCGCTCTTAGATAACATGTATGACGCGTATCAATTCAAATGAAATCAAATTAAAAGTAAATGAAAATTTCAAAAAATATATATATCCTATACCTAATGAGCTGTGAAAAAATCCTTAGTTAAATGGGCGCCGCCATTTTGAAATCCTTTTGAGCTAAATATAGATATCACAGCGCTTTTTAATGAGCGTCTACATAATTCAGACTATTGCTAGCAGACGCATGCTTAATAGCACTTCCAGTGAAAGAATGATGTACAAAATCAGAAAAAATAAACACTCATTTCATTCATAAGAACTATAGTAACGATGATAAATGTAAAAAAGTTACTTTTAAATCCATTTTGATAAATTAGCACATTAAAAATATCGTAAAAACAACAGATGTGATAAGAGATTAACAGAAAATGGCGGACGGGATTTTCCAAACGCCGACGCATGCGCAGTGGTCCCTCTTCCGATGATAGGTTGAACACCACCAATTTATTCGTTTCTGTTTACGGTACAAAATACCTGCATTTACTTATTAACGAATTGCATGATAGATCTGGTTAACAAGTACACTAAACATGATATGCTTAAATCATAAGAGCTTTCCGCGCCATAGGTAGCACCTAATTTCATATTATCAAAATTTGCTAGAATTTTATCACATGCTACCTAAAAGGAAAACTGAAAACAAACAAACCAATTGAAAGTTTATTTTCTTTGTTAAAAAAATAAAGGATGATGAAGTGTCCTACGACATTTTTTTATTTCAAAATATGAGGGGTGAAGTGTCTTGTTAAAATACTGACTGATAATGTTTACCAACCAAATAAATAAATTAGTCATGAGTTGAACTTAAAGAGCTTAAGGCTGTTTATAAAAGAGGTTAGACATCAACTTATCAAATTATGGGAGAAAAATATTGTAAAATTAAAAAAAAAACTGCTTAGCATAACTTTATTAAATTATCAAGTGTGCCATTTTAACATTTATCATCCATGTAATGGAATAAATAATGAAATTTTAAATTTTTTTGTTTCTATGGGGCTTTCATTGTTATATCAATATTATCTTTTGTTCCAGATGTCTGACAAATGAAGTCATCACTTTTAACCCAGTTACAATTTCTAATTAATGGTACTTTTTAAAAACATAATGGGTTAAATCATTAAAAAAAAAAATTTTTGAATAAATACAATTAGAATTATGACATGAAAAGTGTTTACTACGAAGAACTAGATAATTTTATTCACCCCTTTTGCACAGTTTTCCAGCAAAGCCGCCATTCAAGTCTTGTGTTATAGTAATTTGTACCATGGAAAATTAGTCCTAGGAGTTAACAGTAAGTGTGAAGTAATGTGGCTTAAAAGGGTATAAGATTAAATGAATTACGCAAATTTTGAATCATTTTAACAGAAATAATTATTTAGTTTGTTACATCTTGGTAAATTAAGAATTTTCTAATAGGACTGTTTGCAATGATTATAATTTACTAAAACACCGTTTAGAAAAGTCTCTAAACTTTTAAGAAAATTGATATATCTATATGAGTTAAATTTTATACATTTGCTTCTTTAAGTAATTTCAAATGTAGTCACAACTTTGTTTGCATTGCAAATTTTCTGGTAGCATTTGTAGCATTGATTTTGTCAGGTTTATGCAATACACTGAAACTGATGACGTAGATCACATCATCAGTCTGGAAAGGAAGCAGAAATTTAGAAAATATTTGTTTTATTACAAAATATTAAGAACATATAGGTGATAAGGGTATGTCAGCTAAATAAGACTCTGAAAGAGAATCTTTTTCTTAAACCACTTATTCTTTGAAGCTTTTCATTTTTTTTTCAATCCTTATTTGACCATAAATTTATTGACAGGTGAATTGTTTACAAATAAACTGTGACTCATTATCATTACCCTCTTGACAAATTTTGAAATTTTCTGTATTTTAAAGAAAAGGATAAGGCACTTGCTTCAAATTTACCAAGTAAGTATAATCTCAGTGACTATTTAAAGAGGCTGATTGGATAAAGTTTATATTTTAAGATTTGGTTACAGGCAGGGTTGTCATTAACATTTTTTGCAGAAGGTTTGTTTTGAGCTTGAGGCAGTCATTTCTGTCTTTATCATGCAAAACAGAGTGTTTTCTTAATTTTGAGGCGGCCCATATTGCATTTGAGACAGGCATTTTGGCCTCCTGCCGCCTCTTAATGACAACCCTGTACAGATGCCCGGGTTACCATAAGGAATTGATCTACTTTATTTATTCTGAAAATTTCAATTGATAGGTATAGAATTCTATATATTCTTTTATTGTTTTTTATTTAATTTCCTTTTAACTTTTTAAGCATACACATGTAGTCTTAGCCGGGCAAGCTTTGCAGTCCCAGCCTTTGACTTCCGTGTATTATATTGAAAATTTCTGTGTGATGATGTTAAATAGGCAATAGCTCAAAACTAAGCTTGATGGCTGCAATCTAAAAATAAAATTAAAAAAAGTTGGCAGAAAAATCGCAATAACAAAGTTCAATATTTCACTATTTTAACAATAATCCCAGACGATTACAGACACGGTCTCATTCGAGATCAAAGAGAAGTCATTTTGCCAAAACAAGCTGTTTCTATCAGTGATTCGGTACCCTTTCAGGTAGAATAAAGAATATCATCAGCCAATCAGAGCGTCCCTTCACATAGAAATCAAATGATTCAATTTTAAACCCATTTCTTCATGTTTTGCAAAAGTATCACTCTACTTTGTGTAAAAGGAAAACTTATATGCACGGAATAAAAAGTTCCTGAACAAAATATAATTCTGCTTTTTTAAGTTTATCAATGATATTGTGCATGAGCAGTTAATTGTGAATGAAATACTTTTGTATACAAAATTCAACAAAAAGCCTGTACATTACAGGCAACAGATTTATGTACATGTATATATTTTTTATACGCTTTAAGAATTGATTTTACCAAAATACTTATAGATAAAAGAAAAAAATCAAGATGCCGCTTGAATTTCTGTTTGGGAAGAAGAAGACACCTGAGGAAATGCTACGTCAAAATCAAAGGGCATTAAATAAAGCTATGAGAGATTTAGACAGGGAAAGAGCAAAGATGGAACAGCAAGAAAAGAAAGTCATCAATGATATAAAGAAAATGGCAAAGCAAGGACAAATGGTATTGAAATTACTACTGGTCTTTAACAATCAATTTTGTAACATTGACATTTAATTGTAATATTAAAGGCCCATTATGTCTCAGAAAAGCTCTAATTTTTATTTCTCAAAGCTTTGTAAATTTGGTATTCTATTATATACATGTATTTAAAAAAAAACAAAAAAAAAACAACTTAATCTCATTGGTCAGTTACCTAAATAATATTTTGCTTAAGTTGCTTAATGAGAATTAGTACAGTTATAGTGATTCAGTATTTTGTATGGAAGTCAACATACTACTTTGTTTACATTTTGCTACTTTTATGACAAATAGTTTCACTTTCATCGCTACTTCCATTAGATAATAAACATCTATCATTCTCTTAAACAATTATTTTAACATTATAAAACTCAAATTTGCCCTTTCTAAAGAATGAAAAAATAAGTTTCTGAGGCATATTGTGCATTTAAAGGTCCTATTTAATGCCTGTACAAAAATATACTTACTACCTTGACTATCTTGAATCCTGTATTATTTCCATTTTAAGTTATGATTCTCTAACTTATAAACTTTACTGATATATTTCTTTAATCAGAGATCTGCCAAGAATTTGAAAGTACTGGGCCCTGGGCCCACTTGATCTGAAAATGATGGGCCATTTTTACCAAAGTATGGGCCTTGGGAAAATAAGTAAACATTGACCAAAATAACTGTTAAAAAGTTTGTAGATAATTAAATTTCCCTGGTAATAAAACTTAAATCATATTTTATGACAAGTGGTTCACTTATAATTCAGTACTTAACCAATAATTAAAAATTATGCCTACATGGTAACTTTCCAACTAATATTAATTGCAGGCAAAATATTTTTTAAATGGCTGCTCTAAAATTTGATATGCAAATTTATTCACATAATTGCTGGTTCTTACTTGTAATGTCTTATATATATTGTGCATTATCCATTTAATTGTTCTTACTTTGCACCAAATGTCCCTTACCACTGTATATTGACGAATTTTATTGCCCCTTGTATGCCTCTGTGTAGACAGCATACATCAAGGACATTTGCCGACAGACCTTTTGATCATGAAAAAAGTCATGCACATTGTTTCTCTGATTGGTTAAACACCCTGTCAAATATTCTGATGACGAAATATACATCTTTTTTGTGTCGCCTCTACGGAGTAGTGGCGACATATAGGGATCACTTCTCCGTCGTCTGTCTGTCCGTCTGTCTGTCCGTCCGTCCGTCACAAAACTTGTCCGGACTACTCCTCATAAACTACTGGTGCAATTTCATCCAAACTTTACAGGAATGATCAGTACCAAGTCTAGTTGTGCATATTGTCAGCATTTTCCGGTTCAATGATTTTTGTCAGAGTTATGGCCCTTTAATAATTTTTAATTTTAAAGTTTGTCCGGAGTACTTCTCTTATACCACTAATGCAATTTCAATGAAACTTTACAGGATTGATCTGTAGCTCAAGTCCTTGGGCATATTGCACGGGTTTTCCGGTTGAATGATTTTTGGCCGAGTTATGGCCCTTTGATAAAAAGGTTTCTTTTTCTGTGTGTTGCCAGATACACAAAAGCTTGTCCGGACTACTCCTCATAAACTACTGGTGCAATTTCATCCAAACTTTACAGGAATGATCTGTACCAAGTCTAGTTGTGCATATTGTCAGCATTTTCCGGTTCAATAATTTTTGTTTGAGTTATGGCCCTTTAATAATTTTTATTTTTAAAGTTTGTCCGGACTACTTCTCTTACACCACTAATGCAATTTCAATGAAACTTTACAGTATTGATCTGTAGCTCAAGTCCTTGCGCATATTGCACGGGTTTTCCGGTTGAATGATTTTTGGCTGAGTTATGGCCCTTTGATAAATTTTTTTTCTGTGTGTTGCCAGATAAGCAAAAGCTTGTCCGGACTACTCCTCATAAACTACTGGTGCAATTTTATCCAAACTTTACAGGAATGATCAGTACCAAGTCTAGTTATGCACCGTCCGTCTGTCTGTCCGTCTGTCACAAAATTTGTCCCAATATGAAATTGGCCATCATGAGGCGACACATGTGATTACTGATCGCTCTTGTTTACACTTCATCAGCCAAAACTTGCGTGAACTTGAGTGACCTTAGGGTTGATCAAGTTGAACACCTGTCAGATTATACTGTAACTTACAGCATTTCTTAAAATAGCAACACTTTTTTTCAGTTACCGATAATCATTTTAAATATTAAGTAGTTGTATAATTTGTTTGTTTGTTTTATTGGATTAAATTTACGGTAGTAGAAATGCTTATCTGTGTGGGATTTAAGGGATAATGAGAAGAAATGCGGTAAGTAGATAACATGGACAAAAGCTATAGGGGAATGGATAAACTCAAGAATATGCGTATTTACAGGAGCATGGGTAACATGTTGCTGTTGGTACCAGTTTTGACTGGATGACTAAATAACCCAGCAGACAGTTTTTTTTTCTTATAAGTCTGGCACAGATTTTAGATGCGCCCATGGCCCTTTGCTGCCGATTTTCCTGCGCCATTCTCATTTTTTTAGCGCCAATGTTGCAAAATCGCGTCCTCGGCAGATCTCTGTTTAATACTTCTTTCGAGTCAAAATTTAAAATAATTGCTATTGAGGTGACAAAAGAAAAGATTTGTTTTGCAGGATGCTGTCAAAATTATGGCTAAAGATTTAGTGAGAACAAGACGCTATGTGAAGAAGTTTATTTTGATGAGAGCAAATATCCAGGCAGTTTCCTTGAAGATTCAGACATTACGATCAAATAATGCCATGGCACAAGCCATGAAAGGGGTCACCAGAGCTATGGGAACTATGAACAGACAGGTTGGATAAGAAACAAATAAAATTATATTTGAGGCACAGCGTTCATTGCCATGTGATAATTTTGTCTGATTTAACGAATGTGCTATGTCAAATATCATAATATAATATAGATCTTACTAAATTTAGTTGTCTTTTACTTTAAAAAATTATATCAAGCTATATGAAGATTGAAGAAGTATCTCAGATACTCTTGTTTTAAGTAAAAGGCTTATATGAACTTTACAGGAATGGATATTCAAGTATTTGAAAGATCTTGATACTTTATAACCAGTATTTGAAAATTAATCTGCTCTAGCTCTAAGGACATACAATATTCACAGCTATTAACAAGATATTGATATGAGTTGATTTAAGCCTTGGTCGAAATTTTGGAAATTTGACTAACTGGTTTACATATTGTAGCTCAAGTTACCACAGATACAGAAGATAATGATGGAGTTTGAGAAGCAGTCTGAGATAATGGATATGAAGGAAGAGATGATGAATGATGCTATTGATGATGCCATGGGAGATGAAGATGATGAAGAAGAATCGTAAGTGAAGATGAAGATTTTTTTATTATTGCTATACAATTATATTCGTATATTTTATTACCAGGTATATATGTTTTATATGGATCAGTTATTTTAACATATTTGAAATATCCTCTCCATAATATACCTCTTTATTTATGGCTTTTAATTCTATTTACTTCTTTATTATACTCAATTAATTTAGGGCTTTAATCAGCACATCTCTTGATATGTTAATGTTTTTGTAAATCTGAAAGATTTTAAAATGACTAAACAGTTTGTTTCAAATAAATCAGTTATTGATATCCTTGGACTCTTTTTAAAAAACAAAAACAAAAAAAGCGGTATAGACTTTATCGAAAATTAATTTCTAATTACCTCCCTTTATTTACATGAATTGTTAAATTTAATAATATCTTTACAAATAATGCTTTTTTAAACTGACAATATTGATAAATCTTCATTTCAGCATAAGATTTATGATATTAAACTATAAAAAAATTTGTGTTACAGGATAAATAAATATATAATAAAATGCTACCATTCAAATCTCCAAATAAAAAAATGTTTCCTTTTTAATTAGATTAGTTTTTGATGCTTTGTAGGAGTGTGTGTTATTTTAAGTTAAGAAATCATGGTATTTCGGTAGCTTCTTTACATTCAGATTCTGTAATTAAATAAGACCATTTGTTATAGATTTGTTAATGAAAATTTTGATGTTTCATCCTTAAAATTCCATTACAAGTGTTTTCATATGTTTTCATTCTCTTCTGAATCATAGTAAAACCTTCTGAGATATAGTGATAATATGTGATTTCAAAAATTCATACAATATACATAAATATAAAATACGAATATGCAATCTCCCGCATAAAAATTGAATTTATTAATGAAATTTCTTATAAAAAATCCCTTTTCAGTGATGCTATTGTTGGACAAGTGTTGGATGAATTAGGACTTCAAATGGCAGATGAATTAACAGGTAAATGTTACTTTTTTCTTCAGTTCTTACTTACTACTGATATGAAATATATGTATGGTGAGGTTAAGTAAAACATGGAAATTTCATATATACTATTCTGAACAAAAAAAAACATGTACATGGTTGATAGCATGCCACTACAGAGTGCGAAACTGAGCTGAAATTTGAGTAAAATATGTTTAATAAAAACTTGATAATATCCAAAATGAAGTTTACCATATCTATCTCAATATGTGAATATTGAAAAATCAGCAGTTTTAAAAACGTTGATATTGTGTATGTTACTGTTATGCAAATGTATTAACATTCTTTTTTGATTAGAAAGAAAGGGGAGGGATGAAGAACAGGTTAAGCACCAGGTAATTCTGAACTTTATTTTAAAAATTTTACAGTTTCAGAATTATTGACCCCTTCTTCATGTTATCACATTCTCTGTTCATTGCAGGGTTACCTTCCACCGGAACATCATTAAAAGCTGGTGGGAGCAAACAGCCGGCAGCTGAGGCAGCGGGGGCTACAGGTGGTGGTGGACCGGACTCAGACGCTGATCTGGAAGCGAGGTTGGAGAATCTACGGCGGCAGTGATCACCTGTGATATAACATACATCATTATCAAAATAATATTAACATTGCTAAAAAATTCAATACCCACGTAACAAAATTAGTTGATCAGTGACATAGCTAGATTTATTAAGCTGCCATATGACAGGGCGTGACCAGTAATTGCCCAATTGTTAAACAGAACTTCGTAAGAAGAGACCTACAAATGTATTTTATATCCTTAGTCCTGCTGAGTTTTTGTAATGGACATAACCTTCTTTGAAACTAGAACTGTACATTGTTATTCAAGGGGATTTCAATATGTAAATGTTAAAACTGGAATGCAACTTTATACATGTGTAGGCTGATCATACTTCACAGATGTACATGCTGGCCTAGATTTGTAGTGTAGGCTTGGGCATATCAGTATCTCTGCAAATATGATAGGATTAACTTACTGAACATAATTTCAGACAAAATTAAACAGAAGTTAGTCAGAAAGGGGTAAAATTGATTGCATGTACAGTTGACAAAACTTTTTAAATGGTAATTGAATTTTCTAGGTAAAATGTTGTTATGTAACTGTTTAATATATTTAGTTCTATGTTTCATGAAATTTTTATATACCAATTTATTCTCATTTAATCCATTATATGAAAGTTTGATTTGAAAACTGTGTGATTTCAGTTATATGTTCATTACTTTATCAGGAATGATTTTCATCACTCCAAGTTGTAATCTTATATTTTCATTCGGTGTACACATTTGGGGAAAAGAATGTCAGCTTTATACACGTCAGTTTTTTAGAGTTCCATCAAAAAACCATTTGTTTGTTGTATAATATATTTTTTTAATTTTATCCATGTGTTAGTACTTAATGATTATAGAGACAAGAGATAGTGATGATGATGTCCATTCTTCCTATATATCAAGGATTATTTATTCTAAAAAAACTAAGATCTGAACGTACATTGTTACCTCCAGTTTTTTTCCTCTTTCTTTTGTTTAAGACCTTAGCAATTTTTTACGGTTCACATGACAAAAACAAGTCTGTTTATAAACATACATGTAAATCTGCTAAAGTAGAAAAAATACTGCTTTAAAGTTGATACATAATGCTTAATGTTATTCCATATGTCATACTAAATTATTCTTTAATATCTCCAGGGACATTTAATTTTTTCGAGTGAGGATATTCAAAGCTTACAAGTTAGGTAATGAAAGGCAGTGGTTCAAGTAAGTTACCTGCTTGTGTATGAAATAATGCTTGGTGGGACACCTGAGGTCTTCTTCCATAAATAAAAGCTTGAAACTGCCATATGACCTTTGTAGTGTCTATATGACTGAAACCCAACACCACAAAAAAGTTTTAAAATCTTTTTAAACTTTATGGTAGTCTACATTTTATAAATAAATTTCAGAATATTTTCATAGCTTAAACATTTCTAATTTCTTAAGATGAAATATTTGATAATTCTATAATTGCCTGATATTTCAGTAAGCTTGAAATTTTAGGAAATAGTTCACACAAGTTGAAATTTTTATTCATCAGTTATTTTACACATTTTTCATGGCACTGTGTACTGAGTTATGTATATATGTGTGTAAGTGCTGTGAATTGAATGGTGTATATGTATATATCAAGTCAGTGTCATGCTGTGTAATTAAGGAGATATATTGACATATTATCTCTCATATGTAGATATTAAAATCTATGTGCAATGCTGGCCAATGCAGTGTGATATCGAGAGTATAATTGTGCACATGTATGTATGTCACCTTAGTGCAGGAACAGCTTAACTCCTTATTTAATATATTAGGAGTTAACCTGTTCATGCACTGTGGTAATGATCATTAATGATTGATATTTTTGGCATGACTGTAAAAATATTAAATGGAGGCCTCCAGATGGAAGGTTTAACATTTTAGCAAGGTTACCGTTTAACAGGAATCATTAACCCTTAGCGTGCTAATGGCAATTAACTCTAACCAAATTATGTGTGCATACCAAGATCAGCTAGCACATTCAGGCTTTTTGGAGATATTCTGCACTGTTTGCTATTCTGTCAATACATATTTTTGAATTTTCACCAAAGAAAGATGAAAGGTTTTGTCATGGTAAAGGGTTAAAATTTGACTGCAGCTCGAATGGTTTGATTTTCTCCTAACTTGGAATTGTTTTTTGTGTGTGGAAGCCTTACTATTGGCCAAATGAAAGTGTATTGATCCATTTATTTTTGTGGAATTATTCATTTCTAGTTTTCTTCTTTTGTAAAATACATTAAACTTCATATTAGATAAATACAAGGACAAATAATTATTATTGGTCTATTCCTAGACTTAAAATACAAATCATAACTCAACATTTTGTAACCGTTCTGATTACATCAGTTTTTGTCTAGTTATTGTTTGATTCTATATTGATGTTCAAAGTCTTAATGTTAAGTTAAAGTATTTGATTTCAGATTTTTTTTAATTATCAATATTTTTTTTTATGCCCCCGCCATATAATGGCAGGGGCATATAGTGTTACCCTGTTCCGTCATTCCGTCATTCCGTCCTTCCGTCCTTCCGTCATCATCAGTTTCCGTTCATTATCTTAATAACCCTTGCACATATTGAACTCAAATTTGACATATGGATATGTCATGAGAAAATACAGGTCAAGTTCGAAATTGGTCATGGTTCGATGATTTTTGGCAGAGTTATGCCCCTTTTACATTGAAAATAATCTGAAATTTTTAGTTTCTGTTCATTATCTCCCAAACGGTTCAAAACATTCAATTCAAAATTGACATATGGATATGTCATGAGAAAATACAGGTCAAGTTCGAAATTGGTCATGGTTCGATGATTTTTGGCAGAGTTATGCCCCTTTTACTTTGAAAATAATATGAAATTTTCAGTTTCCGTTCATTATCTCCCCAACGGTACAACACATTCAACTCAAACTTGACATATTGATATGTCATGAGAAAATACAGGTCAAGTTCAAATTTGGTCATGGTTCGATGATTTTTGGCAGAGTTATGCCCCTTTTACTTTGAAAATAATATGAAATTTTCAGTTTCTGTTTATTATCTCCCCAACAGTATTTAACATTCAACTCAAATTTGACATATTGATACGTCAAAGGAATGCGCAGGTCAATTTCAAATTTGGTCATGGTTCGATGATTTTTGGCAGAGTTATGCCCCTTTCACTTTAAAAATAATATGAAATTTTCAGTTTCCGTTTATTATCTCCCCAACAATATTACACATTCAACTCAAATTTGACATATGGATATGTTTTTGGAATGCGCAGACCAAGTTCGAATCTGGTCATGGTTCAATGATTTTTGGCAGAAGTAATGCCCCTTTCACTTTGAAAATGATATGAAATTTACAGTTTCTGTTCATTATCAACCCAACAGTGTTACATATTCAACTCAAAATTGACATATGGATATGTCAAAGGAATGCGCAGGTCAAGTTGGAATTTGGTCATGGTTCGATGATTTTTTGGCAGAGTTATGTCCCTTTCACTTTGAAAATAATATAGATACATCTTAGGAATAAGCAGTTTAAGTTTGAATTTGGTCGTGGTTCAATGATTTTAGACAAACTTATCTTTCCTGAATGTTGGAAAAATTTTGAACTTTCAGTTTCAGCACTCATACTTTTGTGGAAATGTATATAGCCATTATGTTGGCTACAAATATGCAATATGCTATTTTTAAAAGGTTAAGACTGAATAATTTCAGTGCCTTGAACATTGTATAAAAATGGTTAAGACTGAATAATTTCAGTGCCTTGAACATTGTATAAAAATGGTTTGTGTTAACATTGAAAACTTTTGAGGGCTTTGAACTTAAAATGAAAAAAATAATTTGTGCAAACAAATTTGGAACTAAATATTATAACATTTGAAATTTTGGCTGCATGCGGGGGCATCCGTGGCATGATGACACATTTCTAGTTTTGTTTTTTTTTTGAACGGGTTTTTTTGACTGAGAGATACATGTATGACATGACCCAGATGAAATAACTTAAATAAGATACTAGTAATACATTTTTTACTTTTTACATGTTTTACTTTTGATTTTGTATGATTTTATTTCTCAGGTAGCTTTTAAAGAAGACCAGAAATGCAATCTTTTCAAACAATGATTTAACTGAATTAATGTCAATTACTTATTTTCTTCATCATTGGATTCAGAAATATGGGATAAAGAAAATAAAATTACTTTTTAGAAAGTTGAAATATCAAAATAACTAAATAAACTTTGATTAATGGATGGATGGATGAATGAATAAATGGATGAATGAACGAACAAATGAATGTTGCTTTTAAAACTTTAGATATCATTGTTTGGTGCGAATGTATTATTTTAAATGTAGTCTTCATGTTTTCTTGTTCTAATGAGATAGTATTTTGTTAATTTGATATTTAAGATAAGAAGTTTCTTGTAGATAAACCATTGTAAGATATGAACAAATAAAATCTGTAATATCTTGAAAATTTGCTTCTTTTTGATTTATTTTCCATTAAGATAATTTTACCACCAAAAACGAAGTTTGACGGGGGTATATAGGAGTCACCCGGTGGTCGGTCGGTCGGTCCAGCGGTCTGTTGCATTTTCCTTGTCCAGAGCATAACTTGAAAACTAATGGTTGGAAGTCAATATAACTTCATACAATGGTCAAGCACATTGAGAGGAAGTGCAGTGCACAAGAACCGTAACTCCATCTTGACTAATTACAGAGTTATTGCCCTTTGTTACTTTTCCTTGTCCGGAGCATAACTTGAAAACTACTGGTTTGAATTCAAAATAACTTCATACAATTGTCAAGCACAATAAGGGAAAGTGCAGTGCACAAGAACCATAACTCTATATAAAGTTATTACAGAGTTATTGCCCTTTGTTACTTTTCCATTGCTTTCTTTTGTCCGGACCATAACTTGAAGACTAATGGTTGGAATTCAATATAACATCATACAATGGTCAAGCACATTGAGAGGAAGTGCAGTGCACAATAACCATAACTCCATCTTGACTAATTACAGAGTTACTGCCCTTAGTTCCTTTTCCGGAGCATAACTTGAAAACTACTGGTTGGAATTCAAAACAACTTCATTCAATTGTCAAGCACAATAAGGGGAAGTGCAGTGCACAAGAACCATAACTTCATCTTGACTAATTACAGAGTTATTGCCCTTTGTTACTTTTCCATTGCTTTTTTTGTGCGGAGCATAACTTGAAGACAAATGGTTTGAATTCAATATAATTTCATACAATGGTCAATCACACTTAGAGGAAGTGCAGCATACATGAACCATAATTCCATCTTGACTAATTACAGAGTTATCGCCCTTTGTTACTTTTCCTTGTGCGGACCATTACTTGAAAACTACTGGTTGTAATTCAATACAACTTCATACAGTTGTCAAGCACAATAAGAGGAAGTGCAGTGCACAAGAACCATAACACTATTTTGACAAATAACAGAGTTATTGCCCTTTGATACTTTTCCTTGTCCAGAGCATAACTTAAAACGTACTGGTTGGAATTTAAAAAAAAAACTTCATACAATGATCAAGCACAATAAGAAGAAGTGCCCTTTGTTCCTTTTCCTTGTCTTTCTGGACTTATTGCAGAGTTATTCAATAAAACTTCATCAATGGCCAACCACATTGAAAGGAAATGCAACATACAAGAACCACAACTATCTTTAATTGCCCACAACCATAACTGTATTTCAATTGTTTTACAAGGTATTCTGTTACTAGTAACATCCTCATTTCCGAAGCAGTCTTGAGATATTAATCACATTTAGTGATAGTTCTAGTTTAATTAGTTCTAATATCCATGCCATGTGTTGTATTAATGTAAATACATTTATCACATAAACCGTGGCGCAGGTGTGTTATAAAGCCGTTTAATAATCAAAGCACAGAAGGCCCTGAATTTGTTTGGGTCTCAGAATGTCAGAAAGGTAAAGGTTGTGAGATTATAAACCAATTTGTTTTTGTATAGTGCCACCAGTGCTTTCCAGCGTTTTAATTGTAGTTAATTGGCTTTAAGACTAATTGCAACACTGATATTCAATTCAATGTTTTTTTGACTTAAACAATTTGAAAAAAAAGAGTTGCCTTCCTGGATTTGAACTCCAGACCCCTCGGCCACGGTGAAGTTATATGTAAAAGACCTGAAGAAAACCATATTATTCTATATTAGGGTTTGTAACCCTTATTATTTCGACGCTAACTGTTGTTTAACACAGATGTTAATAATCATGGAGTTTATTATAAGCATGTATATCTATAAAGAATAAAACAATATTAGAAATCTTCGACCATTCGGGAATTTTTTTGCTTGAAAATTAATGCGCCTGTCATTTGACCATCTTTATGCAGTGATCTCCCCTAAATTTTTTCGGCGTTAGTGTACATAAAAAGGGAAGTAACCGCTTCAAAAAAGCGGCCTACTTTCGGCATTGGCAATTAACAGCATCAGACTCTGAAATTTCGCTACCATTATTTGTTATTACAATAAGCTATGAAAAAATGCCATATTGTTTCCAATTTTACGTGTCGTCTGCTAGAGAGATGTCATACCTGTAAAATTATGGGATAGTACATGTACATGTCAGAGGGAAAATACAATGTCGCCGTACGTAATAAAAAACACATAAATTGTATCTAAAATGAGTTATGTAATACTTTTATTGTCTGTATACAACATATTAAAATTAGTTAGTATTAAATACTATATTATAGCTGTGTTTAAAAATAGTCTAGCTCCGTGAATGAATTATATTTTAGAAATTAAAAAAAAAACTAGAATGAATCTCGCTGTTTCAGTAAGCAGACATTATTCCAAAAGGATCCGTCAATGATTCTTTCATATCCAGTTGTTGGTATCCATAACAATTGTCGTCTGCTGATTTTTTTTTGTATTTCTCCATGATGGATTTGTGCAGTTTGAAAACTTTTCTGCAGGTAAGTAAACATTATTGTTTGAACATTTGACAGGCACGGAAATATAAAATTTATAGATTAAGTCTATCCAGTGCATGAAAGGGTGTATTCCTTTAAATGGCAGAGACAATGTTGGCGTTCGTGAATGCATGTGCATAGTGGCTCTTGAATATCTTACATGCAGATGTCTTTCTTTTATGATCATTGACATGCCTTTTGTAACTATACGTCACAACTCGGGCTTAAATTTGACACATTCATATGGTTTCGGATCTGGACATGTCAATACATTGCTAGCAGTTGAAATATGGCGAAAACGTGCCATTATTGCGGTCGGTCTATTTACCCCAAGACACCCCAAGACATCCCAAGACTACTCCAAGACTACTCCAAGACACCCCAAGACACCCCAAGACTATCCCAAGACACCCCAAGACTACCCCAAGACACCCCAAGATTATCCGAAGACACCCCAAGACACCCCAAGACTTTATAAATATACGACCCTGTAGGAGATAATCTCAGGGGAGTAACTAGGTACAACCGATATCATTATTGGAATTAACTCTTGGGTGTCTTGGGGTAGTCTTTGGGTGTCTTGGTGTATTCTTGGGGTGTCTCGGGGTAGTTTTTGGGTGTCTTGGGGTAGTCTTTGGGTAGTCTTTGGGTGTCTTGGGGTAAATAGACCGACCGCAATAATGGCACGTTTCCGGCTTTTACATTTAATAGTTGCTGGTCTAACACCAAAACTGTAAAACCTCTCGCGTTGCACACCATCTCCCCTTTCGGAATATTTGATGTAAACTTTCGGTTTTTCTACATGTCTAAGGAAAGCGTCTACACTGTTGCAAAACTCGTAATATGAACGGGTTCGTTTCACCGCATGCTTTCTAGCTTTTTAATTAACTTAACAAGTTATCTACCTTACGTGCCATGTTTCCTTCATCGACTCTTACGGATTTCTTTACAATTAATTTCCCTTTCCTCTTCGGCCCGACGCTCCAGCTTTCTGTTTTTCTAGAACGCTGGCATACTAGTAGGTTACAATGCCGTGACACGAAGCATCAACTTCCGTTCCTTGATCAGCATCAACATCTGATTTATTAACATCTTTGTCATGACCGTCTCCAACGCCATCACTGTGTTTGAAGTGACAAAAGATTTCACTGCTGTCCTGACAATCTCTGACTGGTATAGCAATTCTGAGATTAGAAGAAAATTGATTTTCATTTTTAGAAAATTACTTTGCAGAAAGATATTACTTGCATGATTCGTTGAAATTAATTAAGATACATAAACGGAGTAAAACATTAATTTGAAAATCGATTTCGGTAAGCCTGTTGCATTAAATAGAGCTTCATGTCCACTATAATACTCTCAAACATCTTTGTTTCTTTTTTTAAAACAAATATTTCGTATACAATTTAAAGACAACATTGCCGTCTTCGTTTTTAAATAGCTGAAATCTGAATCAAATATTTTTTAATATTCCGCTGTTAAAAAGCAACTGTCTTTGTGGGTAATGTATAGCGTATTGAAAACCACAGAGCTAACGTCTTTTTTACGCTAATTTGACGTTATTCTCAAAATATGTGCAAGGGCGACAATTTTGTAAATGTTTCTTGTGCGTTGCGCATGAGTATCGAGAACGTAATTTTAAGTCATACAAAAAGTTTAACTCATTAATGCAGCATAAAATAATTTGTAAGAGGATGCATTGTAATGTGTAGGAGAAGGCACGGTTAAACAGAACTTAAGTATCTGAAATTTAACTTGAAAGTAAAAGAACTTAATGAATGTATATTACTATTTGTTTACATGTTTATAGAGGCTATATTGACAACATATTGGTGATGATTTAAAACTCTTTTTATTAAATTTAAAATATGTAAAATGAACAAGTACGTTATATATACCATAAGACTTTTCTAATATTTATAATTGATTTTTTTTTGCAGCACAAATTTGTTATTTTGCGACTTTCAAATCGATGCTATAGCAACAAATCTCCCGTGTTCAGTAAATTTTAAACTAAAAAAAAGCAACAAACAAACAAACCAACAAACAAAATCAAAGCACAGAAGGCGCTGAATTTGTTTGGGTCTCAGAATGTCAGAAAGGTGAAGGTTGTGATTATAAACCAATTTGTTTTTGTATAGTGCCACAAATGCTTTCCAGTGTTTTAACTGTAGTAAATTGGCTATAAGACTAATTGCAACACTGATAGTCAATTCAATGTTTATTTGACTTAAAATTAAAAATCGAGACCTCTCGATTCATAAGCGAGCATGCAAACCCCTCGGCCACGGTGAAATTATAAGTACACGACCTGAAGAATACCAGATTATTCTAAATTAGGGTTTGTAACTCTTATAATTCGACGCTAAACACAGATGTAAATAATCATGGAGCTTACTGTAAGCATGTATATCTATAAAGAATGAAACAATATTAGAAATCATCGACCATTCGGGAACTACTTTGCTTGAAAATTAATGCGCCTGTCATTTGACAATCTTTACGCATTGATCTCCCCTGAATTTTTCGGCGTTAGTGTACATATAAAGGGAAGTAACCGCTTCAAAAAAGTGGACTACTTTAGGCATTTGCAATTAACAGCATTAGGCTCTGAAATTTCGCTACCATTATTTGTTTGGTCTGACGACCCAAACAAATAAAAACGATATTACACTAGTGTAATAACATTGTTGACGTAAGGTCATTGCGTTATATATAAACTTATATAGCGTTAAAGCGCGCTAATGTTAGTGTTTCACTATAGTCGCATCATTGAAAAATTACTCTATGTAACAATTTACGTTTTTATTTTATATATGTGATATATAGAATATTATATTCATGTAGATTCAATACTAAATTTATTGAACTTGTTTAATTAAACCATATAATGCTCATTCAATATCCTCTATGTATGTAAGTTATGATGTTATTAAAAGATCACACAGGGGTCAAACTCAACCTGATATGGCTAAAACAGAGAGTTTTTTATCAATGGAAGTTCCATGCATAGCAAATGTTTTTCTTCATATTGAAGAAAGCCCTGACAATTTTTAATTTATTGAAATATATCCAGTCACTTGATGCCAAAAGATCTGTAATAGATTTGCGTCAGTTTATATCACTGAAATAATGCAAAAAATTGTGTACAGGAGCGTAGTTTGGCCGACTTTAAGGTGGCATTACATCATCAAGACATTTTCTTTGCTCTTGAGTGTCAGAGGTAAACTTTGGTAAATATTTAGTACAATAAATATATTCAGGAGATACATGTAATATGAATTGCAGGTAGACAAATATTTTCACTTTCTTGGGGAAAAAAGTACAGGCCAGGTTTTTAGCTCACCTGACCAGGAAGTGGTCAAGGTGAGGTATAGTGATGGGGCTTTGTCGTGCGTCGTCAACAATTGGGTTGTTAACAGTCTAGCAGTCACAGTTTTGATTGCATCATCACCAAATTTTGTCAGAATGTTTGTCTCAATAAAAAACAGATCGAGTTTGGTTTGAAGATGTTATGTCGGGTCTAAAACTAGGTCACAGGAGCTCAAAATAGAAAAATCTTGTTAACACTCTAATGGCCGCAAGTTTGATCTTAATATTCTAGAATTTTGTCAGGAATGTTGTTTTGATGATTGTTAGGTCGAGTTCGAGGATGCGTCATTTCCGGTAAAACAATTAGGTCACAGGAGCTGAAAATAGAAAAGACTTGTTAACATTCTAGTGGCTGCAATTTTGATCCAAATTTTCTGGAAATCGGTCAGGAAGGTTGTTTTGATGACTTCTAGGTCAAGTTTGAATATGGGTCGTCTCCGGTCAAAAAAAAAAAAAATAGGTCACACTGCCCAAATAGTGAAAAAGCTTTTTAATACACTAGAGGCCACACATTTGACTCAATTTTCATTAAACTTGACCAGGATGCTTGTCTAAGACATTGCTTGGATGCGGTTGATGGGTCAGGGGAGCGATCTAGGGCCATATCATGGCTATGCCACTGATGTTAAACATAACCAGATAAATGAAGGCATTTTAAAACTTTCAATTTTATCATAAAATATATCATTCAGTCAATCGAATTTTGTATTATTATTAATTTTAATCTATATGTGGCATGTTCAGTTGTTAAACTGATAAGTCTTTTAGTTCCATTGAATACAATACTTTAAGTGTTGAAGATTTAATAATGCTTAATCAAACGGAGTCAGCAATGGTCAATTTAAAATGTTTGATCGTGATATCATAAGTGAGTCGCTGTGTATAATCGTACGGAATTATAATCGAGATATCTATGCAATAAATAGTTGAGAATAAGATTTACATGGTTCATAACTTATATTAAAAATAGTATTAACTTTATTTTTAATGATTTTGCAAATAAATTTTAAGAATTAAATGTTCTCTTATAAGATAATAAATGTTTGTGGTGAAAAAGTATCAAAATAAAAGAAAGAACAAGTGCAAAAATAACCTGAAACAACGACAACGAAAATAAGATCTAAATCTATATAAGAATATGTACCGTACGAAAATAAAATCTAAACAGTACTCTACGAAAATAAGATCTGTAAGAAAATAAAAGCTGTATGAAAATAATGTTAATACGAAAATAAGATCTGTTAGTAAATAAGGTCTGTAAAACCAATTAAAACCTGTATGAATTGATTATCATTTATTTGAAAATAAAACCTGTATGGAAATACTATATATGTACGAAAATAAGATCATATTGAAAATAAATCTATACGAAAATAAGATCTGTATGAAAATAATGCCTGTATTCGTCTTAGATTTTACAAATGTAAGATCTGTGAAATGAAAATAATATCCTTACAAAAATAAGATACATATGAAAATAAGATGTATGAAAATACTATATGTACGAAAATAAGATCCTATAGAAAATGTGATCTATACGGGAAAAAAATATCTGTAAGGAAATAATACCACGAATATGAGATCAATACGAAAATAAGATCTGTATGAACATAATGCACTATTTCAAAAATAAATCTTATTTTCGTAGCGCGATCTTATTTTCGCGAAAATAGCTTATTTTCGGTATCCATCTATACCGGTAGCTTTGTGAGAATTTGAACTTTTAGTATTTAAAAAAATGATGACACATATCTTTAACATATGACAAATCTTTAATATTTATGTAAGATCTTCGAAATGTCCAGAAATAGACATCTGATTTCTTGTGTACATGTAAATGTTTAAAGTTTTTAATAGACGTTTTCCTTTATTATTTTGTTAAGCGACGAAGACGATTTCAATAAAAGTGGAAAATTAGACATGGCCAATTTGGTCACGTGACTAGCAACTTGACAGTTTACAAATGGCGGCCACCATCGTTCAACAGGAGTAAATAGTTTCAATTGTTGTTCGCGATTCTATTTTAGCGTGAAATAGACTTTTCACTGCAACAATGGATAGAGGTTAGAATTGTCTTTACATTTGAAACGGAAAAAAATGTCTGAGAAATGAAAATATCATGTTAATAAAGCAAAATATCAGATTAATTGAAGACAGGTGCCCTATTTACAATAGTAAATCTTTATATACCTCCATGAATATATTAAGTCCCCAACAATCTCCTGTCTGTTAGTATGTTTTTACATAAATAGAGAGAAAATACGTGCACGTGACCATTTCTCTGATAGTTAAAGACCTGATAGTCAAACTTTTAAAGGGGGTTACAACAGACAATTAACTTTACTGAATTAAAACTTTATTTTGTTTATTTGTTTTTAATTAATCACTGCAATAGAGAAAGACATATTGTAAATCACTAAATGCAATATCCTTAAATGCATATAAATCCTGCAAAGATTGGTGGGAAAACAAGTAACTATGAGAAAATCAAAAATGAACTTTACACTAAATGAAATATTTAATAAACCTTTTAAAATTATTTTATTAAAATAAGAATTTAGTAAATGTATCTTCCATTTCATCAAAACCCTCCATGTGACTTTTCGGGTCACCAAGAATTAGAGCAGGTTTAAAAAGCTGTTAAACGTTTAAAGATAGGTGAAAAAGGGCAGATCTGTGTTAAGGGTGACACATGATTTACTTACAGCCTGATTAGACCCAGACAAGGTGACAGAACCTAGGGTGGTGGGGGGCATTCTAGGAATAAATTGCTCCAGGGGAGAATTAATCTTTTGAGTTATTTATAACTTAGGCCAAATGAACACTTAATAATACAGTTAACAACAGCTTTTGAAATTGCCCTGTCCTCCCGTCTGTTGCTTTATACAATTTTACACCATGCACTCTCACACATGGACAGCTGATTAAAAATATATAGTATCGAGTGTCCTTAAATTCATATTTAGTAAATATATAAATCGTTTTGAAATGGATATATTAAAATTGCCAATACAATGTACCAACTTAGTGATTCAATTAACCACTTTTCAATGAATAACCTTTTTTCAAATTTTAGAGCTTTTATTTAAGCATGTTTGTTTTTTATAATTGTGGGCAGAAGATATATATTATTTGAGATTCTTAAAACATTTTTATTTATGTGATGTATCCTGGTTATTTTTAGGCCGTAACTTGGAAGCTTTGGCAGAGGAAGATGATGAGGAGGAGATGGAGGAAGAACACAGGAGGGATGTAAGAAACTTCAGTTATTGATAAGATAAAGATAAAAGTACTTTATTCTTTATTCATAAATCTTAGGAAACATAATTTAAAAGAAGCTAAAAGGTTTCTGAACTCTTAGAAAAATTTATATTCTTCTTTTGGTCATATATAATTATATAGTAGAATTGTTGAATTGAGGCTCGTCAGTTTCCTTTAAAGCTGCAGGTTGAGTCAGTCACTTGTATCTAGTGAAGTAAACTAAATGCTAAAATTATATATCATGTTTGCTTGAAATCAAATCAATATTAAGTATGTAATTTATTGTACAATGATCAGCTTTAGATATGACAATTTATTTTTTATTGTCAGAGTGACAGTGATTCCAGTACCAGTGATGATGATGCTCCAGATGAAGGCACTAAACGTGGTGAACCAAACAAGTTTGATATTCTCTGTGATGGCGTCAACAATTCAATGGCATTGGTCCACACTGCCATGGAAGAGGTAATTTTTGTATTTTAAAAACTCAGATAAAATCAGTAAACCAAACAACACATGATTAATATCTCATTAACAACCAGTCAGATTGATAATACATGAAAAGGATTTATGTATATTCACTTGTATCATAGATAAAACAATGTGTAGTTTACAGAATTCATTTTAGCTCGGTCTCTAATTAAGTGCTTCTTGCAATCAGGAAAGCCAACTAATATGAGCCAGGTCAGTCTGCACATCAGTCCCTTACACAATAATTGTAGCTGGATAATCTATTTGATTTGGTTCTAAGTCCTACTAACCCTGTAAAGGTCCTCTGGTGATTTGCAAGCTAACATGGTGGAGGAAGACTTTAGGTGCCTCTAAGTGCATTATTTCATTCACAAGCAACCAGAACTGATGACATTCCATAAGTTTCCTGGATAGTGTAGTAAAATAAAGGCTAATTAAAGACATTAGTTCTGTTATACCCAAGTATGAAGTTAATGAAATACAATGTGAATATATTAAACTATATGTTGTATTTTGTTACAGCTTCTGGAGATGAAGGATGAGATGTTAAGACATCAGTTACCACCAACATTGCTGATTAAACTAGCAACAACCACTGGCAAAGTCTTCAGAAGGTTTGATATAACTATATATTTTATCTATTTTGTTGTGTTCTATGTCATAGCAAACGATGGTCATTTTGAACTACTATGTAGTTGAAATCATCAGTTCAGAGACCTTTTTTATCTAGCAGTTATGGTTCCTGATTTGAATTTACTTGCGGATTGCATAAGAACTTTGAATGAAGAGGCTAAAATCCAGCAAGCTTATGGAAGGTCTGCAGTTTAACATAGGTGCTGGTCTGAGAAGCATAGAGGTCTCCCTCAACCATTAAATCTGGAAAGAATCGATATAACTTCTACAGTGTAGGTTTAAGTCAAAACTGTTTACAGATATAAATATTGGGAGATATCAAAATATTGTCCTTATATATGTATATGATAATTTCCTTATACTCCTGAACAAAATAAAAGGAATCTGTTTGTAGCTTGTAGCCTTATGTAAAACATTTTGTACTTTTGAAAACAGAATAAAATTATATTGTTTTTGACCTTGCAAATGTTAACACATAAAAGATCAAAGAATAATCCAAGTTAAATTAACTTTTTTTTTCAAACAGTGTCAGTGATTTAAACATGCCAGTAAATGAGCTTCTAAGACTTGTAAGAGTTTATTCTACACCATGGGAGGAAAAAAGTGCTGCACTGAAGAAACTTCATGAAGATTATGAAGCCAAACAAAGACAGCTGAATATAGCCATCAAACGTTTACAGCTTGTTGATGCCCATGTAAGATAAAAATTGTTACTTTTAATCTTTACACTGAACATGTGACCATTTCAGACCAAGATCAGCTGACAAGTGTCATGGTCTACACTGTTTGTTATTCAGTACTCAAAATTTTGAAATTTTCCCTAAAATTGATGAATGATTTTGTCCAGATTGAAAGATGGACAAGTCGATTTGAAATGTTCAGCATTGTATGGGTCAAAAAATGTTTTGCAGTATTCTCCCTTGGATCACACTTGTGGAAAATGTTTTAAAACAAAATAATAAATATATTAACAAAAACTAATAACAGAATTAATAATATTGAAAAAAAATACATAAAGGCGGTTTTCAAAAATTTTTGTTTGAAGTTGCTCATTTCTAGATAAAGAATACCCTCACCGAAAAATTGTGTACTTATACTTGACCATTAAAATATTTACAACAATTGAAATGAAACAGTCTGTGGGTTCATTTGCTTTACAACAAAACTCCATTCTTAACCTTTCATACTGATATTATTTCTATATTGAACTTCATAAATAGATTTTTAAGAGTGGATATAATAATTTATCATTAGTTGTATGTTTTATATCTTATAGTCAAAAAGAATTGCCAGGGAGAAGCGTGTAATGAATTGGGAAAAGTTGTTTGCCAAGGTCATGAGTAACAAAGGTCATGGAAGACGTTGGAAATTTCTTATCGAAACTATCAAACAGAAGGCAAAGCTTGGGTAAGAGACAAAAATGTGTGAAAAAATTCCCATGATACTTAGAGAAATATTGTTTTCTGCATACTTAAGGTCAGTTCTTAGTGATCTTATTTGATATTGTTCATTTACTGATAGTAGATCTAAATGCTAAATTTTTTTCTATTCATGACCAAGAAATATTAGTTTTAATTATGAAGTTTGTCTCTTTTATGATTAAAAACATTTCATGAGGTTTCCCGTTACAACCAACCAAATTATCACACTCGTTCAATATCCCCTATTATTCTATATCAATTATCAGTCAATTGCTGCGTTTAACTTTTAACACATGACCATCCAATATATTTCCATATTTTGGCTTGTCCAATATAGTTCCACCACTCTACTGTGTACTCGTCCAGTATATTCCCGCATTGTACAGTTCAATCGTCAATATCCTATATTTATAGTACATTTCAGTAAAACGTATAAAGACACTGAACAAAATTGAATAAAATTTTTTTACATATTCTGGTTCTGCACCAAGGTGATCAGTTGTTGTGATTGGAATAAGAATATAAAATCAATACAAATTCATGATTTAACGACTTGAGCAATGCAAAGTGGGAAACATAGAAAAATTGATCAGGGTGTTTGTAATTCTTAATGAGTTGAAAATGACCATACTTTTGTTAGAAACCTGGTAGGTGTACATTCAAGATTTAACAACTTGAGCAATGTACATAGCGTTAAACATAGAAAAATTGATCACGGTGTTTGAAATTCTTAATGAGATGAAAATGACCATACTTTCATTAGAAACCTTATAGGTGTACATTCATGATTATACAACTTGAGCAATGTATAGTGTGAAACGTACACAAATAAAATTTATCTTGGTGTTTGTAATTCTTAAATTGAAAATGACCATACTATCATTAGAAATCTTATATGTGCATAATGAATTAATATATTTATATAGATTGGAGCACGTTCAAGAGTTTACACGTCAGTTAGACGAGTCGGACGATGAAGAGGAAGATGATATGCCTACAATACAGTTTAAACATGGTGGCGAGAGTCCGTCTGCTAGTGACAAAGTCTCGGTAAGATGTTGCCTGTTCTTTTTATATCTCATGATCGAAATATAGACAATTCCATTCATTTATTTTTTTCTACTTCTTCCCTTAAGGATGTTTTCAGGAATTTTCATATAGACACATAATTATAGGCAGAATTAAAACTGTTCAATAGAAGTTTTTTAAACTTGACGTGTTGTCGAATTATTTTGAGCGAAAAAAAAGTTCGGTGTGAAGAAATTCTATTGAACAGTTTTAATTTTGCCCATAATGTCTTTGTGAAATTCCCAAAAACATCCTTAAGGGAAGAAGTAGCTAAAACTCCTGAAAACATCTTTAACCTATAACCTGCTGGATTCAAAACTGATTAATCTCTGCCACCAGTATAAAGCCAAGCCAGCTTGCACATCTGTGCAGTCTGACCAGGTTCAATACTGGTGGCTGACTATATAATATTATCACCTTAGTGCAATAACTGGTTAATGTCTATCAAACTTTGACGGATTTAACCAATTACTGCACTAAGGTGACAATATTTTTAAATTTTCATCTTTCAACACTAAAACTGGTAATGGACTGTCCCCAGAAATGATACCTGGGCAAGTTCTTTCAGAATTTTAGCAGAGTAAAGGTTAATGGAAGTTAATGATGCGTCTTTGATTGTGTTTTACCATTTGTGTTTGTTTGATTTTATGTTTGATTGTATGATAGTTAATATCAGAAGCAAATTGTTTTGATTTTATGATCACCTGATTGGAAATGCAAAATATTCAAAGGAACATTCATAAATTTGATATAAATATTGTTTGTAATAAAGCCCCATTTAAAAATTGTTTGTTTCTCACTTCTGATCTATTCTTTTTTTGTGCTTTACGTTTTGGTAGGGTTAATTGATGTACTTATATATAAACATATGACTTAAGTTGAAAGTATTTCAATATTAGTGATGGGAGACCAAAAAAATATTTGAATTTCTGCACAGTACTTTAAAACTGTTTAGGAGTGTTTTGATAATTGAAAAATACAATTGCAATTGTTGTTTATATTAACATCAAACTTCATGCAGGAAAATCATAATAATAATTCTGCTATTAATGTTTACAGAAAAAATCAGAGGTACTCCTAAGGGAAATAGAAAATAATGATTTTGCTACAGCTACTGTTAATGCATTCTGTTGCTTGCTTTTCATAAATTAAAAGCTTTAAAGATGTTTTATAAATGAGTTATAATGATTGTTTTATATAGTACACTTGGTGATTTACATAATTTATAGTGCACTTGGTGATTTACATTTACTGTACTGGTTTTGTACAAATGAATATGAATAATCATTAATTTATGGGTTGTTTTTTTTTAAACTAAATTTATGTGTTTATGTAAAGATTTATTCCATGCATTAATGAGATGTATTGCTCAAATGAATGTCAGATCAGTCATTAAATAAGACTTTCATTTCTATTATCTGTATAAACTTTTCAGTCATCAGTATTAACAGCAGAAATTTCTAGAATTGTAACAACTTGTATCAGGGTCTTTAAAAAAGAATGGTCTGGTAACGCGCTATGTAAACCCTTTCTTTTACAATTAAACATGTTTCGGTATAACTCGGTATAGTTTGCTATTCAATTTGAAAGACCCTGCTTGCATAAATATATTTAATCAGGTTTTATATTGATCATATTTAATGTCAACTTAGGTTTATGCAATATATTTAGCCAAGAATTTAAGTGTTCTACCACTGAAGGAAGCATTCCTTTGGTGTGAGATGACAAAACATTTTAGAGCTTCTTTTTGGCTAAATTATCTTATATGACCTATGCAATATGCATAATTGAGTTGTTAAAATATTGTCATATTTAATAACTTCATGGTGTGAAGAATATTTTGGGTATATATGTCATACACACCTGGCATGTGTGTGTATTTGCGTTTATTTCTACTCGCCACCGGTTGCCCATATTGGCAAATCCTCCAGAAGAGTATTAGTCATTTTATATTTTGGAGGATAGTGCAAAATACAGAAAGATGCCCCAATTCCAGAAGCTTCTCCTAGTTCTTTAACATGCCAAGTGTTTAAGCACTCATACACAGGAATTGGATTAAAAGTCTCATCCAAAAGACTGATTAGTTATTTTAGTTGGCCAGCCTGAGAATCAAACCCACAATGTCGAGATTACAAGTCCCGCGCACTGACTGATAGAGCTATGCGGGTTGGCTTGCACCTGACATAATACTGGGTTAAAGTTTTATACTTATCTTCTTATTTCATTTACCACTGAGAAAATTGACACTGATGGACCTTCATATATATTTTGGTGGTCGTAATTGTACGTTAATGCAAAGGTTAATAACTGAAGCATAAATTTTGACTGAATTATTGCCCTTTTTGAACTTAAATATTCCTGGTTAACAATTATGTGTGCAAGATCAGTCTTGACATTTGACAACTACTGTAGGATTCATTATTCTCTTGAAACTGCCTTCCGAATCATAATTAAAGTACCATTCAAGGCCCATGATTCTACCATGGATTTTTAGTTTAAAATATTTACCATGCTTCGTACACTATCTTGGCCCTTGTTATACTATCAAGCTCTGAGAATTGTCGAGAGTGCTCTCTAATTGGTAGATTTTGCTTTTATGAAGCTATCATGGATATATGACATTTAGAAAATATTATGTCTTCATGATTATTATAATTGATTATTGTTTATTAAATTTGGAAAATGTCTTTTTACTAGAAAAAGAAAGCTTCAAAATTGAAAAAAGCTTCAAAGGCAAAACCAGTGAAAGTAAGTTCAAATAGAGCAGGCCTTACTAGTACTTATATTGTATCTAGACAGGTAGTTAGCCCCCTCCTATTTTATTTATTATTATTCTATTTTTATTCAATCATTTTTATTGTCTAGTCTATAGCTGCACTTAGGTTTAATTTTATATTATGCATGTGATTGGCTAGAGTAATTATGTTTTTGTATTTTTTTTTTTTTTGTAGAAAATTTTGTTTTCTTTTTTTATATTGTTTGTAGTACAGCTTTTGATAAGTTTGACAAGTTATATTATTAGTTACTGGTTACATCATTCTGGCAGCAACAGACTTACCGTCAATGTGACCAGCCAGCACAGACCAAAATCATGGTCTTTGGTCATTACTGTTGATGTCCCCCTATAAATGATCAATGGCTTTGTCCAAATTGAAACATGGACAAGTCCATTTAAGATACCAAGTGTGGTTAGGAATAAGCAGTTACAAATTAAATAAGCTCTTACATGTATAACCTAAGCCATTTTAGAATGTACAGCATATAACCTGTTAATAAACTATATATGTATAGTCATATTTTAAATTTATACATGATGATGAACAACAGTCATGTATTTAAAGATGATATGAGCATCACAAACATCCAATGAAAAATGATGTAACAAGCATAATGTCTTATAAATATTCCATAATATTATTTTTTATAATCATAATAATTATTAAAAAAATTGCTTGATTTTATTTTTGCCTATTACCTCATATTATGCATTCACAAAGTATTGTCAAATTTGGAAATAATGAGCCGAGAACTTAAATTTTTAGAATGAATGTTATGTTAGGAGTGATTTTTGTAAATAAGAAATCTGCTTTAATACCTTCTCATTGAAGATAATATATACTCCAACTTTTAAAGCTTTGTTTTAATTTACATTTATTAGATTTTTTCTTTACTTTATTAGATTTTTTCTTTACTTTATTAAAAGATCAAAGTTTTGTATACATTAACTGTAAAGATTTCTTGTGATTATTATTTTAAGACTTGTACATGTATATAGACAGATTGTCTTATTTTAGCTAGTTATATATTTTGCTAAAATTTTCAATGAGAGTCAAATGATACATCAACATCACGGTAATTTGTAGATAGCATTTTAGTTATGTTAGCTTTTTATAATTACTGCAATTCAAAAAGATATAATGATTGAGAAATGAAATTTCTTTAATTTTTATATTTAACCTTTAGCCGCACAGCTGTGGGCAACTGAATATACCCATGCAACTAGTGCAGACCAAGATCAGCTGGCACAGTTGTGCCATGTTGTCTGCACTGGTAGCCATTCAGTCTGTTCTTATTTTGAAATTTTCTCTAATAATAATGAATGGTTTTGTCCAGATTGGAAGATGGACAAGTTAATTTATGATATTTAGAGTGGTAATGCCGGAGAATACTGTGAATGCAAAAAATGTGTTTGCATCTCATTGTGCTTAATATTTAAGTCATGTTATTATTTATTGAATTATAAAGGATATTGAATGAGTGTATTAAGTTCAATACTGGTTTTATTGCACAAGTTGAATAAAATTATATTATGGGAGCCAGTGTATATAAAAACGGAGTTACAGCTATGACTTTCATTATGAAATATCTCAAATGACCTTATTGACCTATTGCTGAAACTATCACAAGTGCTTAATTAATCTTTTGCACAAGATCTTTTTGCAATTGATCTATCAATTTAGATAAATGTTCAGTTGAGTTTATAATTGCATGTAAATAATTAATTTTTCAATCTATGAAAATGAGATCAGAATGTTGATATACATTTTCAGAAATAGATAAGTTGCTATAGGGAAAATAGTAAGTTGTTTAAAAGATCAAGTTTATTTGTTTTTGCAGTTTGAGAGAATTGATCCGGAGGATAACTTTAATTTCTCAGTTTTGTCTCAAATCTCAGGATTTTTATTGGACAGTGTACATTCTGTTAAATCATGTCCAGACAGGGACTTTGAGTGAGGAAGCTATCCACCTAGCTTACTCACTCAGGATGTCAGTGGTTCTACTCTGGTGCCCATTTGTGCCTGAAATAATGCACAGAAGGGCACCTGAGGTCTTCGCTTTAAAGTCACCTCATGACCTATACTGCGTCAGTGTGATGTAAAACCTAAACAAACAAAATTCCTGAGATTTGAGTTTGAGGTGAGAAAATTTCTTTATAAACACCGGCCCAACTTTGGTCTGTACCTGTTGGTATAATAGATTATAGTGCACATTAAAAAAGTCTGTGTGCTTATTATAAAACATACTATATAATAACTTAAGAGGGTTAAAGATAAAAATCAATAGATGAGTTATGATAATAATCGCCTCAACTTTTATGTTAATATAGGAAGCAGAAGATACTGAGGTTGAGGAGGAGGAAGGGGGCGGAGCTGAGAAGGCGGAGTCAGAGTCTGTTGCTGGAAGTGAGGCAGAGAAAGAAATTCCCAGTATTAAGATAGAGAGTGGAGTACAGGAAGAGGATGAGGATGAAGAAGAGAAGAAGGAGAAGAAGAAGAGGAAGGGGAGGACACTGAAGCTGATTCACAAGCTGCAAAGGTCGGAATTTAGGATGTTCTTAAAATAGATCAAATAAAATTTGTGTACCGTATTCCAAATCAGTTTCAAATCTGGTATTATATTTCATCCTCTTTTATTATACCCCCACAAACGAAGTTTAGGGAGGTATATAGGAGTCAGCTTGTCAGACGGTCCATCCGTCGGTTGGTCCACATCATGGTTTCGCGACGATATCTAGAGTTTGGAATGAGAAATTTTAATCAAACTTGGTATATAGGAACCTTATAATTGAAGACCCCGGTTGGTATTGCATTTGGACCCCCTGGAGTCAAGGTCACCATTACTTAAAATAGAAAAATGGTTTCTGGACAATAACAAGAGTTAGGATTGAGATATTGTAATCAAACTTGGTGTATAGCAAGCTTATATGAAGACCATGATTGGTTGTGCATTTGGACCCCCTGGAGGTCAAGGTCACCATTACTAAAAATAGAAAAATGGTTTCCGGACAATAACTAGAGATAGGAATGGGATATTGTAATCAAACTTGATGTATTATAAGCAAGCTTGTATGAAGAGCCTGGTTGGTATTGCATTTGGACCCCCTTGGGTCAAGATGAAGGTCACCATTATTAGAAATAGAAAAATTGTTTCCAGACAATAACTAGAGTTAGGAATGAGATTTTGTAATCAAACCTGGTGTATTGCAAGCTTATATGAAGACCCCGATTGGGATTGCAATTAATTGAAATATTTCTTGTACACAGTTGATACTTCATTTACTATTATCAGTTTTGACTGTAGTCAGTATCAGTTGATAAACCATAGGCGGCGGACTCCCGGACTCAACTATAGGTTGAGTTCAAATTTTTCTTCAGACCACTTATTTTTCAAAAAGTCAAAGTTGCTGGTGGGGGTATTAATCACCTTCGGTGATAGGTCAGTGTAAACTTTTTATGCCACCGCAGCATCTGCGATGCGGTGGCATATAGCGATTCACCTGTGTGTTTGTTTGTGTGTGTGTGTGTGTGTGTGTGTTATATAGATTATATAGTGAACTTAAAAAATCTTCTTGTGAAAAACCACTAGTCCAATTTCAACCAAACTTGGCAGGATTGTTCCTTGGGTGAAGGCCTTCCAAAGTTGTTCAAGGAATTTCATTCCATGCAGAATTCTGGTTGCCATGGCAACCAAAAGGAATTATAAGAATAAATTTAAAAAATCTTCTTGTAAAGACCCAAAAGGCCTAGAGCTTAGATATTTTGCATAAGGCATTGTCTGGTAGACCTCTACCAAGATTGTTCAAATTATATCCCTGGGGTCCAAATCGGCCCCGCCCCGGGGGTCATTGATTTTCACTATATGTACATATAGTAAAAACCTAAAATACCTTCTTGTCTGAAGGTACCAGGCTTAGAGGTTTGATATTTGGTATGTGTTTTTATCTATATTAGGTACTTTACCAAAGTTGTTCAAATTTTGCCTCTAGTGTCAAAATTAGCCCTGCCCCGGGGGTCATAGGTTTTCCTCATATGTATTAAATTAGTAAAAACTTAAAAAATCATCTTCTCTAAATTGACAAAGGCTAGAGGTTAGATATTTTGCGTGAAACATTGTGTAGTGAACCTCTAGCAAGATTGAACAAATTATAGCCCTGGGGTCAAAATTGGCCCCACCCCCGGGGGTCATTGATTTTCACTATGTACATATAGTAAAAAATTAAAAAATCTTATTGTCTGAAGGTACAAGGCTTAGAGCTTTGATATTTGGTATATGATATCATCTATAGGTACTCTACCAAAGTTGTTCAAATTTTGCCTCTAGTGTCAAAACTAGCCCTGCCCCGGGGTCATAGGTTTTCCTTACATGTATATAGTAAAAACTTTAAAAAATCACCTTCTCGAATTGACAAAGGCTAGAGGTGAGACATTTTGCAGTAAACATTGTGTAGTGAACCTTTAGCAAGATTATTCAAATTAAAGCCCTTGGGTCAAAACAAAAAAAATGTGTTCCTACATTACTATTTTAGTGTTGTATTTATGCGGTGGCATAGCATTTTTAACAAATGCAATCTTGTTTATGTCTACAGAAAGTCAGATTTGCTGAGGAGACTCAGGTACCAGTAGTAAAGAAAGAGACAAAAGATGCTGAAGTGTCAACACAGGACCCAGAGTATGATCACTTTATGTTCGTCCGTCTGTACAGTCCGATAGGAATGACTCAAAGTGACATAAAATGTTCAGTGACATTTGGCAAACAATTTTTCAAAACAAAGAGGCTGGATAATGAAGCTGATGCAGAAAAAGATAAGAAAGGTAATTTTCATGTAAGAAAATCTTTCACTACAGAGAATGTAATGGTACTTTTTAACAATGCCAGAGTGAGAAGTTTCTTAGAATTGACCTTTTTGCACTAAATATGCATTGTTGATTGATATAGTTGTTTATTCACATTGCATGCTGGATTTAGAATCGTGAATTTTGACAGTCATAGTAATTTTATGATAAAGTGAAATTTATTGAATGGCATTGTTACTTATATATTAGATAATGGGCAGTGACTGTTCTAACCTGCCTTTTTGAATTAACCTATAACTATCTTAAGTTACTTACCAACACAAGGAACATATGGTTTGTGATTTCAGATAATATTATTTTTTTTTAAATAATCGCCTGTATTTCACAGGTAATTTGAGCGATATACACCTTTTATGAATTTTCTGAAAAATGATACATGTATTTTCTTTGAAAATGCACATCCTAATTAATTTTATTCCAATTTTTTCTTTACAGTTGAGCCAAAACTAAGTGATATCAAGAAAAGACAGTATGAAGAAGCTATGTTTAGTCTCCCAGACCCTATTCCTGAGGGTATATGGATAAAAAACAAAAGTTCCCTGCCAACCCCACCACCAAATTTCCAAATCTCAATACACACTGGAGCAACGGACACTATGACTGCCATGGCAACAATAGAACTTGCAGATTTAAAAGATATCGTAAGTGCATGGTATATACCTAAAAATTTTAAATTCCTGATGATATTTCAGTAGAGCATAATAGTTGCTGGTTTGACATTCTGTCCGTTTGCTTGTCAGTCACATGTTTTTTGTAACTTACTTTTTCTTATAGCATCTTCATTTACTGACTGATAGCTGGAATATTTTGAGTCTGTCTGTTTAGCTCATTGGGAGAGCTATGGATTTATAATCCTGGGGACATTAGTGTGATTCTCGGGCGATTGACAATTGATTTCAGACATTCAATCCAATGGTCATTTGTCTTTCAAGGCTGGCTCCAAAATCATATTGGATAATAGTAGTAGACTCTCTGTCACTTGCCGAGAAATTGTTATTACTTGGGAGAGCTATGGATTTATAATCCTGGGGACATTAGTGCGATTCTCGGGCGATTGACAATTGATTTCAGACATTCAATCCAATGGTCATTTGTCTTTCAAGGCTGGCTCCAAAATCATATTAGATAATAGTAGTAGACTCTCTGTCACTTGCCGAGAAATTGTTATTACTTGTAAGTTACCAAGGATAGCCGGTTAGGTGGACTGAGTGCCATGATAAGATAAAAAATGTATCAAACAAACATGTAAATATATTCTTTTGATTGTTTGTCCATTACATGAACCTCAACATGTGTAGAATTGTGTAGAATATTGAAAGGTTTATGATTACGTCTATAGATGAAGCTCAGTGTTTTTGAATGCATCAACTGGTAGGCTGCTTCTGGTCTCCCAAGATGGCTGCTCATTTTAAGTCCCTGTTTGTATACATCCTATACAAGTCAACCTTTCAATGCTTCCATATTGATTGTAAAAGTCATTATTTGTAAAATTTACTTTTTTCTGTAAAAAAAATTACCTTTTTTTCCAGAATCTTAAGGAGGTCATCCTGCCAGGTCCTCATGGCGATGATGATGTTCCAAAAACACCTGAGCCCCCAGATGATGATGACCTTGACTCTCTATCATCAGAGATTGATATACCCCTCCCAGGGGATGAGAAGAAACCAGACCCACCCCAGGAAGATAGAGTTAAGGTAAGGCTTAATGGATCCTACATTATCTTTCTTTAGTTTATACAGAATTTATTTCATTTCAATTATGTAGGGAGCTTTATACAAATAAACACACTTTCAAATCTGTTCCTGGAACCAACAAGTACTGAGCAAACAGTGTAAAGTTTCTTGACTAAGGAAAGAATGGCTGCCCCTCCCCTCCGCCCATTAATTTTGCATTTAATCAAAACATTGTTTTCTCACTTCATATGCTTGTACTTCTTAAATCAGTTGAACTATGACTTTTACAGGATGTTGACCCTATGATGTACCCGCTTTACTCACTAGATGGCAGTTCAGCTGTTCATAAACCATGTGGTAGTCTGCCATTGATCATATACTGGGGCAAGAAGGTTAGGCCTCAGACTTTCAATAGGCAATCAGGTATTTATATTATATGATATTGGCCACATGGCAGCATGACAAATGTGTATTAGTAACAGCATTCCAGGGATTATTTCAGGCTACTACCAACAGTCTAAATATACTGTCTTTTGTTTACTGTTCCATTCTGGAATGCTGTACTTTGTGATCCCTTTAATAAACTGGTTTTATTTTGGAAAAATGTTCATCATATTATTATTGATGATGGACAGTTATGCTAGGAATGAAATTGTTCTTTTCTCATGTTGCATTATTATCAAATAAATTGTTGTTGTTGTTTTATATAATACAAAAAAGGGTGGCAATGGTCTTCTTTAAGGCAATTCTGACTGTCATTAAGACATTTTGACCTCAAACTCAAACAAAAATGATGAATTATCATGGAATAAGACTACTTTCATGCATTTTCTTCGACATTTAATAGTTATTTAATATTCCATATAATTATGCCCCCACTTCGAAGAAGAGGGGGTATATTGCTTTGCACTTGTCGGTCTGTCGGTCCGTAGACCAAATGGTTTCCGAGTGATAACTAAAGAACCCTTAGGCCTAGGAACTTCAAACTTGGTATGGTGATTGGTCATGACCAGTAGATGACCCCTATTGATTTTGGGGTCAAGGGGTCAAAGGTCAAGGTCACATTGACCTTGTATGTTAAAACGGTTTCCGATCAATAACTAAAGAACGCTTAGGCCTAGGAACTTCAAACTTGATATGGTGATTGGTCATGACCAGCAGATGACCCCTATTGATTTTGGGGTCAAGGGGTCAAAGGTCAAGGTCACATTGACCTTGTAGGTAAAAACGGTTTCCGATCAATAACTAAAGAACCCTTAGGCCTAGGAACTTCAAACTTGGTATGGTGATTGGTCATGACCAGCAGATGACCCCTATTGATTTTGGGGTCAAGGGGTCAAAGGTCAAGGTCACATTGACCTTTTAGGTAAAAACCGTTTCCGATCAATAACTAAAGAACGCTTAGGCCTAGGTACTTCAAACTTGGTATGATGATTGGTCATGACCAGCAGATGACCCCTATTGATTTTGGGGTCAAGGGGTCAAAGGTCAAGGTCACATTGACCTTGTAGGTAAACACGGTTTCCGATCAATAACTAAAGAACGCTTAGGCCTAGGAGCTTCAAACTTGGATTGATGATTGGTCATGACCAGCAGATGACCCTTATTGATTTAGGGGTCAAAGGTCAAGGTCACATTGATCTTGTAGGTAAAAACGGTTTCCGATCAATAACTAAAGAACCCTTAGGCCTAGAGACTTCAAACTTGGTAAGATGATTGGTCATGACCAGCAGATGACCCCTATTGATATTGGGGTTAAGGGGGAAGGTCAAGGTCACATTGACCTTGTAGGTAAAAACGGTTTCTGAACGCTAAGGCCTAGGAATTTCAAACTTGGTATGATGATTGGTCATGACCAGCAGATGACCCCTATTGATTTTGGGGTCAAGGGGTTAATGTCATAGTGACCTTGTACTTAATGACCGTTTCTGACCAATAACTCAACAACTCAAGTTGCCTTGGTTGATATTTTTATGTGCTTTTGGTATACACATTTGAAGGTCTTATGTAATATAACAACTTGGCTGTCATTAATGAGGCCTATGTGATTCATAAAATTTATGTATATATTATTTGGTAAGATTTTTAATAAATTTAATTGCTGCACACAACCTATGGGGTCACAATAATTATTACCATGTGACTAGTCATGACCAGTAGATACTAGATAACCCTTATTAATTGCTTGTTCACTGGGTCAGAAGTCATGCATAATAACCTGATCACATGACAAATTGGCTGCCGATATGGGGGCATACATGTTTTACAAACATATCTTGTTTTATATAAGATTGACAAAAATATTGAACTTTTATTTTAGAATTGTTGTTAAATTTAAAGAAAAAAAATTCCAGGTACACATGGTGTCACTGAGCTAGTGTTTGAGCTGACTGGCATTGACCTTGAAACTACATCAAAGGCTGACCTTAATAAAGAAACCAAAGATCGGGCTACTTCGGTCATCAACTTTGCCCCTGATGTTCAAGACCGTGCACTGTCGGCTCTCAGGCTCACACCAGAGGTAGAGCCGCCCAACCCACCAGCATCGCCAGAGCAAGACGATATTCAGGAGGAGATTATCACTGATGTAAAAGAGGTGAGGGAACTTTTCATTGACAATTTGCCTACATATAAGGCATTTAGGCAGATAGACCTTTATTAACCCTTTAGCTGTCAGTTGTTTTCCTATAGCTAGTAATATAAGTACTGTATGTTTGCCAAGAATTTTACAGTAATCTATTTACCAAAAATTGGTTGAATTCTTGTTGTTTTTTTTCACTATACACATACTTTATAAAGTTTGTATGTTCTGAATGTGGAAGGAAATGAACAAAGTCAAAAAGTTAAACATTGAACTGTGTATAGAATAGAATGATATACCCATCTTGTAGGAAGCCAAAGGTTTAATCAGTAATTGTCAGAGGAAATACTTATATGCAGCAATATATAATATGTGGTTTCATGTTTTCATCCTTAAATATAATATAACATTTTGAGCAAAAATGCAGCAGTAATAAGAAAATGCATTTACTTTGTTTATGTTATAGAATCAGCTACAAGCAGCCAAAATTATAGTTCTAGTTAGAAAACGAAAACAAAATATTGCTTCATGTATTAATTATCAGTTTTATCAGTTGCAAATTATTTAAAAAAACCAAACAAACAAACAAACAAACATAAGACAGATCGCCATGTTATTTGCTGAAAAAAGATGACAAAAATTGATTTTTCCTATAAATTCTTTTGTGATATAATGAGAGTCTTTTGTTTTATAGATAAAAAAAATATGTAAGAAAGGCAAAACAAAATATACTAGTAAACATACAGTGTCTGGTGAAACTGAATCAGGTGAGGCATAATTTGAGGTTCTGTCATGTTATAGAACACGTGTTCTAAGTTCATTAGAGAGAAATCTATATCGTGATATAGAGTATGATACTATTACAACATTCTCAAAACAATTCATTACATTAATATTTACTAGGACTTGACTAAATTGTTATTTGTAAAAACCAAACATTCTAGTGCACTCAAGATTTTTAAAAAAAACTTTTTTTCTCAATAAGTTGGTGCAGTTATCTTTTAATCAATTAATTTATATTTTCCTGCCTTCCTTTTACTTTATTGTGTTAATTTTTAAACCTTGACACTCTTAAATGAATGAATAATAGTTTAATTCATTGCTGTAGCTGCATAAATTTGTCAATAAACCTCATTTTTAGCTCGACTTTTCTATGAAAAGGGGAGCTATCCTACTCGCCCCGGCGTCGGCGTTAGCGTTAGCGTCGGCGTTGGCGTCACACCTTGGTTAAGTTTTTCGTACCACCCCACTTTATTTCAGAAGTATTACAAGTATGGCTTTGAAACTTACCATACTTGTTCACCATCATAACCTCCATCTACAGACAAGAGTACATAACTCTGTCAAGGTTTTTGACAGAATTATGGCCCTTTTTTGACTTAGAAAGTGTATTGAGCTTGGTTAAGTTTTTTGTACCACCTCACTTTATTTCAAAACCATTGGAGGTATTGCTTTGAAACTGACCATACTTGTTTACCATCACGACCTTCATCAACAGACAAGAGGACATAACTCTGTCAAGGTTTTTGACAGAATTATGCCCCTTTTTGACTTAGAAAATACATTGAATATGGGTAAAATCCACTTATTGCCTTAACCCTTTGAGATATTGCTTTGAAACTTTTAATGCTATTTCACATCATTACCCCCATCTGTACGCAAGAGAAGGTAACTCTGTCAAGGATTTGTTTTAAAAATTAAGGCCTTTTATCGACTTAGAATCTTGGTTAAGTTTTTAGTACCAGTCCACTTTTTGACTGAACTGTTTGAGATATTAATTTGAAAGTTGGAATACTTGTTTACAATCATGATTCCCAAACATGTCCAGGAGAAGGTAATTCTGTCAAAGATTTTATTTGAATTATGGCCCTTAACTGTCAATGTTTTGTATTATAGGCAAGCACTAAAAAACTTAAAAAATCTAAAAAAATTCATTCCTATCCACTTGTTCACTTTACCATAAATTATGTCATATAAACATTGCTGTAATATTCAAGGGTATCAAACAACTAGTTTTTTTTTCTTTCTTACCAGCCCTCTTTTGACTTAAACATTTCAAACTTTGCTGCAGTGTTCAAGGGTATCACACAATTCAGTAAAATAATTCTTCACTAAATATCTTAATGCTCATGGCCATTGTTCACTTTAAAAATACAGAGATTCTTGTATTGCCTTTTACTGCAAAAACTTTTTTTATTGGCAAGCAATAAAAAAGTCGAGCGCGCTGTCTTACGGACAGCTCTTGTTTAGCTCACCTGTCACATAGTGACAGGGTGAGCTTTTGTGATCTCTTTTCGTCCGGCGTCCGTCCGTCCGTAAACTTTTACTTTAAACGACATCTCCTCATAAACCGCTGAGCCAATTTCATCCAAACTTCACAGGAATGTTCCTTTGGTGGTCACCTTTAAAAATTGTTCAAAGAATTTAATTCCATGCAGAACTCTGGTTGCCATGGCAACCAAAAGAAAAAACTTTAAATATCTTCTTCTAAAACACCAAAGAGCTAGAGCTTAGATATTTGGCATGAAACATCTTCTAGTGAGTGTCTACCAAGTTTGTTCAAATAAAATCCCTGGGGTCAAAATTGGCCCCGCCCCAGGGGGTCATTGATTTTCCCTATATGCATATAGTAAAACCTTAAAAAATCTTCTCTAAAAGAACCCAAAGACCTATAGCTAAGATATTTAGCATGAAACATCCTCTAATGGGTGTCTACCAAGTTTGTTCAAATAAAAGCCCTGGGGTCAAAATTGGCCCCGCCCCAGGGGGTCATTGATTTTCCCTATATGCATATAGTAAAAACTTAAAAATCTTCTTTTAAAGAACCCAAAGAGCTAGAGCTAAGATATTTAGCATGAAACATGTTCTAATGAATGTCTACCAAGTTTGTTCAAATAAGAGCCCTGGGGTCAAAATTGGCCCCGCCCCGGGGGTCATTGATTTTCCCTATATGCATATAGTAAAAACTTAAAAAATCTTCTTTTAAAGAACCCAAAGACCTAGAGCTAAGATATTTAGCATGAAACATCCTCTAATGGGTGTCTACCAAGTTTGTTCAAATAAAAGCCCTGGGGTCAAAATTGGCCCCGCCCCAGGGGGTCATTGATTTTCCCTATATGCATATAGTAAAAACTTAAAAAATCTTCTTTTAAAGAACCCAAAGACCTAGAGCTAAGATATTTAGCATGAAACATCCTCTAATGGGTGTCTACCAAGTTTGTTCAAATAAAAGCCCTGGGGTCAAAATTGGCCCCGCCCCAGGGGGTCATTGATTTTCCCTATATGCATATAGTAAAAACTTAAAGAATCTTCTTTTAAAGAACCCAAAGAGCTAGAGCTAAGATATTTAGCATGAAACATGTTCTAATGGATGTCTACCAAGTTTGTTCAAATAAGAGCCCTGGGGTCAAAATTGGCCCTGCCCCGGGGGTCATTGATTTTTCTTATATGTGTATAGCAAAAACTTAAAAAAATCTTCTTTGAAAAAAAAACAATTAGCTAGAGTTTAGGTACTAAGCTTGAAACATCTTCTAGTGAGTGTCTACCAATTTTGTGGGGGCGTCCGTGGCCGAGTGGTTAAGGTCGTTGACTTCAAACCACTTGCCCCTCACCGCTGTGGGTTCGAATCCCGACAGGGACTTTGGATTCTTTCATGTGAGGAAGCTATCCAGCTAGCTTACGGAACGTCGGTGGTTCTACTCAGGTGCCCGTTCGTGGCTGAAATAATGCACGGAAGGGCACCTGAGGTCTTCCTCCACCAGTAAAGCTGGAACGTCGCGATATGACCTATACTGTGTCGATGTGACGTAAAACCCAAAACAAACAAACAAAAACCAAGTTTGTTGTAATAAAAGCCCTGGGGTCAAAATTGGCCCCGCTCCGGGGGTCATTCATTTTCCTCATATGTGTATAACAAAAACTTAAAAAATCTTCTTTGAAAAAACTCAAATAGCTAGAGTTTAGATATTAAGCACGAAGCATCTTCTAGTGAGTGTCTACAAAGTTTGTTCAAATAAAAGCCCTGGGGTCAAAATTGGCCCCGCCCCGGTGACATTGATTTTTCTTATATGTGAACAGCAAAAACTTAAAAATCTTCTTTGAAAAAACCGGAATAGCTAGAGTTTAGATATTAAGCATGAAACATTTTCTAGTAAGTGTCTACAAAGATTGTTCAAATAAAAGCCCTTGGGTCAAAACTGGCCCTGCCCCAGGTGTGTCATTGTTTTTAACTATATGTGTAAAGAAAAATCTTGACCAGCTAGACCTTAGATGTTTAGCATGAAACATCTTCTAATGGGTGTCTACCAAGTTTGTTCAAATAAAAGCCCTTGGGTTTAAACTGGCCCCGCTCCGGGGGCCTATAAACATGTGAGCGACTTCAGGGCCTTCATGGCCCTCTTGTTTATGCCTACTTGATCCATTTGCAGCCTCATATTTCTACAGAACTTTTTATGCCCCCACAAAGTGGGAGCATATAGCGTTGCACTTGTCAGTCTCCGTCCGTACGTCCCGAAATCTTGTGAACGCAACTCCTCTTAAACCGGATGGCAGATTTTGCTTAAACTTCAAGGGATGAACAACCCTAATGTGTAGATGGTAGTAAAAGAAGGAATTTATGCTGCGACCAAATTTGACAGAATTATGGCCCTTTGTTGATTTTTTCACTATATACCATATAGAAATTTTGTGAACGCAACTCCTCTTAAACCGGATGGCAGATTTTGCTTAAACTTCCAGGGATGAACAACCTTAATGTGCAGATGGAAGTAAAGGAAGGAATATTTGCTGCAACCAAATTTAACAGAATTATGGCCCTTTGTTGATTTTTTCACTATATACCATATATATGTTGTCAGTGGGGGCATCCGTGTCCTTTGGACACAGTTCTAGTTTTTTGGTATCATGATATCTATTTTATATGTGATCTTTGAGGTCAAGATATGTGCACATAGTTTTTTAAGTTGATATTTATATCATGTGAATTTTAGGTCTGTAGTATAAATCTCTTTATAAAGACCACCTTTTGTAAATGAATAAAAGAAGTTTTTGTCATCAGGACTGGTGGTCTGTTAATAAAAAGATCAATCTTGTGCTGGCATTGATATAAAGATAAAAATGAAATATTGACCTTTATTTGACAGATTTTTTTTTCAATGTGGTATTTTTATCAAGGTTAAAGTCTTTACCAAAGATATGACTTTAACTCCTACCCTGCTGAAACCAAAAGAGACAAGCCTTAATGCCACCAATATAGAGCCAAGCCAACCTGCAATTCCATGCATTCTGACCAGGCTCTATACTGTTGGTTGACTAACTTTAAATTTTCATATTGATATCCCCTAAATTGTTAATGAAAGCTGGGCGAATCTCTGAAAGAAATTCAGCATGTTAGGGGTTGATATTCTGTCTTAAAGCTGCACACCTGGAGAAATGTAAAAAATAGTCTCATCTTGTGATATACATTTTGTTCACAATGCATACTGAGAATTCAATTAATTTCAAGGGCATGAAATTTCATGGTTCTGTCAAAAATTGTCATGTTCATTTGTTCGTTGGATCTTAAATTCATGGATTGTTTTATCCCCCCCCCCAAAAAAAAATTGAAAATTAATGATGATTTTGCAGTGTAAAACACTTTCCAAATTTTATGTAGAATAAAAACTAGCATGAACCTGATATTGAGCAGCTTTAAAGGAAATAAATATGAATCTGAATGTAAGTTTTTTTCTCCATTGATGTGATTTCTCTTAATACAGGAACCCAAGGAAGCAGAAGAGGTAGAGATTTTTATTTTTGCTGTTGTTGTTTTTATTATTACTCTGTCCTTTTGTTGGTCAAATTTTTTTCACTTTGTTATGTTAAGACATTTATCATTGACACTAACTTCATATCCATTTCTAATTTCTTACAATTGATGTTTTCCTAATATTATCTGTTATATGTTGCGGTTCACATTGGACTATCCGTCCCGAGGGGACCTTCCCATTGGACAGTAACGGGGCGGTGTATTCATAAAATGCTGCCATTGTATAGCATGCAACACATCTGGCAACCCCATGCCAGATAAAAATTTTGTATTGGTTGTAACAAAAAAAACAAAAAAAAACAGTCTGATATGCAAGACTTTTAACGTTATAGCTACACAATGCAATTCTGTTCATAATAGTGTTATCAAAGTGTAATGCAATTATTATCAATAAATTTACCAAGTTGTAACAGTAAAGTTTGTATCCTGAAGTTTATTACATCGGGAAAACACACATTTGCCGAGTCCGGGTGAAATTCTATTGGACAGCATTAATTCTATTAACTACATGATACATGTAAATAAGCCATAACCTACATGCCTAAATTGTAATACTGCCCTCATATATTTTTTCAAATTTGCTTCTGGGTTAAATTTACACACAACATAATTCATAACAGTGAAATGACGTCATCGTCCAAAGCAGACAACTCATTCATAGTAGGACCATTGGAATGGCATCATTTATGTTTTCTACTAATGTCTAAATACATGAGGGTTGTAAGATTTATAATAGTTTTTCTAGCTCTGGTGTAAACAGTAGAAAATCTGGTATGATATGCAAGAAATGAAATCTAAATATTACTTTTGTTTTATGCTTTGCAATGATTACTGAAAGTTTTAATAACTCCAATTTCCATTTTGATAACGTTTGTCTCCATACAGCTTCCATTCTAGTAACATCCTCTTCATACTAAATTGGACTACCTTATTGTTATGTGTACCTTTTTTATAGTAACACAGTAATACATACCTTTTCAAATATTGTATATAATATACCTTGTAAATTGTTGTAATAAGTTACAAATGTGTAATGTTTCAGTTATTGCAATACTGTTTGCTATGCTTTATATATGTTAGATATACATATTTAGCATTACAATTGCATAGTTTTCATAATTTTTTTTGAAACGTTTATACTATAGATGAATGTAACAATTTTAAGCATATATGCAAGTTGTTATTAAAGTTTAAGTGGCCTTCACCTTTTATTTTCTGTTGGAAAAACAATTCTCACAGTGTTGTGTTTCAAACTACCGTAAAATTCCTATTAAACGCCCCCGGGGGCTAAACATTTTCCAAAAGGGGGGCTATTATTACAACACAGTTTTTCCTAAATCCAAAAATCACTGTAAATACATTTAGTGATAGCAAGTGTTGGAAAAAACTTTAAAAAGTGTTAAGATTTTAAAGTTCATATTATACATATTTGTGTTTACTATAAAATAAAATGGATTCTGAATGATTTGAATAAAATAATGGCTTTAATTATGAGTTCAGCACTGATGAGTAGATTGTTTTCCTTATCAAAAGGCCTGGGGGCCTTTATTAGGGGAGGGGCATTTATTAGGAATTTTACGGTAAGTTGACAATTTCAGTAATTTTATCTTGGAAAAGTGCATCATATCACTGTTAAGCCTTTTCCAAACAGTGACCTATAAATAGTAAAGTATAACACTGAACACAATGATGGCATAAGATATCATGTTATTTTATTTTTTACCTTTTCACTGACCATTTACTCTTGAACTGGCATAATGTCACTTTTACCGTCAGATCGGTATTTTTTTCACATGGAATAAGTGTAACTATATTAATCCTTAGCCTGGGCAGAAAATATGTAATGGATTTGTCCTGCTTTGAATTTAAAATTTAATTTTAATTTAATTAAAAATTTAATGTATTACAGCAGTTTAAGGGTTAACACAAAATGTTAAGAATTAGAACTTTCAGACTTTCAAAAGCATAATTTTGTTTCTCATTAATTTGATGTAGTACAATATTATATTATGCATTATTGATTTATTCAGGAACAGGAACCTAAAGAACCAGAAGAGGTACAGCTCACTGTTGTTGTTGTTTTTTGTTGTTTTAATTATTATTGTTGTTGCCATGGTCATTGCAAGTTTTCCAGTTTTCAGTTCCAGTTAACAGACAACTTGTTAATGTAACATTTCTGTTATTATTTCTGATTTCATAATATGAGCCGTGCCATGACAAAACCAACATAATGGGTTTGCGACCATCATGTATCCAGAACAGCCTGCGCATCCGCGCAGTCTGATCAGGATCCATGCTGTTCTCTTACCAACGCTATTACAAGTAGAGAAACTGATAGCGAACAACATGGATCCTGATCAGACTGCGCGGATTCGCAGGCTGGTCTGGATCCATGCTGGTCGCAAACCCATTATGTTGGTTTTGTCATGACGTGGCTCATATCTAAGTGTTAAATTGTCATGATATTATTAACATATTTGTCACCTCACACAGAGTACAGGGTGTTTTCAATCTGCTTAATTTTAAACCTCTTCACTTGTCACAGCAGTTGACTTTAAGCAGGCACAGTGTTAAGCACTCATTCAGTTTAAGGAAGGTCTATTGTCCTTACTACGTCTAAAATGATGAATGCAGGGGCACAGCAGCATTTGATTTTTGACACTAGTCTTCTGTTCTCACAAACATTTTGTACATTGTATTCTGGTTTTGTTTACAAACAGGCTTAGTCAGAGTGGCTTAAAATCATTTAATTAAGACACTTTTATGTAAGTCAATTAAATAATTATACATATGTACCTACCTTCGAAGAAGTGGGTGGGTATATTGCTTTTCAAATGTCTGTCTGTTAGAAGGTCCATCAGTCACACAGTAGGCCTAATCATTTCTGATCAACAATTTAAGAACTCCTGGGCCTAGGAGCGTCAAATTTGGGATGTAGATTGGTTATGGCCAGTTGGTATGCCCTATTGATTCTGGGGTTACTAGGTTAAATGTCAAGGTCACACTGACCTTTTATATCAAAATGATTTCCAACCAATAACTCAACAATCCATAAGCCCTTTGTCCTTAAACTTTCACAGGTGCATTGGTCTTGGCAAGTAAATGAGTTCTATTAGTTTTGGGAGCAGGGGGTCAAAGGTCAAGGTCATGTTCACCCTGTTTTATATCATATAGCACAAGAAATGACTATGATTGTTAAAAATTGTTGTTAACTTACTATTTTTAAAAGATAATTATGTCCTTTTTTCCTTATTCATAAACACATACCATTACATAATCAGTTTCTCTTTGATTTTCATAATGGTTACTTTTTATTACTACCCATTTACAGTAAGAAGGAGGATCCATATGTGTGTCATTTTGATATCTCTTGTTTAGATACTGATGCATTGCTCAAGTTAATTGAGTAAAGACTGAGTTTTATATTGCTTAATAGCTTAATTGAAATTAATTAATTGAAATAATTTAAGATAGCTGTTACATTGCTAAATGAAGATAATTGAATTACGATGAAGTTTAACATTGCTTAGATTAGTTGAAAAACAACACAGATTGAGAGACTTTTTTTTTCATTTCTTATTAAGTAAATTAATTTAGGTTTTTAGATTTCTTAAGATAGTTTTACAACATGAAGGTTAATTGCTCAAATTAATGTAATAAAGATACTGTTATATTGCTTAAATTATTTGAATCAATTAATAAGAATATATTATTATATACCTTGTATTCATCGAGTATAATTATTTGAAGAAGTTTATGTTTTATATTTTATTGAAGAATCCAGTTACAGTAGATGTTATCCAAAACCCGGCATATTTGGTTTTTCCCAGCTAATCTGTAGGTACAGACAAACTTTTACTGTTATAGCTTCATAGTGCACTGCCTGTCACAATAGACTAGTTAACCTGTTGTGCTTATTTTCGAAGTTGTATTGTAAGATTGTTTGTACCTACGAATTAGCTGGGGAAAACCCAAATATTCTTAATTCTGGAGTTATAGTCTATTGTTGTGCAGTTTCTGTTTTTTCTCTGCAGACATATAATAGTAATGGATATCAGGTTTTAATTCAAATCACATTTTTCTATTAATAAAATGATTTAGATTTTGTTATACCTCACATTGTGGTATTCATGTATAATACAGAGTGTTATTTTGTGTCTCAAGTTGGTGAAAAAAACATCATGTAAAACTACCATATTTCTTTCAAAGAAAAGAAACCTGTTATTCAAGCATGTTAACTTCAAACAATGATGAAAAAGATTGCAATAACGTCTAGGTAATGATCATGACCTGTATATTGTATTAGAAGCCATCATGCAATTTAATCATTTTCTTTGATGGTATGTTATGTTTTGAAAGCTGCAGCAAATTAATGCTGATGTGTAGCATCATTCCCTGCATCATTAAATTATGTCATCATCTCCTTTTGCAAAATTATGCCCAAAAACAACAATTTCCAATTTTTCTTTAACAACTTTGACTTAAATTTTGTCTTCTAAGGATAAAGATAAAAAGTATTCATATAATATACTGTATTATCATAAATAAAATATAAATGCCCCTAATCCCCCTGCCTTCCCAACCACTTCTATCTTTTGACAGATGTTATAGAAAGATGACTAACTGTTTTTTATAAAATCCATTTGGATGACCAACTGATTAATAGCAAATTAACCCGAGTTTTAACACAACAGGTGCATCCTGTATCATCGTTGGATGCCCAAGGTTGATTAACATCTAATATACCAGTAACATATAATCAACTGTGGGTAAAATGAATCAAATTGGGTCAATAAACAGCAACAAGTGTGTTTAATATCAACCAATAAAATTGAATTTTGTATAGCAAAATTTATATTCTTGGACAGCAAAGGTACAACAACTATCAGAAACAAAATAGCAGTGCCCACGGTGTAAACCTGTTTCATATGTCTTGCCTATATAAAAGGCAAAACTATTCCCAAACTAAATTTTCCACAAGCAGAGAGCACAATAGTAATATATTTTCTAGAATTAACATTTCACCAAGCTTCGTTTAGAAGGAGTGTTTTGATTGGTTTTAATTGCCTCATGAAATATTGAGGCAACTAATGAAAAAGCTGTCTTTAACACACCTTTTATCAACTGGGGAAAAATCTCAAGGCTGATAAATGTTAATGGTTTGGCCATGGGTGTCCGACAATGATACTGTATAAGTAGAGAATAATGCACCAAAAAAGTGAACATTCTTTAAATTATAACTGCTAAACTTTTGTCTACCTTAATTAATACAAAACTTTCTTCTACTTAAATTAATACCGCCTTATTTCAAAATTAAATGCAAAGGGGCCTTTTAATTGGCGTTCATTAAAGAATGTTATGTAATAACTTAATAGCCTTTAATCAGTAGGTACTTTAAATACTCTGATTATAAATATGCGAACAAACACATTTATTGTCAGCTCAATTTAGCTTTATACCCTTTAAACTAATTTTAAGCATGACAATTTTTTCATATAGATGGGAGAAATGAGGATTACCATCCTTTTTGAGGTATCTGCCCCTGAAAGTTGAATTTCTTTAAGAAGGACTATTATTGTAAATAATATTCAGCAAGATCAGGTTTTAAGTGTAAAAGTTTGAGAGTCATTTTACTTTTTAAAATGTCACTGTAAAAATGTTTCAGAAAATATTTACTATATATAACACCGTAAAAATGTTTTAAAACTACTTTTTCTATTATATGTCACTGTAAAAAAAAATTCAGAAAACATTACTATGTATAACATTGTAAAAATGTTTTTAAAAAAATTTACTCTTTATGTCAAAGTAAAAATGTTTCAGAAAAAAAATTACTATGTGGGACATTGTAAAATTATGTCGCAAAAAAAAATTTACTATTTATGTCAAATTAAGAATGTTTTTCTGAAAAAAAAAAAAAAATAATGAATTTTATGACATTGTAAAAACATTAAAAAAAGTATTACTATTTATGTCACTGTAAAATTATTTCAGAAAAAAAATTTACTATTTATGACACTGCAAAAAATTGTTTCAAAACAATTTTACTATTTATGTCACTTGTTCAGTAAAAATGTTTCAAAACAATAATTATTTTACTATTTATATCACTGTGAAAAATCTTTCAATTTTTGTTTTATTATTTATGTAGCAGTGAAAAAAAAAGTTTTAGAACCTGTCTTATATAGATAATGGAAACATGTTAATATTGTAATTCCCTCAGTCTTGATATAAAAATTTATTTGAGCCGTGTCATCACAAAACCAACATAATGGGTTTGCGACCAGCATGGATCCAGACCAGTCTGCAGGATCCATGCTGTTTGCTATCAGTTTCTCTACTTGTAATAGGGTTTGTAAGTGAACAGCATGGATCCTGGTCAGCCTGCGCAGATGTGCAGGCTGATCTGGATCCATGCTGGTCGCAAATTCATTATGTTGGTTTTGTCATGACACGGCTCATTTGGGTTATACATGTGTATCGATCATGTGCCAAAGAAATTAGAGACAGGATGACTTGGCATTATATACTCAAGTGTTCTTTTGCTTATCTTCTGATAAGAAATCTATTTGAAATATCTTTAGTTTCAAAACAGCTGAGAAATTATGATATCTCAGTAAATGTAGTTTTTTTTTTTTTAAATTTCTATTTAAACAAGTAGAACAGACGTAGAGAGATATTTATTTCTTTAAAAAAATAAAGTAAAAATAAGGTATATTCACTAACAGAAATAAATAAATTTGAGCTTGTAACAATATTTGAAAGTGTGTATCAATATTGTATCGGATGATGAATATCGATGATATATCAATATTGCGATATTCAATGACAGCCCTCGTCACCTTTAAGTGCAATAACTAAATAACAGCTATTAAATTTAGAAGCACTTATTATGTTATTGCACTAAGGGGACGCCCTACTTTTTGGAGGGACTTGTCACTTTCGTGTGACAGCTGTTGTTAAAAAATAAGAACTTCTAAATCTTCTTAGTTTATAGGTCAAGACCAATTTCCTTTGTATTTTCAAAACGAGATTAAAAACCAGTCTGAACCGGTATAAAGATCAATTCCACACCTTTTTTCCTGCTATCATTTAGTCTTAAACCTTATTAATTCACATTTTAGAGGTATCAATGACAGCAAGCTCAGATTAAAACTAGACAAAAATTCTTGATCAAATACAAAAAATGTCAGCCATTCTCAGATATATTTACGTGACATCAGAACATATCAAATTATGTGAATACTAATAATTTACAGAAATATTTTTTTTCCTTGTCATTTAGTATGACACATGAAAATATTTGTTTAAATTTTGTTCTGAAAAAAGAAAAGAAATTATAGTGATTGGGAAACTGAGACTGAGCACCTGTGACTAAATGATAATATAGCAGTCCATCCTGCCTCATTAAAGTTACATTAAATAAATTTCATAAAAAAAGAAATAGCGATATTTCATTAATAAATTGGGTTTCATATCGACTCCAGATCTTATTTTGGTGTCCAGACAACCAAAATGAGTTTAATGAGCATACAATTTGTGCAACCAAATTGTGGCGAGTTCGGAAGTCCAATTTCTGTTTGTATGAGAAACTCCGCCTTCAGATCATCCGTACATCAATATTAAATCAACAAACATGACCATAAGTAGCAGTCCTTATTTAACGGTATATTTCCGCATTGTAACGGATATTTTCATACAAATTTAATCTTTTTTATAAGATGATTACTTTTTTCTTAACCACAGGCCTAGTGCACCGTGAAGCTTAAACGGTAAAAGTGTGTTTGCACAAGAAAATCTTAAATTTGCTGTGTTTCGGGTAGCAACTATAACACCGTGACGTAGCGCATACACGACTGATTATAGTCTTCATTTGCATGTTAAAATTTGTATACGAACTTTAGTGTTACCGTGGGGTTTTCCATTTAAAATCCTAATTTATGAACAATATTTGATGAGATTTACAACGATACTGTTAAAAAGGTTAATGAAACTGTAGAATGCTTGGTTTTTAGGCCGACGGCAAAAATATTTTAACACATTTATTTAATGTAGCTTTAAATAACTGTATATAGCCCTTTATAACCACTATATGTACTGAGGAATTTTAGAGGTACAAAATTTACCATCACCCATCTGATCATCCCCTGTTATTATACTTGTGGGTATTTTTATCATCCTGCAATTTATTTATTCAAATATTTAAAATCTGCTTCAGAATATTTTTATTACATCTGAAAACTTTAAAGATAGGATTTTTTTTTTCTGATTCAATTGTTCTGAATATTAAGAAAAGCCTCATGCATAATTACATGTATAGTTCTTAACTTTTTGTGATTTAATTAATTGTGAAACAGCAGTGTCTTGTCTGTTTTGATGAGTTTGAAATTCTGTTTTTTATATATAATTTAAATAATTTTATGTGCCTTAAAAAAGTCTTTCCTCACTACCTTTTTTACAGTCATCCCTTAAATTAGTCTTTAGAAGTATGGTACAAAATTATTTGAAGATTTTAAATTTCCATTAAACAAAACACTTTCATTTTTTGTTTCAAGACCCATAACATTACCATTTATTATGCCCCCGCCATGTAATGGCCGGGGCATATAGTGTTACCCTGTTCCGTCATTCCGTCATCTGTATTCCTGCATCATCATTTGACACATTCAACAAATTGACTTATGCATCATGCCCTGAGAAAAACGGTCAAGTTCATTTGTCATGGGTTTATGTTTTGGCAAAGTTGTGCACCTTATATGAAATTTCAGTTTCCGTTATATCCCCACGTACAACAATTAATAAATGACATATGGATATGTCATGGAATACAGGTTAGTTTAATTTGGTCATGTCGTGTTTTGGCAAGTATGCCCCTTTACTTTGAAAATAATATGAATTTCATTTGTTATTCCCAACGTACAACATTCACTCAACTGACATATGCATATGTCATGAGAAAATCACGGTCACATTTGAATTTGTCAGGTTATGATTTTGGAGAGTTATGCCTTTTACTTTGAAAATTATCTTATGAAATTTTCTTTCCGTTCATTATCCAAGGTCAACACATTAACTCAACTTGAAATGAATACTTTCATGACGAAAATACAGGTCACTTCAAATTTGTCATGGTCAAGTATTTTGACGAGTATGCCCTTTCACTTTGAAGTAATTGAATTTCAGTTCGTTAATCTGCCCATGGTAAACCTTCAATCAATTTGACATATGGTATGTTTTTGGGAATGCCCAGGCCAAGTTCGAATTTGGTCCACTGGTTCAATGATTTTTTGGGAGAGTATGCCTTTTACTATCTGAATATAATATGAAATTTACGTTTCTGTTCATTACTTACCCTAACAGTTTTCACATTTTCAACTTAAATTTGACAATCAGGATATGTATCAAGGAATGGGCAGGTCAGTTGGCAATTTGGTCATGGTTGGGTTTTGTGACTTTGTAAATAATTTGACCTAATATGGCTCTTTGTTTTTTTTCTTATACAGAATATATAGTGAACAATTTCTTCTGTGCCGCAAAATTACCTCCTACATTATTCATGATTTACATTGCACATAGTAACATTGTTTGTTGCTTGTATTTGTATTTCAACTACAACATATTTATCTACAATGGTGATAATTGAAAACCTGGTTTCGTGGCATTGCCATGTTTCTTGTTTTACAGTCATCCCTTAAATTAGTCTTTAGATGTATGGTACTAAATTATTTGAAGATTTTAAATTTCCATTAAACAAAACACTTTCATTTTTTGTTTCAAGACCCATAACATTACCATTTATTATGCCCCCGCCATGTAATGGCCGGGGCATATAGTGTTACCCTGTTCCGTCATTCCGTCATTCTGTCATTCCGTCATCATCAGTTTGCACACATTCAACTCAAATTTGACTTATGGATATGTCATGAGAAAATACAGGTCAAGTTCAAATTTGGTCATGGTTTGATGATTTTTGGCAGAGTTGTGCCCCTTTTACTATGAAATTTCAGTTTCCGTTCATTATCTCCCCAACGGTACAACACATTCAACTCAAACTTGACATATGGATATGTCATGAGAAAATACAGGTTAAGTTTGAATTTGGTCATGGTTCGATGATTTTTGGCAGAGTTATGCCCCTTTTACTTTGAAAATAATATGAAATTTTCAGTTTCCGTTCATTATCTCCCCAACGGTACAACACATTCAACTCAAACTTGACATATGGATATGTCATGAGAAAATACAGGTCAAGTTTGAATTTGGTCATGGTTCGATGATTTTTGGCAGAGTTATGCCCCTTTTACTTTGAAAATAATATGAAATTTTCAGTTTCCGTTCATTATCTCCACAACGGTACAACACATTCAACTCAAACTTGACATATGAATATTTCATGAGAAAATACAGGTCAAGTTCAAATTTGGTCATGGTTCAATGATTTTTGGCAGAGTTATGCCCCTTTCACTTTGAAAGTAATATGAAATTTTCAGTTTCCGTTTATTATCTCCCCAATGGTACAACACATTCAACTCAAATTTGACATATGGATATGTTTTTGGAATGCCCAGGCCAAGTTCGAATTTGGTCATGGTTCAATGATTTTTTGGGAGAGTAATGCCCCTTTTACTTTGAAAATAATATGAAATTTACAGTTTCTGTTCATTATTTACCCTGTAACAGTGTTACATATTCAACTTAAATTTGACATATGGATATGTCAAAGGAATGGGCAGGTCAAGTTGGAATTTGGTCATGGTTTGATGATTTTTTGGCAGAGTTATGTCCCTTTCACTTTGAAAATAATATAGATACATCTTAGGAATAAGCAGTTTAAGTTTGAATTTGGTTGTGGTTCAATGATTTTAGACAAACTTATCTTTCCTGAATGTTGGAAAAATTTTGAACTTTCAGTTTCAGCACTCATACTAATAATTTCAGTGCCTTGAACATTGTATGAAAATGGTTTGTGTTAATATTGAAAAGTTTTAAGGGCTTTGAACTTAAAATGAAAAAAATAATTAATGCACCATCTGAAATTTTGGCTGCATGTGGGGGCATCCGTGGCATGATGACACATTTCTAGTTTTTATTGAATTATTCACAGTGAAATTCTTTGTTAAAATTTGTGTGTAAATTCTGTCTTCTTGTTCTTGATTTTATGTCACTGACCAAGACCCATTACTCAAGCATGGACTTTTATTGATTATAATAAGCCATTTGTTCTTCATTAGCTGCTTGTTCGGTAGTGGTAGTACATGGTAGTGTATTGCCACTCAATTGTTTCATATTTTTAGCATAAGCAATATTTAACGTTTATATACAAAAAATATGGTCTTTATTTGAAGGTGCTCTCTAACAAAGATTGGTCTTTAATTTGTTGGGTATTTATTTACAGGAGATGATACCCAAGGTGGAGTATGACAAGGTCGTGGAGAAACATAGTAAAGATATGCTGTTTATACAGGAAGAATATGAGTAAGTCAATTTGAAAAGTTTAGAGATTATTTCTCTTGAAGAATATCTTTGGGTTTGAGATTATAAAACTAAATATAATTTATAACAGGGTCAAATTTCCAAATAAAAATGTTTGAAGTGTTGATATTGAATTAATGCTTAAATTCTACTTAACATTCAATGTTGGTTTTCCAATTTTTTTATGCAGACAAATATTAAACTTATAACTGTTTGTTTTGTATTTGTTTTTTTGTTTTAAATGATTTCATTTGGATATTTGAATAAAAATTGCACAACTTCCTGTAAAGAAAACCAAGAAATTTTTTAGTGGGAGGTAATTTCATGTCCACACATTTTGAAAGCCAAAATGTATTTGTATCTATTCTAAATAAAAAAAATATATATTAAACCTATTAGAAATGCTGTTGGTAAGTTTCATAGAGTATAAATATTATTGTTTCGATATTGTTTTTGTGGATATCACTTAAACATTTAAAGAGCCTGTGAGGGACACATCATTGTAAATTACCATCCTATATATCTGAAACAGACTTGTCCATCTTTGAATCTTGACATGACCATTGAGTATTTTAGGGAAATATGAAATATGTACCAACTTAATAACAAACAGTGCAGACCAATATCAGACAATTGTCAGCTCAGAACCTGCACTGGTGGCAAGGGTAGAATTGTTGCTTACAGCAGGCGGAAGAATTTGTAAATTTTTCTGAGTTTAGATTTTTATGCCCCCCTTCGAATTAGAGGGGGTATATTGTTTTGCTAATGTTGGTCGGTCGGTCTGTCTATAGGTAGACCACATGGTTTCCACAGATTTTCTTAAAAACTATTTATCACAAAGTTTTCATATTTCACATACTGACTGGTCATTATAACTAGTAGATTACCCTTATTGATTGTAGGGTCACTAGGTCAAGGTCACAGGTGCCTTAAATGTTTGAATGCATTCAACTCATTATCTTGAAAAGAAAGCTCAGATTGATCACAAAGTCTTAATGTTTTACATACTGCTTGGTCATAACTAGTAGATGACCCTTACTGATTTTAGGGTCACTAGGTCAAAGGACAAGGTCACAGGGCCTTGAATGGTTGTACGGTTTCCGCTCATTATCTTGAAAGCTATTGATATCAAAGTCTTCATATTTCACATAGTGATTGGTAAACTAGTAAATGACCCCTATTGATTTTGGGGCTACTTATTGAAAGGTCAAGGTTAGAGGTGCCTTAAATGTCAGAATAGTTTCGCTCATTATCTTGAAAACTTTTTATCACAAAGTCTTCATATTTCACATAGTGATTGGTCATAACTAGTAGGTGTCCCCTCTTGATTTTATGGTCAGAATGTCAGAGGTCAAGGTCACAGGTGCCTTAAATGTCAAAATGGTTTCCACTCATTATCTTGAAAATTATGTATCATAAAGTCTTCATATTTCACATATTCATTGGTTATATATAGTAGATGTCATCTATTGATTTTGGGGTCACTATGTGAAAGGTCAAGGTCGCAAAAGGGCCTTAAATGTAAGCATGATTTTCATTCATTATATTGAAAAGTATCTGTCACTAAGTCTTCATATTTCACCTATTGAATAACCATTTGTAGTTGATGACCCATATTGATTTTGGGGTCACTAGTTCAAAGATCAAGGTCAAAGCGGCTTAAAATGTAAGAGTGGTTTCAGCTTATTACCATGAAAACTTTTTTATCACAAAGTCTTCATATTTCAAATATTGATTAGTCATTATGGGGTCACTAATTCAAAGGTCAAGCTATTTATAATACACATATTGGTTGGTTATAACTAGTAGGTCATTATTTTTCTTTTTTCCATAACTGAACACTTCCATGTACCAATTATTGGCTAGTTTCTATAACAAAATTGCCAATAATATGAGTCAAGGGCAAGAAAGGGGGGCAAATGTGTTGTTCGATATTTCTTGTTATGCCCCCCTTCAAAGAAGAGGGGGTATATTGTTTTGCTACTGTCGGTCTGTCTGTCTGTCTGTCGGTCGGTCGGTCTGTCTGTCGGTCTGTCCGTCAGTAGACCACATCGTTTCCGCTGATTATCTTGAAAAGTATTCATCACAAAGTCTTAATATTTCACATATTGATTGTTCATAAGTGGTAGATGACCCTTATTGATTTTGGGGTCATTAGGTTAAAGGTCAAGGTCACAGAACCCTTGAATGGTAATATGATTTAGACTTACAATGTATTATCTTGGTTACTATTTATCACAAAGTCTACATATTTCACATATTGATTGGTCATAACTAGTAGATGACCCCTATTGATTTTGGGGTCACTAGGTCAAAGTCACAGGGTCTTTGAATGGTAGAATGGTTTCAGCTCATTATCTTGAAAGATAATAATCCCAAAGTCTTCATATTTCACAAAGTGATTTGTCATAACCAACAGATGATCCATATTGCTTTTGGGGTCACTACATCAAAGGTCAAGGTCACAGGGGCCTTAAGGGTCAGAATGGTTTTCGCATATTATCTTGAAGATTTTTTATCACAAGTAAGTGAACTAATTGATTTTGGGGTGAGTAGGTTAAAGGTAAAGTTCACAGGGTTCTTGAATGTCAGTTTGGTTTCCGCTTATTATCTTGAAAACTATTTATCACAAAGTCTTCATATTTGTAGTATTGATTGGTAATACCTATTAGATGACCCCTATTGATTTTGGGTCACTAGTTCAAAGTTCTAGGTCACAGGGGCCTTAAATATCTCATTATCTTGAAAACTATTTATCACAAAGTCTTCATTATTTTTCTTTTTTCCATAATTGAACACTTCCATGTACCCATTTATGGCAAGTTTCTGTAACAAAATTACCAATTATGTGAGTCAAGGGCTAGAAAGGGGGCATATTTGTCGTTCGACATTCTTGTTATTAATTTGTATTCAATTTGTCAATTCTCACATCTGCACAACAGGTTTGTTATATTTTGGTCTCATTGTGTGAAATAAACCCTGGTTTTCATGGGGAGAAGGATAAATTTGGTTATAGTTTGGTATTGTAGGAAGAGACAAACATTATTTTTATAAGCTGTTAATTAGCATTTTTATATATTAACAAATTTAGGTTGAATGTTATGAAACAAAGTTTTCGAGTACACAACATTTTTCAACCAGCCTTGTTTTGAGTTTTACATGTACTTGTTTTTATGAAAAGTTTATAAAGTGATGTAGATATTATATTGTTTATAGTCCTTTTTTATGTGAAAAATATATCATGATGTATATAAAGTTGGGGGTGGGGCAGATATAGTGTTGCCTGTGTGTGTGCATACATGATGCATGTGTGTAAGAAAAAATAATGTACTTTTGTGTTAGGTCCATATCTTCTGCATGCATGATAGGAACTAATTAGTATTCATGACCACCATAGGAAGACAATGCGTCACATACAGGGCCCTAGTTGAAAGGTCAAGGTCACAACCGGTCATTGCACCTAGCATATTTGTTATATAATTTCTGTATGCATGATAGAATTTAAAAAAAAAATGGTGCACATCAAATCCTAGCAGTAATTTTGGATTCTCCATCCAGCTAGCTTACGGAACATCAATGGTTCTACTGTAGTGCCTATTTGGTCCTGGAAAAAAATGCACGGAAGGGCTCAATCCTCCGAAGGGCTCAATCTTCCACCATTAAAGCTGGAACATCACCTTTACTTTGTTGATGCGCAGTAGAATGTAACCAAAAAATAATTAATGTAATAAAACAAATAAATAAGATAGACGGTTGTTCTCAGGTGAAAACTTGTGCCTTAAATTGATAATGCGAAAAACGACACTTATGGCTTTTACATAGCAAAAAAATAATGACTTAATGGCATTAACACTGAGCAGACCATAATCAGACAGCACACAACAAATGTATTGTTCTATTGTGTAGTTTTAGGCACTGCCAGCACTGACTAAGGGTAAATGTTTTATTTTGACAGGAAGCGTCTGCAAGCATTGGTTGATAACTTACAGCAAATGGAACAAAATCAACAAGTTCATCAGCAACAACTTCTGAAACAACAACAACAAATCTCTGATCAGCAGAAGTTGTTAACTCAGAGACGGCAGCAAAGTCCAGGTTTATCGCCACAAGCCACTATGGTACCACCTGGTACACCTAAAAAGTGAGTACATTATCCCTGTTTTTTTGTTGTTTTTTTTTGTATAACATTATACATGTACATAGCAGTTTTAATACAGATTTTAATTATAATGGGTTAGATGTTTTATTATAATTATTGAAGTAATAAAATAGATAAACTGATTCAAAAACATCTGTAATTGAAGTAATAGAATAGATAAACTAAATAAAATTATCTGTAATTGAAGTAATAGAATAGATTAACTGATTCAAAATCATCTGTAATTGAAGGAATAGAATAGATTAACTGATTCAAAATCATCTGTAATTGAAGGAACAGAATAGATTATCTGATTCAAAATCATCAGTAATTGAAGTAATAGAATAGATTATCTGATTCAAAATCATCTGTAATTGAAGTAAAAGAATAGATAAACTGATTCAAAATCATCTTTAATTGTAGCAATAAGAAAGATAAACTGATTCAAAATCATCTGTAATTGAAGTAATAGAATAGATAAACTGATTCAAAATCATCTGTTTTTGTAGTAATAGAATAGATAAACTGATTCAAAATCATCTGTAATTGAAGTAATAGAATAGATAAACTAATACAAAATCATCATCTATAATTTAAGTAATAGAATAGATAAACTGATTCAAAAGCATCTGTACTTGAATTAATAGAATAGATAAACTGATACAAAATCATTTGTAATTGAAGTAATAAAATAGATTAAGTGATTCACAATCATCTTTACTTGAAGTAATAGAATAGATAAACTGATACAAAATCATCTATAATTGAAGTAATAGAATAGATTAAGTGATTCAAAATCATCTTTACTTGAAGTAATAAAATAGATAAACTGATTCAAAATCATCAGTTATTGAAGTAATTAAAAAGATTTACTGATTCAAAATCATCCGCATTTTAATTGAAATGACATGAAGGTCATGTTCAAGGTGATATATTTTTAGATCTGGTGAGTCATCGGAAGTTAACAGACCAATTATACATGCTCCTATGCCTCCACAAAAACCACGGACAAAGGGACCAAGAAAAAAGCAAACACCAGCACCGAAATCATGGGATGGTATTCCATCAGAGGTATATGCACTACTTTCTTTGGTTTTTTGTTATATCACAATGTACACATACTTGACTTCTGCTGCAGTCATGTGATAGTCAGGTTAAAGGTTAAGGGGCAATAACCTGGTGTTGAGTAAAACACGCCTCTGTTAGTAAATGGTAAATATTACTTACTTGAACATGCTTGCCTGAAGGTGGAAATATGCTGGAATCCACGAGAAGCACTGACACTTTTCATTATGAGAAAAGCCATGCATTCAGCTTTACATGCAGAAGAAGAAAAATTTCCCTTGTAATAGGTGTTTTTTTTTTTTTTGTAAAACCGAAACAAATGGCTGTAATGGAAATTATAGCCTGATTAAAGTCTGTATGATCAAAGGTACTGGCAATTACAAATTCTTTAATTTTCAAGACAAAAAAATAAAGATATAAACAGTATCCATATATCAACTATATCTAAAATGTATTTGTCTTTTGATTACCAATGAATGCCTCTAACTCTTTGTTTTTTGTGTGTTTGTTTAATATTCAAGGAAAGACAATCTGTTGAATGAATAAACAAAGAAACAAATGCATTTCCAAGCTTTAGACAATTAGTCTTCTTCAGATAATTATTGATGTTTATGTAATAACAAATATAACGTAATATTTGTTTGACTGTACACCAAACGGAAAGCAACGTTATTTGAGCCGTGTCATGACAAAACCAACATAGTGGGTTTGCGACCAGCATGGATCCAGACCAGCCTGCGCATCTGCGCAGTCTGATCAGGATCCATGCTGTTCGCTATCAGTTTCTATACTTGTTATAGGGTTTGTAAGCGAACAGCATGGATCCTGATCTAAGACTGCGCGGATGCGCAGGCTGGTCTGGATCCATGCTGGTCGCAAACACATAACGTTGGTTTTGTCGTGACGCGGCTCATTTATTTTGTTCCTGCATTTCATTCATTATGTTATATTTTCGATAATTTTCTGCAATTTTCTGTGTAAAACCTAAGAGTGAATTACTATATTGTTGAAAAGTCAACACAAATATAGCATTGAGTTTGTTATAGAAATGGGGAATCAAAAGTTTATGAATTTGTTGATTCTAAAAAAACAACCTCAAATATAGCAAAAAGTAAACATGTGCAAATCTGAATTTTGCCCATACACAGTTAAACCTTTATCATCAGTATACTTCACACTCCTTCCAAGTACTATTCTCTATACTGTTTGTGTATTTTGTTATTGAAATTTCTTACTTCTGAATGCACTGTTTTAACACAGGGCACATCTGTTGCTCAAATTTTGTTAAGAAATTAAGAAATAATGACCATTTTCCTAACAGGTAACTTGTAATTATTTTCCACACTCAATGAATTATTACAAACTAGCTAACTCTTCTCCTGAAGGGAACCATTCCTTTTAAATATCTGCTGTTTTCTGAACAAAACAAGCCGTATTAATGTTAGGTGAGACTTTCCCTGTGTGGTAGTGATTAACCGTTACAATAATTATTGTGTATCATGTCTGAAGTTAATGTCTAAGTGTCAGTGAATTATGTTTTATGTTAGAATGTATGAAACTTAACCCTGCGACAATCCTTTTCTCCTTACCACAAGAGAAGATTCTTCTAATTAAATGCCTGGTTGTCAGGCAATTGCGTCTTTTTTGTCTAACTTAATACTTTTTGTTGTCTTCTGAACAACATCCTCATTATAAGATGCAATGCTGGTATTGTTTACATTATATCATCATAATCAATTGTATCACATTAAAATTTATATCATGGCTTTAACAATAACATCAGATGTTATAATGTCTTGCTGATTTGAATTAAGTTGTGACAATGACTTGCCTATGGCACCCGAGCTAAGCACGCCTTCTCACCTGTTAAGTCTTTACAGGCTAAACACTTGCTCACCTGTAAATCAAGTCTTGCAAGGCTAGGCACACTAGCTTACCTGTTAAGACTTGCCAGGCTAGGCACTCTTACTCACCTGTTAAGTCTTGCCAGGCTAGGCATACTTGCTCACCTGTTAAGTCTTGCCAGGCTAGGCACACTTGCTTACCTGTTTAGTCTTGCCAGGGTTGGCACGCTTACTCACCTGTTAAATCTTGCCAGCTAGGCACGCTTGCTTACCTGTTAAGTCTTGCCAGGCTAGGCACATTAATGCTCACCTGTTAAGTCTTGCCAGGCTAGGCAGACTTGCTCACCTGTTCAGTCTTGCTGGGCCAGGCACGTTTGTTTACCTGTAAAGTTTTGCCGGGCTAGAAAAACTTGCTTATCAGTTAAGTCTTGCCAGGCTAGACATGCTTGCTCACCTGTTGAGTCTTCCCAGGCCAGGTATGTTTGTTTACCTGTTAAGTCTTGCCAGGCAAGACACACTTGCTCACCTGTTAAGTCTTGCTAGGCTAAGCACACTTGTACACATGCTAAGTATTGCAAGGCTAGGCAGGCTTGCTCACCTGTTAAGTCTTGCCAGGCCTAGCACACTTCCACATGTTAAGGCTTGCAAGGCAAGACACACTAGCTCACCTGTTAAGTCTTGCTAGGCTAAGCACTCTTGTACACATGTTAAGTCTTGCCAGGCTAGGCATGCTTGCTCACCTGTTAAGTCTTGCAAGGCCAGGCACCCTTGCTCACCTGTTAATTAAGTCTTGCCAGGCCAGGCACATTGCTCAGATGTTAAGTCTTGCCAGGCCAGGCATGCTTGCTCACCTGTTAAGTCTTTCCAGACTAGACACGCTTGCTAACCTGTTAAGTCTTGCAAGTATCAAAACTGTGCAACCTCTGCTCACAATAATTTGGGGTGTTTTTTTACTGACAACTTGCAAAATGTCCACTAATGTTACCAATATGCATAAATTTATATATTGTAAAGTATTTCTTTTCAGTTTTTGGATAGGCTGGCATATTTTGAGGATGAAAGTAATCGTCATAAGTTTGAGTTGATTGAGAAAACTCGTAAAGAGATACAAGATGATATTGAGAAAAAGTTGGCGGGACAACATAAACTTAGCAGACGTGATCAAGAGATGTATGAAGCTCTGAATGGTGAGTTAACAAATGAGCCGCGTCATGACAAAACCAACATAATGGGTTTGCGACCAGCATGGATCCAGACCAGCCTGCACATCCGCTCAGTCTGATCAGGATCCATGCTGTTCGCTTACAGACCCTATAACAAGTAGAGAAACTGATAGCGAACAGCATGGATCCTGATCAGACTGCGCGGATGCGCAGGCTTGTCTAGATCCATGCTGGTCGCAAACCCATTATGTTGGTTTTGTCGTGACGGGGCTCATTAATATTTATATACAGATACATATTATCATGGTTGCAAGGAAACATGGAATTTAGTACTTGTATTATTTCACAGTTTTATACAGAAAAAAAAGAAAGCTATCAAGAGTAGAAGAAAACCTGGACTTCAGGCAAATGTTTGAAAACTTGTACCCATGATATTATTTATGATATAACAATTGGGATAGGTCTTCCTGGTATATTGTTGATAAATTTTTCTAGGAAATGTTTATTATAAAACAATAAACAGCATGTATGGATGGATAGGATAGACCTAGGTGGCAAATTAACACATTTTTTGATAAGTGCAGTATCCATATTGGTTCAGTACCAGCAGGTTTTCTGCCCCGGTCATCAGTCATGTAAGTCTGTTAGTCTGTCCATAATTCCGTATAAACAGCCAATGGTTTATAATTCCTTCTGTTATTTAAAACCACCTGTTATAATTCCTTCTGTTTAAAGTGCATATGTTCCCTAGTTTTTAGCTCACCTGATCTAGCTCAGGGTGAGCTTTTTGGATCGTTGAATGTCCGTCGTCCGTCCACACTTGTTCGTTAACACTCTAGCGGTCACATTTTTGCCTCAATCATCATCAAACTTTGTCAGGATGCTTATCTAGGTAATAGCTCGGATGAGTTCGAACATGGGTCATCTCGGATGAAAAACTAGGTCACAGGAGCTAAAAATAGAAAAAAACCTTGTTAACACTCTAGTTATTTCATTTTTTACTCAATTATCATCAAACTGAAAGTTTGTTTTGATGATTTCTAGTTCAAGTTTGAATATGGGTCACCTGGGATCAAAAACTAGGTCACACTGATCAAATATGGATAATCCTTCACATTTTTGACTCACCTGTCATGAAACTTGGTCAGAAAGCTTGTCTAGGTAATTGTTCGGATGAGTTTGATGGGTCAGGTGAGCAATCTAGGGCCATCTTGGCCCTCTTGTTTAGAAATAATACCAAATAAGACCAGAGAAAAGGCCCATATACCCCAAATATTGGTACAGACAACCATCAGTCCAACATAATCTCAAAAGAATAACAATAACTTAAAATATTCTAAAGAAATTTGATTAAAACTATACAAAGATGAGAGAAAGTGCAGTGAACAAGAACCGTAACTCTACCTCTTTAAACTTTTTTAATTTTCTCCCTTTGTATTACTTAATATTGCTTGTCCAGAGAACGACTTGCAAAGTATTGAAAAAAATGATAAACACATTTCACATTGGAAGAGACTGGAAAGAAAAAGTCTTTGAACTATTTTTATAATCATATTCTATTTTCTCAAATGATATCATATTGATTGCTGATATATACATTTAATGGAATTCCAATTACAACAGAATTTAGGCACATCTTTTTACTACAAGTGAGACGATATGGGAAGGGCCAATTCTCTAATGTTGTAAAAACTTGTGGCCCGACCCTTTTGCTTTTTAATAATAACTATAACATCCATGTAATAACTGTAAATTTATTCGTTACTGTTTTGTAGTATGTTTACATGTGACAATGTATCTGTTTTTTAGCTCGACTTTTCTATGAAAAGGGGAGCTATCCTACTCGCCCCGGCGTCGGCGTCGGCGTTGGCGTCACACCTTGGTTAAGTTTTTCGTACCACCCCACTTTATTTCAGAAGTATTACAAGTATGGCTTTGAAACTTACCATACTTGTTCACCATCATAACCTCCATCTACAGACAAGAGTACATAACTCTGTCAAGGTTTTTGACAGAATTATGGCCCTTTTTTGACTTAGAAAGTGTATTGAGCTTGGTTAAGTTTTTTGTACCACCTCACTTTATTTCAAAACCATTGGAGGTATTGCTTTGAAACTGACCATACTTGTTTACCATCACGACCTTCATCAACAGACAAGAGGACATAACTCTGTCAAGGTTTTTGACAGAATTATGCCCCTTTTTGACTTAGAAAATACATTGAATATGGGTAAAATCCACTTATTGCCTTAACCCTTTGAGATATTGCTTTGAAACTTTTAATGCTATTTCACATCATTACCCCCATCTGTACGCAAGAGAAGGTAACTCTGTCAAGGATTTGTTTTAAAAATTAAGGCCTTTTATCGACTTAGAATCTTGGTTAAGTTTTTAGTACCAGTCCACTTTTTGACTGAACTGTTTTGAGATATTAATTTGAAAGTTGGAATACTTGTTTACAATCATGATTCCCAAACATGTCCAGGAGAAGGTAATTCTGTCAAAGATTTTATTTGAATTATGGCCCTTAACTGTCAATGTTTTGACTTAAACATTTCAAACTTTGCTGCAGTGTTCAAGGGTATCACACAATTCAGTAAAATAATTCTTCACTAAATATCTTAATGCTCATGGCCATTGTTCACTTTAAAAATACAGAGATTCTTGTATTGCCTTTTACTGCAAAAACTTTTTTTATTGGCAAGCAATAAAAAAGTCGAGCGCGCTGTCTTACGGACAGCTCTTGTGTATAAAATGTAAAAGCAATAAAATATGATTAAACTTAAGAAAAAGGTGCAGTTTTCAACAAGCATAATTTCACATAATTTTTAAATTATCTCCCTTTATAAAACTTAATAATACTTGATACATTTTTGCTTATACATACTTTTTTATGCTAAACAATGTCATTTATATTTGTTGGGAACATACTTTTGATTGTCTAAAGGGTATACAGAAGGAATTTTAAGAATTTTCAGTTGACTCTGTTAATATTTTTTTCTATTTGCAGTTGACTTCTTATTTTTTAATATTCGGTATAATTTGAACACTTTTGAATTGATTAAGAGACATAATATGTTAATTCATAAGAGAACATTATTCTTTTGTTTCAGATGTAAGTCTGCCAGCATTATTCATGCCATTTCAACGTGGAAGTGTGTTTAATCCAAGGGCGCACCAATATTTCCATCCAACTGGGTCTAACGAGCTTCGACTAACACAGCCACCATCAGTCTTTCAGTTGCCTCCCCTTAGTAAAAATGTATCCTTTCAATTTAATATCTGCTTGTAATGCTGATATTGATTAGCAAGAAATTTGAAGAAAAGTATTTACACAATATAATTTCATTTGATAGAAGAATATGTGTATTTTATCACATAAAACGCGGCGCAGGGGTGTAATAAAGCCATTTAATAAAAACAATATTACACTTGTGTAATAACACTTTGACGTGACGTCATTTGCGCTATATAGAAACATAGCGTTAAAGCGCGCTAATGTTAGCGTTACACTATAGGCGCGTCATTGAAAAATTACTCATTTTAACAGTTTACTGTTCTTGTTTTTTATATGTGATAAAAAGAATATTATATTCGTGCAGATTTAATACTAAATTTATTGAACTCGTTGAATAAAACAATATTATTCAACTCGTTCAATAAATTTAGTATTAAACTACACTCATTTAATATCCTCTATGTATCAGGCAGTTATAATATCTAAACTGAGGGAAAGTGTGGATGTGTGCCAATATTTTTACTTCCGTCGGTCCCTGCAATGGTGAGTCAATGTGGTTTATATGTGGAGCTTTACTTACTTAATGGTTATATAACATCTGTTTGCACAAGGTCATATATTTTACCATGACCTGAACATAAAAGCTCTCTATAATAAATTTGTTCATAATACTTTGAATTTCTTTCTGTGATAAAAGTGAAAATTGATTGATAAATATGCAGCAGACATGTATGTAGGAAATATAAAATCCAATGAAAATCAATGTAACAAACATGCTTTATTGCATTTAATTACAGATTTATTATGAACATTGTATAAGGGTTATATTTAAAGCTGCTTTAACTACACTGTTGCATACAGTTTATATTTCGAGGTTTGACCGCAACATTGTTGTAAGTCCATCTTTATTTCATTTAAGTTACTCCAGTTTTGCGGTCAACCCTTGATTTGCAGTCATCTTTAGAATTTAATGGCGTAATTTTATTCAAGAATGAAGTAAAACCTAGGCATTAACTGTTTCTTTGATGTAATGTTTTCTTCTGCGTAATCAGAAATTAGAGCCTAGAAATCAATGTAAAAGGAATATATTTAGAAATTTTACGATCATTTGATTTAGTTGAAACATATTTATTTTCACCGTATTAATGTAATAAAAGCTTAAAACTTATTTGACTCTCCCTCATTTAGACATGTCTGTTTCTTGAAACATGTCATATAAGGAAATCTGGTTGAGAGACAGACAACCACTTCCATCATTTGTTTAAAGGCCCCTTATACCTGATAAATACTCTTACATTTTAACATTTCTCAAAAGCTTTTTATGTTTAGAATACATTTACATTTTTCAGAAAGTTACTCATTGGCCAATATCCTAAACCATATTTTTCTTCGGTTGTTTTTTTTGGCTATTACAGCAATTATTGTGATTTAGTATTTGGTATGGAAGTCAAAATACTACTTTGTTTACATTTTGCTACCTATATGACAAATAATTTCACAATTAACATTAATTACTTCAGGTAACAAACATCCAATATGCTAAAAAAAAAACGGTTATTCAAACATTATAAAACTCATGTTTTCCCTTTCTAAAAAAGTAAGAACTTATTAGTTTCTTAGGCATAAGATGACGAAAAGAATAGATCCTTAACTTACTGTTCTCAGAGCTCTTCAATTTTAAATTTGTTTGAATTGAGTAAAAACTTTAATAGTCGAAATCAAGGCTGGTTAATGGACAAGTATTTACAACAACAAGAACCTGTAAAAAATGTTCACGGAATGATTCCGCAAACAACAATGCCCACATCACAAATGAGATCTCCGTCGGCACCTTTCACGCCTCAGCCGACATACGACGTTCCACCAACACGCGAGGAAGAATACAGACAAAGGACGATGGAAGCAGAGGCTGAATGCTAGCTTTTGCAATATATAATGTTATATATCTGTGATATTTATATGTACACGTATAATATCTATCGAAATTTCGTGAACATTTGGCATGCAACTGTATCCCAGTCTTTCAAAACGCTCCTTGAAGTGTTTTAAAGAGCATAATAATTAATAGGTGTTGCCCTCAATCTACTAGAACTAAAAGTTATCAGCATTTCTCACCAGTATAGAGACAGACCAGCCTGCACTTGAGGGTGCATTCTGACCTGGCGCTATACTGTTGGTAGCTCAGTATTTGTATTTTTGTTTTGAAATTTCCTGAGGACTAAAATTCTTTGATTCATGCTCACTGTTTCTCTTAGTATAAGCTACTTTAAATAAGAAGTATCTTTGATATTTAGTGAGTAGAACTTAGTATAAGCCATATTACCTCCCTACTTGGCATTGTTATCAATGTCAAGGTCACACAGGTTAAACTAGATTGTACTGCTTTTCCATATGATCAAGATTTTAGCTTTTGGAATCAAAACATTTGAGGAGCATTATAAATCAGGAGACATATTTTAATATTGAGCATTGACCGCAAAACAGCTGTAAGTTTTATGAAATAAAGAAGGACAAACAACAGTTTTGCGATCAGCCCTCAATAAATCTAAAAAGTAAATAAGAGTCAGTATGAAATGGTGACAACAATAAATTTTGTCTAATAAACATTTTTACGGAAAAAAAAATCAGTTTAATGTGACAATGTATGCCAAATGTACATGAACTTTTGATAGATTATGTTCCTTCAAATGCATTTCTGATATTGTTTTATTGACTGCTTACTTATATCTTTAAAATTGGTTAAAAATATATTATAATTATGTATTACCTAATAAGAAACATTTTACCATATTTGGTAAGTTAAGCAACTAGCTTGAACATTTTTACTATATTTGAAAAATGAGTGAAATGTTGTTCACTTTTTCAGTACAGTTTAGAATATATTATTATTATATATCTGTTCTTGGAATAGGTACAACTAAACTGTTTTTTTTTATCATTTTTATATGTATTTCAAGTTTTGTGTAATATGAAACATTTGCCAGCAAGTTGATGGTATGTTACATAAATTAGAAAATAATGACCTATTAAAAGTATTTTTTATGTACTTCCTTTATCCTCTTAATGTTAAAGGGCCATAAATGATTTAGATAAATATAGATATAAAGGAAACTGTAAATAATGCACCAAACTATAAAAAAAAAAGCAGATTTGGTTTGGGTGAGCCTGTTCAGAGACTTCTGTGGTATATGCTAGCTACTGTACACCTTCTAATCAGCATTTTAGCATCAGGTTGGCATTTTCATAGACCAGTCTGACCCGACTCGGCCAGTCTGACCAAACTCTAAACTGTTATCTGCTGACTCTTTTTTAACGAAAACCCTAAAACCAACAATGAACTCTTCCAGATTTAAAGATGGACAGGTCTGTTACATAAATTGAGGGGGAAAAAGTTGACAATTTTATAATAAGTGAAAATAAATGATAGAAAATTGAGGAATGGAAATATTGCATAAGTAAACAAAAAAAATAAAATCTTTTATTTAGATTTGTAATGAAATAAATTGTTGATATATATGTATGTTTTAAGATTGATAAGCTTGTTTTACACACTTCAATAAAATGAGTAAAATACCCATCAATGTTGTTTTATTTACTATGATCTTGACTTATATGAATATATATTTAATTCATAAGAAAAATCCTCTTAAATGATAGACACAATTATCTTTCTTTGACACTTTCTGATTGGAAAAAAATATATCTTCCTTTCACACTGTTTTTATGCTCCCACCAGCTAACACTATGAAAGCCTCTGTCATGCTTTCACAATGTCTGTAGACTGTTTTTTTTTTGTATAACTCCAAAAGTGAGTGAAAATCTGCTACTTAAGAATAGATGTAAGCATGTAATGTTAGACATGCAATTTCTTTTACATCAACCGAGTTGTGCCCCCTGATTAAACAAAGAAAATAATTATCCTTTTTAAACATGTGTTGTATATATGGGTATTTTCTCGAAAATCTTTAAAAGATTAGCAGAGTTGTGAACCCTGATTTAGCACAAAAAGGAAAATAATTTTTAGACCTGTTGTATGTAACTCCAAAAGCGTAATTTGTGTTTCTATGCACTAATAACTGTGCAGATTTTTTGTGATAAATAAAACAGTGACATATAGGGGAATCCGTGTTCTATAAGAACACTTTTCTAGTTATGAAATCTTTTTACATTTTTTTATAATTAAATACATCACTCTTTAGTTACCTCTATTCTATTTTCATGAAATAATTAAGATTTGAATTTTCAACCCCAAGCTTCAATACCTACCATGCAGGGGCAGTCATATGGTAAAAACACACCTCGCTATGTGCCTCTATTCTACCAGTTAGACATATTCTCAACTGTTTGGATGCCAAACACTGGTAGGCATTTTCCCTTAATGAAACATAACCAACGTTAGCTCGTCTGGTGGGGCCGTGGCTATGACTGACTCGTGGATTATACTTTTTCACTCCAAACCCAGTTCACACCACGATAAAAATGTATAAAACAAGTATTCTTATTTTGCAACTATTCGGAAAAAAACAAAACATTCACTCCGGCGTCACGCTTTGGTTAGTTTCAGCATGCAGGTTGGTATGTCCAACAGTACTGTAGGAAATTGGTATAAACTTCACACACTTATTTGAAACCATAATAAGAGGTCACTATCCATGCAAGGCCCTCATGATTCTAACATTTTGACAAAATTAAGGCCCTTTTCGAACTTAGAAAATTGTACATTATCAAGACTTGTTTACTATCAAGCACTGAAAACAGTCGAGCACACTGTCCTGCCGACAGCTCTTGTTCACACAGACACATGGGGTGTGAAGCTCTAAACTTGTATGTTGAGCCATGGCCAACTATATATGCATCTTTGTTTACTCCTACTGCTATGTTATTGTTCATCCACTTCTTCTGTTCTTTTTAATAACTCGGACAGGACATTCATAAGCTTTCATAACTTTCTGCCCAATCCCTAAATGCATTGTGTAAATATTGTTCATAATTATGTAAATATATTAAATAAATATGTTTAAACCAAAGGCCCATTATTCGTCAGAAATGCTATAATTTTTATATCTCAAATACTTTGATTTTTGGTATCTTGTTATACATTTTCAAAAAAAAAAATACTTATCTGCCATAAAGATGCACTATTTTTGCCCCGTATGGCAATGCATGTGTTTTATTATAGTAAATTAGTATTTTGTATTAATGGATTATCAAATCTTTTAACACACGTTTGACATTTCTGAAGAATTTAAAAAATATGGATTTCATGTACGTCATAATACATGTATTTTTTTCGGAACATTTTATTCTGTTTACGTATAAAATCTATATGTGTTGAATACAAAAGACATTATATAACACAACTAATTCGAGGATCAACCAAAACAAGTTTGAAAAACAACATAATTTTACCGTTACATTAGATATAGTTTATATACTTTATTGTTTCATTTCTACATCTCACATTACAATATACATATTTAAATAATATGTAGTTACTAATTATAATGGCATATCAGAAGACAGTATCCAAGCGTTTGGTCTAAAACAAGAGGGCCATGATGGCCCTGAGATCGCTCACCTGTATATAGGCCCCCCACAACCCCAACACCCCCCAACGTTGCAGGGCCAATTTAACCCAAGGGCTTTTATTTGCACAAACTTGGTAGACACCCATAAGAAGATGTTTCATGCTAAACATCTAAGCTCTAGCTCATTGGGCTGTTTAAAAGAAGATTTTTTTTAAGTTTTTACTATACACATATAGTTAAAAACAATGACACCCCTTGGACCAGGCCAGTTTTGACCCCAGGGCTTTTATTTGAACAAACTTTGTAGACACTTACTAGAAGATGTTTCATGCTTAATATCTAAACTCTAGCTATTTGTTTTTTTTCAAAGAAGATTTTAAGTTTTTGCTATACACATATAAAGAAAATCAATGACCCCCGGGGCGGGGCCAATTTTGACCCCAGGGCTTTTATTTGAACAAACTTGGTAGACACCTATTAGAACATGTTTGATGCTCAATATCTTAGCCATAGCTATTTGGGTTCTTTCAAAGAAGATTTTTTAAGTTTTTGCTATACACATATAAGGAAAATCAAAGGGCGGTGCCAATTTTGACCCCAGGGCTTTTATTTGAACAAACTTGGTAGACACTTATTAGAACATGTTTTATGCCAAATATCTTAGCCATAGCTCTTTGAGTTCTTTAAAAGAAGATTTTTTAAATTTTTACTATATGCATATAGGGAAAATCAATGACCCCCCGGGGCGGGGCCAATTTTGACCCCAGGGCTTTTATTTGAACAAACTTGGTAGACACTTATTAGAACATGTTTCATGCTAAATATCTTAGCTCTAACTCTTTTGGTTCTTTAAAAGAAGATTTTTTAAGTTTTTACTATATGCATATAGGGAAAATCAATGACCCCCCCGGGGCGGGGCCAATTTTGACCCGAGGGCTTTTATTTGAACAAACTTGGTAGACACCCATTAGAACATGTTTCATGCTAAATATCTTAGCTCTAGCTTTTTGGGTTCTTTAAAAGAAGATTTTTTAAGTTTTTACTATATGCATATAGGGAAAATCAATGACCCCCCCGGGGCGGGGCCAATTTTGACCCAAGGGCTTTTATTTGAACAAACTTGGTAGACACCCAATCTCCACACAGTGATCTCCCCTTAATTCTTCGGCGTAGATCTCTGCCACCAAGGTCCCAATATATCAGAATTTCTGATATATTATATTTTTTCAAAAATTGTTTTATTTACTGCTTTTATCTATCAGTTAAGTTTTTTCTCATTGATTAAACAATGTTTATGGATAAATAAATAAATAATATGAATATTAAGAAATAATCTTAAAAAATATGAGAATATTTTCTACCGAGACAATATTTTGATATTTTATATTTTTTAGCTTTTGAATTTATTTTTCGTTATTTTGTATACTTTTGATAATTTTTTGATAAACTATATCGATCGTAGGCACTAAAAGTTAAAAATAAAACAGAAAGAGAAAAATGACGTTAGATTTTCTATGTAACGGTCGATATTTACATTTGAATTTCGACGTTACGTCATGTGACTTTCATCATCATGTGACGTCTTTGAGTTTGAAGGCAGTGATTACAATTCTGCCAAGGGAGGTAATCACTGTGAGGAGTTTGGTAGACACCCATTAGAACATGTTTCATGCTAAATATCTTAGCTCTAGTTCTTTGGGTTCTTTAAAAGAAGATTTTTTAAGTTTTTACAATATGCATATAGGGAAAATCAATGACCCCCCGGGGCGGGGCCAATTTTGACCCCAGGGCTTTTATTTGAACAAACTTGGTAGACACTCACTAGAAGATGTTTCATGCCAAATATCTAAGCTCTAGCTCTTTTGTTTTTTTAAAAGAAGATATTTAAAGTTTTTTCTTTCGGTTGCCATGGCAACCAGAGTTCTGCATGGAATTAAATTCTTTGAACAATTTTTAAAGGTGACCACCAAAGGAACATTCCTGTGAAGTTTGGATGAAATTGGCTTAGTGGTTTATGAGGAGATGTCATTTAACGTAAAAGTTTACGGACGACGGACGGACGGACGCCGGACGAAAAGCGATCACAAAAGCTCACCCTGTCACTTTGTGACAGGTGAGCTAAAAAGGTTTGCGCTGGATGGGTACGCTATTTGCTCACTAAGGAGCAAAAAGGACAGTGCCTTAAGTGTACATAAGAACTTCTGAAAACATACAAAGACTATGATAGCCGTATTATATCTAACTTGCTGACAGGTGATGTAACTTGGTGCATATGTTTGAGCCTCAAAGAAGGGCCGTTGCGAAAAGGACCATCAGAAGAAAGAAGACTTTATTAATTTCCAGTGGACCAGTCGTTAAAGTGCTTTGTCCATCTGGTCACACTGTCACTGGGTAGTTCTAAAAGAAATCAATACTGTAAAGGTAAGAGCGTTTTTACATTAAGAACCGCCCAAGCCTAGGATGGCCAGGAGTCCATCTTACACGTGACAATGCCTCCTGTCACAAGAAAGCTAGATGGCGTCTGAAATTGTTACAGTTGTAAACCATTCGCTTTTTTCTTCTGACTGAAGGTTTTGCGACTTTCTTTCTGTTTTAACCAGATTTACGAAAATGCCATCTTGTAAAAGATATACGTCCATGAGTTCTCTAGTAGCGCAATTTATCAGTATCTGCAACAGATTCAAAAAGAAGATTATTCTAAGCTCTTTCAAACTGGGCTGTAATTACAAATATATATATGCATTTCGATAGACAGGGAATACTTTGAAGGTTTGAAATAGAAAACTTTTTCATAGCAGTTACAAAATTTGAACTCAGCGACAGAATTTATGAATGACCCGTGTAAAATCATTAATGAGCCGCGTCATGACATAACCAACATAATGGGTTTGCGACCAGCATGAATCCAGACCAGCCTGCGCATCCGCGCAGTCTGATCAGGATCCATGCTGGTCTCTACTTGTTAAAGAGTTGGTAAGCGATTAATTTTATACATGAGATTCTGGTAAATTTTTAACTCTGAATATTAAACAAATTGAGCAAGATATTTTATA